GCCGTTTTTTCTCAAAGGGAGAGTCTGGACACCCCTTTGCAAACTTGTGGTTACTTTTCCAGAAAGTTGTCTCCTGCTGAGCGCAACTATGATATTGGCAACAGAGAATTGTTGGCCATTGTCCTAGCGCTTAAAGAGTAGCGACATCTTTTGGAAGGTTCCAAGGATCCCCTTTTGATCATTACAGACCATAAGAATTTGGCTTATTTAGGGGATGCTAAATTTCTATCTTCTAGACAGGCTAGATGGTCTTTGTTTCTGTCTCGCTTTAACTTCCATATAACTTACAGACCTGGTCCCAAAAATGTGAAGGCTGATGCCTTGTCTAGACAGTTTGATACTGATGTGGTAAAATCACCAAATAATATATATATTTTACACAAGGTTTGTCTACATTAAAAGGTATTTATTAGAAGCCAACAACACAATACTATAAATTTATCACAAACACACAGCCCAGACCCACGGAGCAACAACCCTTTTTAAATCTATCTATCTATAGATAGATCTCACCCACGGTTAGGCCTTCACATCTAGTAATGGCTCACTGCTGCAAGTTCAACATCACATCCACCAAGGAAGAAAAGGAAGCAACAGAGTGTAACATGGTTCCCCATGATAGCACATGGCATCTGCACATCTGCTATGCAGCACAGCCAAGAAGGAACAGAGAGGAATGGAGATAGGGGGAAGTGGTTATCTCTTTCCTGACTTGTAAAGGTATTGAATTACCCAATTACCATATCAAAGGGTAAAGCTTATCCCCCTGTAAGAAAGGCATACATGAGCTTGGTCACATGACCCCTGGTCACCATATTAGTTTGATGACAGAATGTCACCACAACTGAGTCTTTACAGGAACACGAGACATCCCCTATCGTGCCTCCTGAATGTATCATCGCTTCTACTGTTCTTTCGCTGTCTTCTCCCTTGCTTGGTGCAATAATGGAGACTCAGGCACCATGCAATAAACCACTGGACAAATTGTTTGTTCCATTAGGTGAAAGAGAATGTGCTGAGGGTGTTTCATGACAATGTGACTGCTGGACACCCAGGTATCAATAAATCCATATCTGCGATCACAAGATCATTTTGGTGGGATTCTCTTAAAAACGATTTGAAGGACTATGTGCAGGCTTGTTCAGTTTGGGCTGTTTCTAAGGTCCCTCATAAACTTCCTTGTGGTTTGTTGCAACCACTTCCTGTACCTAGTGTTCCATGGTCCCACTTGTCAATGGACTTCATAGTTGAACTTCCAAGTTCCAATGGCTATACCACCATTCTTATGGTGGTTGACCGTTTCTCCAAGATGGCTCATTTTATTCCACTTAAAAAATTGCCATCCTCTCAAGACCTGGTTCTTATCTTTATACGTGAGATTGTCCGACTGCATGGCATTCCTCACAATATTGTGTCTGATAGGGGCTCTGAGTTTGTGTCTCAGTTTTGGAGGGCGTTCAGTAAACAGTTGGGCATTGAATTGTCTTTTTCTTCTGCTTACCATCCCCAAACTAATGGCACGGCTGAGAGGGCTAACCAGTCATTAGAGTAATATTTGCGTTGTTTTGTAAATAGCACTCAAGATAATTTGTCCGAATTACTACCCTGGGCCGAGTTTGCTAGGAACAATGCTACCCATGACTCTTCTGGTCATAGTCCATTCTTTGTTAATAACGGTCGTCATCCTACTGTCCTGCCGGCTGTTTTCTCCAAGACAACTATCCCTGCTTTGGATGATCGCCTTTCTTCTATCCGTGATACTTGGACCAAATTTCATTCCACTCTCAAAACTGCGGCTGATCGCTTCAAGTTCTATGCGGATAAAGGGCGGGGTGCCAACCCCGTTTATCAAGTTGGTGACAGAGTATGGTTATCATCACGCAACATCAAATTGAAAGTTACTAGTATGAAGTTTGCACCCAGATTCCTGGGCCCTTTTCGTATCCTTCGGAGGATTAACCCTGTGTCATATTCTCTGGCCCTCCCGGCCTCATTACGTATTCCAAATACCTTTCATGTGTCGCTACTCAAACCTCATGTTTGCAATAAATATACTGTCTCAAGTGTCCCTCCTCCTCCTCCTTTAGTTGTTTCTGGACAGGAAGAGTATGAGGTCTCTTCCATAATTGATTCCAGGTTTTCTCGGGGCACTTTACACTACTTGGTGGATTGGAAAGGTTATGGACCAGCCGATCGTTGGGTTCCAGCATCTGATATACATGCTGGCCGCAAGATTTGCTATTTTCACGCCGTTTCCTCTCAAGCCTGGTCCTGCCCGTCCAGTGGGCGTTCTTCAGGTGGGGGGTAATGACACGTATTCATCCACTTATAAAAATGTGGTTAATGGCATTTACTGTCCACACAGGAAAAGTTGTGCCGAGCAGCAACCAAATCCACAGAAGGGTTAATGCTGAACAGCAATTATGCAAATGGGAACCTGGTAGCTGCCTTTGGGGTCAAAGGCCGGTTACAGCCTATCAGATCTAGAGGAGGGGTCTTAGGCCCAGTTCTCATCCTGTTCAGTGCCCTGTCGTGGTTTCCCTTGTGGTTGTCTGAGAGCGCGTTCCTGATTCTAGTTTCTTCTGGTTTTTGACTTTGGCTTTGATTTTCACTTCCCTGTATTCTGGTATCCCTGACTTCTGGCTTTCTCTTATCGTTGTGTATCTTTCTGTATCCCCCGACCTCGGCAAGTATCCTGACTATTCTTTGGTACGTTAAGTCTGGCCATTCTAAGGCCCGGTAATACATTACCTATTAGTCATCTGTGTGAAACAATTCTACGTGCTGGATCAACTAGTAATCCTGACACATACCGCCATCCAATTAATATTTCTTCTCCTCAATGAGACAGCCACTAGAGGCTGGATTAACCCTATTGTAAACATAGCAGTATCTCTCAAACTGCTATGTTTACAGCTGCAGGGTTAACCCTAGCTGGACCTGGCACCCAGACCACTTCATAGAGCTGAAGTGATCTTGGTGCCTACAGTGGTCCTTTAAGACTGTTGTGGAAGAAAACCATGCAATCTATTACCAAGAAGTTACAGGATGTGGGCATTACCTACTACTGGTATGCTCAGTGGACATTGGCAGTCTTTCGGGAAGGAAAAACTTTTAAGGCCTAATCTCCTGCGGAGGCACCCAACTTTTTTCTTAGCTCTTGGCCTAGAAGACTTGTCTTAAATAACATCAAGATCTGTACCCAATTCTACCTGGGATATCCAGACTGTGGTACCATTTGTCCCTGGAGGGGGATGGGACACAGTGACATAAGTGTATATATTTAAATTTTTGCAGGATGTCTACTTTGTTTTTGTGCTTACTTTTATGATTTCTTGTTATGCTTTATTTTTACACTAACCACTGAACGCCGCAGTGTGGTCTTAAAGGACCACTATAGTGCCAGGAAAACATACTAGTTTTTCTGGCACTATAGTGCCCTGAGGGTGCCCCCACCCTCAGGGACCCCCCTCCCGCCAGCCTCCTCTCCTCCTCTTCGGCTGAATGTGCATGCGCGGCAGGAGCTGCGCGCGCATTCAGCCAGTCTCATAGGAAAGCATTCATTATGCTTCCCTATGGACGCTTGCGTCTTCTCACTGTGATTTTCACAGTGAGAAGCATGCAAACGCCTCTAGCGGCTGTCATTGAGACAGCCACTAGAGGCTTTAGAGGCTGGATTAACCTATTTATAAACATAGCAGTTTCTCTGAAACTGCTATGTTTATTAAAAAAAAATGGGTTAACCCTAGCTGGACCTGGCACCCAGACCACTTCATTAAGCTGAAGTGGTCTGGGTGCCTAGAGTGGTCCTTTAAGGGGTAGATACTATCTGATATCCAGTTCCATTTACTCAATCGATTCCTTAAGCGCCATCTAGCATAGATATTCCTTAGAATCCTTAATCCTTATAATCAGTAACAGGAGGAGGGCTATTATATAATATTATTCTCTCTTTAAGTGTGTGTATCTGTAATAGGGTATGTGTATCTGTCAGTTTGTATGTCTGTATGTCAATGTGTGTATCTCCTTGAATGTATCTATGTGTGAATGTGTTTACTACACTACACACAAATATGCCATTGCATTCAAACACCACCACTACACATAAATACATTCTTACATTTAAACACCAACATTACACACAATTCAAACACATTCAAACACCACCACTACACATAAATACATTCTTACATTTAAACACCAACATTACACACAAACACATGCCTGTATTCACACACATACTCCATACAAAAACACTTATATTAAAACACACAGACACTATCAGGGCCGGTGCAAGGATTTTTGGGTACATAGGCGAAGATACATTTTCCCCAAATCTTGCACTTGGACCAACTCTTCATTAATTCTCCCACTGAATAGAAAGGCCTATAAAAAAATTTTAGCAGTTAATTTCCAGCCCTTTTTCCTGTAACCACACAGACAGCTAGAGATTGGGGGAAAAAACAACTGACAGATTTAATGAATTGCACCAAATAATTACCCCCAAAAATATGATTAAAAAGTGTCCCTGTAATGTTGTTTTTGTTTTGTTTTTTATGTTTGCAACTATGGTAGTGGATACATTTATATTTCCTCACCAGACCACAGGTGTTAGTGGGCTTAATGGGGGACCCAAACCTTAACTAGGCACCTTACTGAAGCACTGGCTGTACCCACCTGATCGCAGCCTTGACAGTTCATTTTAAAAATAAGAGTCAACTTAAGCCTCTAGTGTCCTATAACAGTGAGATGAGTAAGTGGATTCAAGCTCTTGATTAATTCCCACACTTATCTTTTTTTTTTTAGGATTTGACCTTTGTAAATTTGCATTTTAGAAATAAACAATCGGAAAAGTTACACGTAAAAAAATAATAAAAAAGAATTGTTTAAATTTAAATATAAAAAATTGATTTAAAAAAAAAAAGGAATTGGTGAGAATTCGATTGAGAATGTTCGTGCAACACACCCTCCATGACATTAGATGTCGCGCTTTCCTTTTTGTCAGAAGCTACCGGTCATCTCTACTGTTCCGTTTCTCTGCCTTCACTTTCTCGTTGGTTCGTACAACTCAGTGTGACGTGGATTAGAGAGCGTCTGTAGAAGCCGGGGATAGTCTGTCTGAGTGGATTTGGAAGAGACAGCACCGGTACCGAACGGTCTAGAAACCAGAGCTGTGCGAAGATTCCTGGAGCAGACAGTGAGGAGAACCTGGTATGAATGGAGATGTGACATGTTACTGTAACACTGCATTGGGAATGACATGATCCTATGGGGGCAAAGTGTTAAATGCTGATGGAGAGCTTGGGAATTAGGGAGAGCTGAATGCTTTATGGCTTTTGACAAAATGAATTTAGAACACAAGAAGCTAGCTTACAATTATATTTGAAAAAATTGTGTTTTCATAATTCTCACCTTTTGGATAGGGTAACCCTTGTTGGGGTTAAAAATTAACATAAAACATACTCATGTTCCAGCTTTAAGGCCACTGTCCCCCTGCAGCCTGATCCAACATGGCTGTCATTCACCCTGGTTGGGTGGATATGTCAGGGATGGCAAGCTGGGGTGAGGACCATTCTGTTATTGGTTGTCTGGCATTGGCATGCCAGGGTCGGGTGCCAGTTTTGCACAGGGTTCATATTAGCCAATCAGAACTCTTGTTTCAGGCTGGCTAATGTCGCCCTTAGTTATGTTGCGGAGGTGGAGTTATACCTTTCATCAGCAAAGGGGTTAATCTCAGTGTGTGCCTAGTGAAACACTTACAGGCTCCAGGCACCATGAACACGTCAAATCAGTGAAGTGGTCATGGTGCTTGGAGTAACCCTTTAAGATAGGGACTGGTAAAGAGATTCCGAAGATGAATGACGGACTGCAGGGAAACAAATGAAGAAAAGAATTCCAGGAAAGAGACACAAGCTAGTAAAGTAGCAGGAAACTGAGATGAGTGGCTGCAGGAAGAAAGGGACACCAAGGAGAGGGACTGCATGAAGACAGGGACACTGAGGCATAGAGAGGCTGGAGAAGAAGGCACTAAGGTGAGGGGGGGGGGGGGAGGGGGCTTGTAAGATGGGCTCCCAGAGGAGAAGAACTAACAATTTGGGACAGAGGAGAAGGACTGGAAATAAGGGCACTGAGGAGAGGAGTGGCAGGTAAGAGAGGTTACAGTAAGGTAGAGATTTCTGAACAAAAGTCTGTGATTGAAGTGAGCGCTTTTGGAATGAAGGTGTGGTAATGAAGATATTGTTTTAAATTGACACCATAGGCACCCAGACCACTTCATCTCAGCAAAGTGGTCAGGGTGCCATATCCCTGTCTGCTTAACCCAGCAATGTTTACATTGCAGAGTTTAAATGCCTCTAGTGGCTGTCACTCTGACAGCCATTAGAGGTGCTTTCTTCAAAATAACCAAGTAAAACCTGCTATTTATGTCAGGTGATTGACATAGTGCAGTGTTTTGACGTGCATGTGAACTTGCCTCCCAATGCTTTCATATGGGAAAGCATTGGGTTGGTTGAGATAATCAGTCTTGGATCTCAGCCTCAGATGTGGAACACAAATGCTAAGATCGGGGCTGTGAAGGAAAAAAAGGTAAGTAGGAGACCTTTTTTCCTTTGGACGGGGGGGGGGGCCAAGGACCTAAATTTACACCAGGGCACATTTGTATTCCCGACGCTATAATTCTCTTTTAAGACAATAAGCATAGTAAGACAGAGGAGAAAGGGATTACAGAACAGAGAGAAAAAATGGGGATGGACATGCTGGGAATGTTTGTTACTGAGGGATTTTGTGATTGTCCGGAAGTAAAAGTAAAACATGGTATGTTAGAAATGCAAGCATTGTCGTTTACAAACACAAATTCAGAAGAGGTTGTAAAGGCTTAAAGTGGGTGAATGAGAGCTGTTTCTTATTGTGGACTTTTCTTTTTCAGAAAAATGTCACGAAATACAGTGAAAGCAGGAAATCTGAGGGACAAACTAGATGGAAATGAACTCGACTTGAGTTTGAGTGATCTGAATGAGATACCAGTGCGGGAACTGGTTAGTCACAGTTTTATCTCTTTTTGCAGTATAGGTTTGTAAAAAAAAAAATTGCTGATCCTCTGTACCACAGGAAAAAAATGTAAATGTTAATCACAGGATACTAACACAAATAAACTGGTAGGGGAAGAAACCTAACTCCAATCGATAGGAACCTACCCCACTAGGATTACCTCAAATATAGATCATTCTAGGTAATAGCAAACAGAAAGTAAAATAATAAACTTAATTGAAAGTAAACCGAAACCTACAAATTACAAAAAAAAAAAAAAAAAATTGGACAAAGAAAGTGTAATAACTGTCTGTGTGTTTATTTAGTTGAATAAGTCTTTCATATATATAGTCTTGGGCCAAATGCTCGTCACATTAATATATGTCTATACTAATGAAAAGTACTAATACGCAATCTGACTTACGGTTTCTTCAGGTTTATTCTTAGTTACTGATACATAATAAAACAACAAAGGATGTTACAGGATAATGGACATTCGACAGCAGATGGTAATTGCTGGACTCCTGACGGGAGAGTTACATCTTTACATAGAGAGAGAGTGAGAGACCTCGTGTTCAGTTACTATATAGATATGACCATAATGACGTCAGACTATAACTAGCCATATAAGGACAAAACCCCCAACTTACATTCCAGAGCTCTCATACAAAGAAAGCCTTGTGACTTATACCATCTGTTACTTATGTCAATCCTCAAATCCATATATAATCAATAGAAACATAGAATATGCAATATTCTACAGAAAGTTGGAACATGTGTCGAAAGATGTGGGAGGAAAAGAGAGAAATGTTATGAGAGAAATGGATAGTTAGGGTAAGTACCTCCTCAATAACACTATCCCTTTAACACTGTGTGTGGTATATGCGGTAAAATGTTGCGGGGTATCACAATGTGTGCAGTCTGAATGCATGAAAAAGCCTATCCAATATATCTATGGAAGAGTAGACGTACTGTTTAGAGAGGGGATCATATGGGGTGCAGGGATGCAAGAAAGGGGGCAGATACGCTAAATATTGCTCCTATATTGTACTCAAGCAGGCTTATCTTTTTACAAAGGCAGCCCATCCAGTAATTGGCACACTATGCATAAAGACTTGACATTAGCTAGCTCGAAACTCTGGTTCCAACCAAAGATTTCTGCTTCGATGGTGTTTGCAAAATATGCAAAGTCGCCCAAAAGGGACAGATCTGCTTAAAAGAAATGCTCCAATATCATAAATACATATATGTACGTATCTACCAATATCGCTAGACTCTGACCATCGCCATAGAAGTGTGGGTGTTCCCTATTTATCATTGCATACACTCACACATTTTATAATAGGTGTGGTTGTAATTTTCTTTTTTTCTTTTTTTTTTTAGACATTGTAGGTGCTTCACTACTCCTTTTTACTCACAGTTACCTGAAGTATTAAGCTTATATTTGAAAGTGACGAGGATGTAATCCTTGCCACTTTCCTTGATTAAATTCACTCCTTCTACTTTGGCAATTGATAATAAAGCCAGAGAGTGGGGGGAGTGGTTCACAGATTACTTTTACTCAGGTTCTAACTACAACTATTAGACAGAGGCTTTGCCATAATAGGCTTAGGATAACCCATCACTTGACCTTATGTTATTTGGCTATTTAGCAGATGTTACAATATTGAATACTTTCAATATTCCAGATGACACTTCCTCCCAACATGTTTTGAGAGGTATTGTCAAGGTCATTTGTAGACTCCACACTCAAAACATACAACACTTCATCTTGCTGAAGTCTGTAATTATTATTTATTTATTTATTTAATTTTACAAATTCTGAAAGTGCCAATTTCATAGAAATTTGCTCTTTCATAAATCCTCGGCACAACACAGATCGCTTGGGAAGTTTTCTTCCTCTTCTTTTAGCACTGGGATAGAGCACGTCTGGCAATAAATCTGAATGAGCAGTACTACACCTCATTGAGAAGTCTGTCAATGAGAAGCTGCACATGTGCGCACACTTGTTGCTCCAGCACAGAGGCTTCTTAACAAAAAGCCTCTTATTGGTCAGTCTGCTGCACAGAGGAAAAGTCTGTTGCAGGAATAAAGGGGAGAGTTTGCAAAAGTTGCAGATACCAGTGTTTTTTCATATACCTACCTCTTTGTGGTTTTGGGATATAGATCATGCCCCTGTAGTCTCACTGCTCCCTTGTCTGCTATTTAAGAGTTAAATTACTTTGTTTTTGCAGTCCTAGTCACACTTCCCCTGCCTGTGACTTATAAAGCCATCCTACACACAACATGTAAAGATAGATCTAATTTGTAAACTTATTTTATTGAAGTGTGTTTAACTTAGAATTTATCTCCTGTTCTGTCAATAGCCTAATAGAGTCTGCAGGAGCCCCAATGAATAGAGCAGAAGATATGAAAGTTTGTGTGAGTCAGGGCCAGGGGATGTATGGCTATGGCTGGATAAATAGAAACAAAAGTGGTTCAACTCTTAAATGGCAGAGAATTGAGCAGTGAGACAGAAGGGTCATGATCGATACCCAAAACTGCTGCATTAAACTAAACATGTCTTTGTGCTAAAGTCACCCAGGCCAGTTCATCTCATTGAAGTGTCCTGGGTGAGGGATCTGTTTTATATTGCAGGTTTAAATCCACCTTTAGCTTTCTTTCTGATCGCCACTAGAGGCGCTATTGCGGCATTTTACATGGAAAAGCATTGATTCAGTGCTTTTGTATGCAAAATCTTGGATGCGCGCAATGCTTACTTCACATGTGCATTTGGTCTCTGAGCTCTATGTGCATTGGATTGGACAACGTCAGAGGTCACAGAAGGCAGAGATCTGGAAAAAGCTAAATTAAACCTTTTTATGTTATTATTTTTTATTACATATGTGGTTGGGGGACAGAGAGCCTATATGTTACTATGGAAAGGGAAACTAAAGTGTTAAGAACTTTAGTTTATATCAGTAATGCTTTTATGTTACTTTAACTTTGCTATTCCTTATAAACCTCAATGCTGACATTTGTCAGAGTACAGGGACAACATATAGGCGCCAAGACCTCCACGTTATGTTCTACTGATTTTAGTGCTTTGCGTGTCCCTGTAAAGCAGCTGGACAAATTCCAGGCATCCACAGGAAAACATTAAATATTTAGCGTGTTACAACAAGAAAACACAAATCAAAACATATATACTTATCAATAAACAGCTTCCCACTGAACACCTCCCAAGTAGTTACGTCTAAATATTTAGCGATTTGTTGTGGTTTTAAATAATTCTAAATAGGGAGTTGGAGTGCAGGATACTCTGTGCACTATAACCTTTGCAATAATACAAAACTGTTATGATGTTTAAACTAACCATTTAAACTGCATAGTCTCCTCTTTGATTACTTATTCCTACTTCATGTCATCAGTCTTATGTTATCTTTCAGGCTGCACTTCCCAAGGCCACAGTGTTGGATCTGTCATGCAACAAGTTTACAACATTACCGGTGAGAGTTTGCACCATGCATTCTGTTATTCATAAATAGATGATTAATAAAACTGGTTGCATATTATGATCTTTTTTGGAGAGTGCACATCATGCAATCTGTCCAGAGGGATTCTTTTGTCTTGACATGGGCTTTATCTAAACTTCAGTTTCATTCTGTGTTCTTAGGGGGAGTTTTGTTCCCTTACTCACATTGTGAGGTTGGATTTGAGTAAGAATCAGCTGAAACATCTGCCTTCAGAATTTGGGAGACTGGTAAATCTACAGCACCTGGATTTATTTCAGAATCAGTTGACTATGCTTCCTGATTCCTTCGCTCATCTTAAGGTAACATCAGCAAATAAGCTTTAATGCCATCACTTCCAAAAATTACTATACACTCTCTTTAAATTTAGCTTTGCGTATCTTTCCTATTGTTCAAACCCTGATCTTTATCCTGCAGCGCAATCAATTTTTCTACCATGACCCTATTCTGTGCCTCTGGATCTTTCCGATTTAAAAACTAGAAATGGCAACCCCTCCCTCACAGTATAGAAATCTCGTCAAACTTCATAGTTTGACTCTACCAGGAGGGCACTGAGCACATTGAGGAACTCTTTGAAGAGTGCACTAGCAGCTTGCAAAAAGTTATACTGCAGATGCTTGGTACTTTATCTACATGAGTGTTATGCCAGCATATAGGAATCTTTACATTTATTTTTTTTAAATTACAAATACAGATAATCTTATTTATTGAAAAATTTTATTTTTAGACTGATATTTCAAATCTTGTCTGACATATGAAGTACAGAATTACATATTTATTAAGTAGAACACCAAAATATAAAAATATGTATATTTGATCCAATAAATGCTAGACACGGCTCTGGTAAAGCTCAGGTGCACTTAAAGGACCACTCTAGGCACCCAGACCACTTCAGCTTAATAAAGTGGTCTGGGTGCCTGGTCCAGCTAGGGTTAACCCATTTATTTATTTTTATTTATTTTTTTATAAACAGCAGTTTCAGAGAAACTGCTATGTTTATAAATGGGTTAATCCAGCCCTCAAATCCTCTAGTGGCTGTCTCATTGACAGCCACTAGAGGCGCTTGCGTGATTCTCACTGTGAAAATCACAGTGAGAGCACGCAAGCGTCCATAGGAAAGGATTGTAAATGCTTTCCTATGAGACCGGCTGAATGCGCGCGCAGCTCTTGCCGCGCGTGCGCATTCAGCCGAATGGGAGGAGAGGAGGAGGATCGGAGGCGGAGAGCTCCCCGCCCGGCGCTGGAGAAAGGTAGGTTTTAACCCCTTTCCTCTCCCCAGAGCCGGGCGGGAGGGGGTCCCTGAGGGTGGGGGCACCCTCAGGGCACTATAGTGCCAGGAAAACGAGTATGTTTTCCTGGCACTATAGTGGTCCTTTAAGCATGTGGTGTAAACCATATTATTAGGAATCAGATCATACATAAATCAATAATATGGTAAAAAAAATAAAAAAATCTGCAAACATGTACAAGAATAAAAATTATACACACAGTGGAGCGCTTTTTTTATTTCGTAAAGTGCAAGTGCTGAAATATTATAACACACCTAACGTTTCAAACTATTACAACTTCTGTAATACAGTGTGTACACCTAAATGGTACATAAAAGTGTAAAACCTTAAAACTCAAAATATGTGTCTTTAATGGCACACTTGCATCTTAAATAGCTAAAACCTAGGTAGTGGTAGTGGAGAATGGTTGGTCTGTTTGGGTGACCTCTTTAATAATGTATATTCAGGGGTATCCTTTTCTTTTCTTCAATGATAATTAGATGATTTCAGAGATGTGTATATAGTAATTTTTTTTATTTATTTTTTAAATATATGACATTCACAGAAAATTATTATACTCACAAGGTTGGAGACTATAAATTGGCTCAATGAATAGGCTTAGCATGGTTCAGGACCATAACACCTTCTTTGGTACACAGTGAACTGGTGGCAGATCTTTATAAAATAAATACTTAATTATATTAAAAAATAAATATAGAAAATACCAAGATATCTATCCAAAATCTTGTTTTCATCAAGGCTTCCTCCTTTCATATTTTTTATATATTTTTTTGTTTTAGTGCCACCTGTGCATGTGTTTTAGCCTTTAGGTGTGAGAATTATGTTATGCCCCAGTTTGCGAGAATTATGTTATGCCCCAGGATGAGGCAGAGGCATCAGTGATGCCCACCGATTATCAAAGATAAAGAACACAGTAATAAACCGCTAAATCCGAGCAGCAGGGTCTCCTTACTGTAGTTCCAACAGTGTAACAAGCAGGTAGACAAAAAATGGAGTTCTGCGCATCAAATAGGTAGTGCACACCCAGGTGCTACTGCAGTTTATTAGAGGACACAATACAAACAAACGGTTCGGGCAACAAGCCCTTCCTCGGTGCTAAGAGCCTCTGAGGACATTAGCACTGAGGAAGGGCTTGTTGCCCGAAACGTTTGTTTATATTGTGTCCTCTAATAAACTGCAGTAGCACCTGGGTGTGCACTACCTATTTGATGCGCAGAACTCCATTTTTTTGTCTACCTGCCAGTTTGGTGTTTCATGGAAGGGAGTGCTTTGGAGTTTTCACGTTGTCTTATGTATGTGGGATTTGAGCCTCCAGACAAAACTGTATTTTTGTTTAGTATTTGATAGAAAATAGAAATTCTACCTCTAGCTTGGACTGTAGATTCAACTATATAACTTGGGCTCAATTTACAGCTGCTGAAAATGTGCCACGGTTTTATGGATTTAATTTGTTCAGAGCAGACCTGTGGACGGAGTTGATTTGCGTACATGGATTACTTCCTTGGGTATGTTGGCAGTGCCGGCATGAAAAAAAATCAGTTTCTCATTTTGCTTACAGAACCTTAAGTGGCTAGACCTGAAGGACAATCCGTTGAACCTAGATTTGGCCAAAGTCGCTGGAGACTGCTTAGATGAGAAGCAATGTAAAGAGTGTGCACAAGCAGTAAGTTGGAATAAACCTATATCTATAAGAAGAATGTGTAGCTGTTTAAAAAAAAGACTTTGTGTAAACAACTTTGTTGGTGATTATCATGCAAGCTGCTTCAAGACAGTATTTTATCGACAGGTTCTGATATTTATGAAGGTCATACAGTCTGAACACGATCAAGAAATGCAGCGCAAACTATTGGAAGAGCGAGGTAACTATTGTTAACTGGTTGAATGGAATGCATTAATTTACTGCGATCGTAGAATGTAGGGTTATATTATGGACACCCAAAGGTACATAAACATGTTAATTATAAGTTTGTTTTGGGTTTTTTTTTTTCAGCACAGAAACAGAAACGAGAAGTGGAACAGAGAAAGAAGGAGGAACGCGAGAGAGAACTGAGGCGTAGGGAGAAAGCAAAACAGAAGGAACGAAAAAGGAAGGACTACAATGCTTTACAAGCAGCTCAGAGACAGGTCGCTAAGAACTCAGAGAGTGAAAAAAAGTTTGAAAATCACAGTAAGTTTAATGAACCCAATGGGTATGTTTTAGTTTTTACCATTTTTAGCTTGTCTCCTGGTATGGCTTTATTTTTTTTTTTTTATTCACATACCAAAAGCAGAGCTTAAACATTATGCTCACTGCCATTAACGAGTAAAAAATTAAGCCATGGTGAATGTTCCACTGATAAGCCGTCCAGGCACACACAGGCAAGTAAATTTTAGTATCCAGGACTTTCAATTTTGAGCCAGCCCTGGCTCTAAATTTTAAGCCCTGACATAAGTATAACCTAAAAACTGGTAAATATTCGTATATTAAAGGTGTTTGGGTCAACCTATAGCGTACTATAGGGCCAATGCCTTTTCCCAATTTGCTGTCTGTTCCCGTCTGACATGGCCTAGATTTGCAATATTATTGATACTGGGCCTCCTGAATTGAACAAGAGAGCCTTTACATTACTCTCTGTTTGCATAATCTACTCAGCCAGCAATGGCTATGTTTTTATCGGGAACACTTTACTTCGTTTATCAAACACAAAAATCATTATTCTTACTCTCAAAGGGTTATTTTGTTGTTGTTGTTGTTGTCTCTACACATGGTGCTCCTACTTTAACCCATGAGACTTAGCTGTTAAACCCAAACTGTGCAGTCTGACCCTTATGCAATGCACCTGTATCATTATGTATTTTGCAATGCTTGCTAAACCTGTTGTGGCTCGGCAAATCCGTTTATAAACCAATGCACAACATAATAAAGAATTTTTAAAAAATATATATTCGTAACTCATTTTTGAAAACTCTTTCTAACACTTCTCTAATTTATTTTGTTATACAGATGCATCTGTATTGCCTTCTAAAAAGCAAAAACAGCGAAGAACATCCTGGAAAGGGATTTTGGGGTGGTTCCTCTTGTTCATGTTTATCATGGCTATTGGTTGCGTAGTAGTGTGCCGCTGGACACATTTGCAGAAACACAGTATATGCTACAGTCCTAACGCCGTCTCTGAAGAAATTATGAATGCTTTGCACAGCTACCAGATTCTGGAACGAGTTCTACAGCCACCAGGCTCACAGCAACAAGGCCAATAACATTCGTGTAGATGCACTTTTTTTTTAATAAGGGTGTAGCTATGTTTTCCTTCTTTGGATATCAGAGGAGGTTTGGTATTTGTGCCTGATGTTGGTTGACTTTTTTTTTTTTTTTCCCCCATTGTTTTATCATTTCAGGACATTAATTCCCAAGTGTTCAACATTTTTGTTAATTTTATGTGATTTTGAAAAGTTTTAAGTGTGACTTCATTGTCACTTCAACACTAAATTTGGAAAGCATTCTTTCTTTTTTACAAGTTCATAAAGTACCCCATCACTTGGATGAATTTTCCAGAGTAACACAATTACGTAAATGAAATTATGGAGAAAAAGAAAATCTTATCTAATATAAAATATTACAAAATATGGTCCTGAACCACCATTGGGTGGATGCACAGTGTAGTAATCTGAATTTCAATCCCTCAATATATGGCCTCCGATTCTGTCCTACAATAACAGTGGAAGTTCATCCAGATTGTTATTAACTGAACAGTTATATCTGTGTCACTGGGATACATAAGTATCTACACTGCACACATGCATTACCTGTTACATCAGCCTGGTACCAATCTTTTAATCAAACACAATTAAAATTGTCTTTTGCTTATGAGTCTCTTTGCATCATGAATAGAAAATATGTTTTAAAAAACAAACCCCAAGTTTCCAGAAGCTGTAATTTCTATCCTTGCGTACGTTGGGCTACAGAGTAGTGGCTTTATCAATAACTAGTTATCCTCACTCTTAATCTGTTATTTAATCCAGATGTATCAATTTTACAGGTGTTTTTTTTTTTTTTTTTTTTTTCATCTGCACAAGAGAGTCCAATTACCGTTTAAAGGCTATTTCGAGCATTATATTTAATAAAATACATGATATAGAGCATGTTTGTAAAGATATAAAATTCGATTTTTATCCTCGGCGTGTCCCTTCTCAATATTGTTTTGTGATTTATATGCTCTGGAGTATGAATGAGAACTACCAATCAAACCTGAGCCACATAGCTTTGGGTGCTGTATTTCTATTAAAGTAACTTATTTTCATTCTTGTGGGTAAGTACAGTGTAAATGTACACTTGTGCGGTCATATACAATGGTTTTCCAATACATTTTGGACCAGAACCAGAGCTTAATGTAGTGGTTCTTGTGCAAAGAGATTGCCTCTGCAATGCAAACCCTGCCTTTTCAGAGAAAGGGCAGTGTTTACACTGTGTTCTGAGGCCACCTTCAGTGCCTATCACTTTGCAGGACTGGTGTTTGGTGTCTTCATGCTCTATATGAAGATGCCAAATGCACCCATAATGATGCAGAGCAGATGTTGATTGACCTAAATACAGCGGGGCTGTTCCAACTGCACTCCGACCGATGATCGGTTTTACCGATATTCTGTATTTTCGGCAATATCTACCAGGACCGCCGGGCCCATTACAAGCCTAGAGGTCCCGCAGCAAGCTGTTTCTTCCCTTTCCAGCATCACCTTCAGCTCCATGTGTAAATCTTGTGAGTCCCGCGGCCGTCAAGGCGTTGCCATGGGTTACCATGGCAACGCTCCGCGCGGCGCGCAGACCGCGAGATTTACACAAGGAGCTGCTGGAAAGGGAAGTAACAGCTTGCTGCTGGCCCCCCCCACTGCTCAGTACATGCCACTGGACCACCAGGGAATGCCATAGCCCCCCTCCCTGGCCAAATAACAAGCAGGGAGGGGGGACAAAAAATAATAAAACATAAATATTAAAATGTTACACAAATTACATTTTACAAAAATTGCATCCCTTCAGAAACACACACACTCTCCATTATACACACACTGCATTATATACACACTACACAAACACACACTCTGCATTTATTATATACACACTGCATTCACTTTACGCACACTACACACACTGCATTTACTTTCCACACTACACAAACACACACTCTGCATTCACTATATATATATATATATACACACTGCATCCACCAGACAAACACACACAGCTCCCCTGTCTAAACACACTGCATCCACTACATGTGGCATGTATATTTTGTGCATTTAACTTAACAAATTGTTTTTTTTCAAAATGTTTTTTTCCCCCCCAACCGCACACGCAAATATCAGACATTAAAAGGACCACTAACATGAATGCCCAAACCTATAGTGTTAAAAACACCCTCTTGCCCCTTCTAAATTTAGTAAAATCTTACTTTTATTGCAGTATGTTGCTGCTGGCTCTGTCCCTGATCTGCCTTATAGGCTGACATCATCAGAAGCATTAATCAAAGCCAATCACAATGCTTTCCCATTGGACTGGCTGAGCTTGCCAAGGATGCAGATCAGGGGCAGAGCCTGCACAAGCTTCCCCTGCAGCAGTTACACAGCACTTTTAGCTCCGCCCCACCGCACGGTAAGTCCCGCAGCAGGTAAGCCCCTCCCCCGTCGCAAATTTATTTATTTTTTAGCCCTGGCCAATCAGCATCTCCTCATAAAGATGCATTGAATCAATGCATCTCTATGAGGAAAGTTCAGTGTATCCATGCAGAGGCTGAGACAATGAATGGCAGTACTGCATACTGTGCAACACTGCCCTAGAAAGCACCTCTAGTAGCTATCTGTGGAGTGGCTATTGAAGTTATCCCTAGGCTATAATGTAAATACTGCCTTTTTCTTTGAAAACACTGTATTTACTGCAAAAAGCTTGAAGGAAATGATTATACTCACCAGAACAAATACAATAATATGTAGTTGTTCTTGTGACTATAGTGTCCCTTTAAATATTTTGCCACTTATTCAGGTTTCACACACTCTGGATCAAAAGCCATCCACACTCATTCATATGCACTGTAAAGTAAAGGTAAAGGTAAAGTGCATTTTACCGAGTACTCAAGTAAAACAAAATGTTAACTATAAACAGCCAGGTGTGAAATGACAAGAAATCAAGATTAATTTAACTCCTTCACGACCGCGGACTTGCAGGGTTCTTCCGACAAAAAAACACTGTTAATGACCACGGATGTACCCTGCACGTCCACAGCTAAAATGACCCTGGTACTCATCTGGATCGGCGACCCCCCGGGGGGTGGTCATCATGATCACATGGCTGCAATAGCAGCCTATGGAGCTCTCAGGCAGTACCCCAGACACCTAAAAGTGTAAAAAAAAAAATCTAATATATTATATATGTGTAATATATTCTAAAATATTTTAAAGAATTTTATAATATATTATACATATATAATACATATATATGATTTCATTATAAGTGTACTTTGAGATATATACACATATATCTCAAAATACACTTATAACGAAATATATATATTACATATTATAAAATGCTTTAATTATTTTATAATATATTATACATATATAGTAAATAAAAATGTGTGTGTGTATTATATGTGTCTATATATACACACACATATAATATAAATTAACACTGACGATATCATTGTTGTGATACATTTTACTGTTTTGAAACACTCATATTTGTGTTCAGCGAAGTCCACTGAGTATAACAGTACACCCCATGTGCTGGTTTTATAGTGTTTTTGAAAGTTACAGGGTCAAATATAAGGCTTGCCCATTTCATTTTTTTTCAATGAATTTTGCCAAATTGGTTATGTTGCCTTTGAGACCATATGATAGCCCAGGAATAAGAATTACCCTCATGATGGCATACTATTTGCAAAACTAGACAACCCAAGGTATTGCAAATAAGGTATGTCCAGTTTTTTCTAGTAGCCTACTAAAAAAGAGTGGACATTCCCCATTTTGAATACCGTGGGTTGTCTACTTTAAAAATATAAATATATATGGTAATATGGGTTTGATTGGCCAGCTTAAAAAATGTCCCAAATAGGACATGGATGCATGATCACCAGCTGTGAAAATTCCAAGTTGGAAAGCTGGAATGCGCATCTTCCAAATTAGGTATTTTAGCCCCCAGAGAACCCGACACACCTATACATGGGTGGTATCACTACTCAGGAGGTGTTGCTGAACACATACTGGGGGTGTTATTTGGCAGTAACCCTTAAACTTCTCAGTACATGTATCCTTAAATTGCTATGTGTTTTTTTTATTCTTTATTTTTCTTGTGTATAAGTTCACAAACAGGCTTGTAGCGCCACGACAGCGAGTACAAGCTTTACTTTGGCATACAATATCATGGCAGAGTTGTCAGCACATTTAATGTTGTAAAATGTCACGCTTGGAGTACTAGAGTAGCATGAGTGGCTATATTAAACTCTAAAGCAGCCTTACACTTATGATTAGACTGGAAAAGAAAATGTCCACCCCAGGTGGGTTCCACGTCGGCCAGGCGAAGGTCTGTGTTTGCCTATCAGGAGACCAGTCTTTCTTTGGTGCGATAAGCTGAGGTGTCTGCTGCACTATTGGTATTCCATTGTTAGCTGATTTGTCAGTTGTTTGTCTTGGGCTGGTGAGAGGTCCCAGGCATCATGTCTGCTGTGAGTGATCAGTCCGTGCGTTTCAGCTCCCTCTCGATGCGCTGCTTGGTATAGTAGGGTAATCCAGTATACAGTGCCAGTTCCTTTTTTTATTTTTTTTGCTCTGCTCATAGGGTTTTAGCACCCACTCCACTGGTTCTCACTCTGACTGGTTCGGCGGTCTGTTAGTGTGGCCGCAGGAGAGGTGAGTGCGCTCGGCTCTGATTAGGGTCGCTTGCCATGTGGTCTCCGCCATCTTGGAAACGGCCTGTGCGCCGTGCGTTCTCTGCCTCTGCTCCAAGCGCCCGCATTGTGGTGTTCCGATGGGTCTCAGGGTGGGGAACGGGAATACCCCCACCAGCCCAGAGGGGGGGGAACGGAGCCGGACCTGCCTAACCCCGGGTTTCTGTCTTACCGCTGGTGGGCAGGATAGCCAGGCAGCAGCGGCCGTCCACCTCGCTCACCGCCTGAATGGTCCGCGTTGTATGACTTAGATCGCCCCGCCGAGGGACTAAAACTGCTCAGCAAGCCTCTCCTCAGGACCAGTGTGGCCTCTTGCACCGGTGCACGGCAGCCAGTTGTCAGGTATGCGTGTAGCCGTTTTTTGGGGGGAGCAAAAACTGGAGGTTTTTACAGGAGCTACTCCAGTTTGCGTCCATTCAGCCTGGCGGTCCGGCCCCGCCCCCTCAAATTGCTATGTGTTTTTTTTTGTTTTTTTTATATTCTTTATTTTTGAACATGCATGAGGTTACATTGCATCCTGCATTGCCACAACAGCAAATGCAAGGATTTGCGGTACATTCAGTGATACATGTGAAATAATAGTGAGGACTACTAGAGATAATACTTGCATCATTTAGGAAAACAGCATGAAATTTTATATTTAACGATTAAGCTAGCAACAGTATTGTAGATACAACATGAGTTAGTCAAGGTAATGTAGACTTAACTAGTGGCTCATTTTTAAGTTAGAGATCATGCAGGCTAAACGTAAACAGGCTTAGTTAGTTATGTAGCTATACAGTAGGTTCAGTAACTTCAGTTAAGATGTAGTGTGGAATAAGAGTGTACGTTGCTGTGAGTGCCGTATACATTGCGCTAACTTGCGGTCACTGGTAGATACAACTTATAGATTAACTTTTATACTATGTCTAGGTAGGTCATATTATGAAGACTAGTGGGGTTACACAATGTGGGGCAACTGTCACCCTGATGGATCGTAGTTCCCAGAGCTGCCTCCGTGTGGGGGATATCGGTATTCTGGTGGTCCCAAGGCCACTCAGACAGGGGTAGTCCCGCTTTTATCAGATACCTCTTCTGCTGTGTTCAGGTGGTAGGGGGCAAGTGTCCATCAGAGCAGGCATCAGAGTGTACTTTGTCCTCATAGACTCCTGCATAGTTCTTTGGGTGCATTCGAGTTGCAGCCTTGGCGCTTGCCGTCTTCCCTTGTCTGCAGGCTGATGTCCGCCATGCGTGAGAGCTGGGCTTTGTCCATGGGAGTCCGCCGCTTTCGGGGTAATCCTGTTATAGGCTGAGTGGTAAGTGAGTGCTTCCGGCAGAGGTGTCATGCCGGGCAGCTGGCGCAGTTACCCCAGGCGGGGATCGGTTGCTGTTAGGAGTTCCGCCCTCCCGGTGCAGCCGCAAACTCCCGCTTGTTCCGGTCGCCCATGCATCTAGTTGCTGGCTTGGGTGATAAGGGTAGGCTCTGTGTTTGCCGTTTCCCTATGTAGTGGGATCGGGATGTGGGAGCTGTTTTTGGTGTGATCATGAGGAGGTGGGAGGTGTTCCCCTTGTTGTCTGCGTGCAAGACGCCCGCCATTTTGGAGGCAGCAGTCGGGCTTCTCAGCCTCAGTCGCGGAGTTACATTCAGGGCCGCAGGGTGAGGACCGGGATCACCCCCCCGGTCCATAGGGGGGGGAACGGAGCCGGATCCGCGCCGGTCTGTACCGTTGGTCTGGTTCTGTGGTGCAGGATAGTGAGGCAGCGGCCGTCTGCCTCACTCACCGCCGGAGAAGGCCCGGGTTGGGGCAACATGTTTTTCTCCCCCAGGGGACTGAAGCTCAGTGAGCCAGCCTCTCCCCGGGTCCAGCAGTCCCTCGGCTCTGGGTATCTTCGCGGTTGATCAGGTTTTAGGTGGTAATCAGCGTTTTTAGCAGTGATTATGTATTGTGTTACTGGAGCTGGTCTGACTTGCGACCGTCCAGCCTGGCGGTCCGGCCCCGCCCCCCAAATTGCTATGTGTTTTAAAGAAAAATCACCAATTTTTTTTTATATTTGGCATAGATTGGTGGTAAAATGGTTGCATTAAAAGAGTAAAAATACCCCAAGTTTATTACCTAAGGTTGTCTTTTTTTTTAAATATATACATGTGTAGAGTTATTCAGGGATTCCTGACAGATATCAGTGTTACAATGTAACTTTTTGCCCTAAACTTAACTTGCTAAGAACATGTTAACAGTGGGTATTTCTAAACTCAGGACAATATTTAAAAACTATTTAGCGCAGGTGTTTTGTGGCAGTTGTAGATGCGTAACAGATTTTGTGGGTCAAGGTTAGACAATGTGTGGGGTTTTTTAAAAAATATTTTCATGCTATTTTATAATTTTTTTATAGTAAATTATATGACATGATGAAAATAATGGCATCTTTAGAAAGACCATTTAATGGCGAGGAAAACGGTATATAATATGTGTGGGTACAGTAAATGAGTAAGAGGAAAATTACAGCTAAACACAAACACCGCAGAAATGTAAAAACAGCCCTGGTTCCAAATGGTAAGAAAATTGAAAAGCGGTCTGGTCACTTAAAGTTTTTTGCCAGAGTATTAGAACAGTTAGCTGGCTTGAAGATTCTTTTCTTCAGACATGTTATTTTGGCCTTAGATTTTGAATTCACTGGGAGTTCTGAAAATAATCCACATCTTGGGTTGTTGTGTATTCTACAATTATATAATTCGAGGATTTTACAATTATCATGACGGAAAGTCATGATTTTATTAAAGACACGGAGGCGAGTATTATGCTGCTCTCTTTCTTTAATACCCTCAGCAGCAAAGAATACATTATGAAGAAAATAAACATTTGAACTAAGTATAACATCATAGTGACAATGTCCGCCTAGTAACATAGCCATCCAATCAGTGTCGTCCTCCTCCTATAGTAGGCGGAGCATTGATGACCAATTCCTCTTTCTTTCTTGCGTAACCCGAAGAATAAACTCAAAACTCGGAACAGGAAACCGGATGAACCAACGAGCCATAACAAGGTATGTGACTTCACGAGCTCCTTCAACCCAGTCATGCTAGAAGAGACAAGAAAATATGGTAATGTCTGGGACTGATGGATTTTTCACATATAGAGGTCTACACAAGTGATTAAACAATGGCAATAATTCATAAACGTAGTAAAAGTGACTACTGATCTGTGGACAATCGTGATAATGAGTCTCAAAGTAGATAAAGTCCATAAAGCCTGTGATGGCCCAATATCACCAAGAGTGAACTTACCATGGAGAGGTCTGTAACTTACCTTGCCCCACATCCAAGCCGTCCAAGGGCGGGTGGGTGGGATAATACTCGCCTCCGTGTCTTTAATAAAATCATGACTTTCCGTCATGATAATTGTAAAATCCTCGAATTTTATTAAAGACCCGGAGGCTCCTATTATGCTATTTTAAAGCTGTGAGATCACGGCTTCTGCAAAATGCTGGATTGGTTTGAAATAAAAATTACGGAAGGTAGATTCCGTGGACCAATCAGCCGCCTTCAATATATCCTCTAGACGACAACCAACAAAGGAGGCTTTAGAGGCCATGGCACCTCGAACTGAATGGGGAGAAAAAATGGAGGTGTCAATACCCGCCAAAGACATGAGCCATTTCACCCAGCGGGCCAAGGTTGGAGAGGAAACCGGAGCATGCGGTTTACGGAAGGAGATGAAGAGTTGGGGGTCTGATCCGGTCCAAAGGGGTGCGGTACGGGCTTCGTATGCCCGAAGGCACGCTACCGGACAAAGGAGTGGCTGTGTGGGAAACGCTGGGTACAGGACCGTCCGAGATGACGATTTCGTCCTCCGTGAGATGTCAAAGACTACTCCTTCTGAAGAGAAGGATCGGGCATTGACATCGAGTGCTCTAACGTCTGACACTCTCTTGCAAGAGATTAGGCATAACAGCATAACTAGTTTAGCTGATAGTTGTTTCAACGATAGAGACTCGTTGTCTGGCCACTGTGTCAAGAAGTTCAACATTAGGGAGACGTCCCATAGGGAGGAATAGCGAGGTTGGGGCGGCCGTGCAAATCGAATGCCTCGGAGAAGACGACATACCATTGGGTGTCGTCCTATCGGGGCCCCATCAATGCCGGTATGGCCGGCCGATATGGCCGAACGGTAGAGGTTCACTGTCCTGTAAGCCTTCCCGTCGTCATAAAGGGACGTTAAGAATTGCAGGACTGTTGCCACAGAAGTTGATAGGGGATCCAAACCCCGTGCCATGCACCAACCATCCCATGTGCGCCAAGCAGACTTGTAAGACTGTCTCGTGCCGGGTGCCCATGCGCCCTCGAGAAGTCGGAGAGTCGATTGCGAAACTCCCTCGATCGACCAGGGTCCCCGGAAATCAGCCACGCCATGAGGCGGAGGAGTCCCTGACGGATCATGGGGTGGGGGTTCGCATCGGGGTCTCGTAGTAGAGATTGGGTATCCGGGAGGAGCCGCGGGCGATCTATGGCCATCTCCAGAAGAGGAGGGAACCAGGGCTGTGACGGCCATAAGGGGGTTATTATCACCAAGCAGCCCAATTGGCGCCGTAGGTGGAGAAGACACCGAGGAATGAGGGCGAAAGGAGGGAAAGCATAGTTCCTGGCGGTCGACCAGTCTTGGGAGAAAGTATTCGTAGCCGAAGCCTTGGGATCTGGCCTCCAACTGAAGAAGGTCGGAAGTTGGGTGTTCAAGCGAGAGGCAAATAAGTCTATTGCCAGGGGACCCCACAGATCCCAAATGTGCTGGAAGATTTGGGGATCGAGATGCCAATCGCTGCAATCCCGCAGGTTGCGGGAGTACCAATCTGCTGTAGTGTTGGACAATCCCGGTAAGTATTCTGCCCTGACCGCCATGTTGTGTTGCAGACAAAACTGCCAAAAGTCCCTCGCCAAATTCGCTAGGATTTTGGATCTCGTGCCACCGAGGTGGTTGATATAACGGACAGCCGATACGTTGTCCATCTTTAGTAGGATTGAGCATTGGGACAGTGTCGGGGAGAGGCTGCGAATTGCAAAGGACCCTGCAAGGAGTTCCAGGCAATTTATATGCAGTGTGGACTCCGCCGCCGACCAGCGTCCGCCTGTGGAAATATCTCCGCAGCGCGCACCCCAGCCATAAGAGCTCGCGTCCGACTCTATGATCACGTCTGTGGCCGAGCCGAAAATGGCTTTGCCATTCCAGGCCTCCATGTGGATGAGCCACCAGCGGAGTTCTGCTTTCGCTTCTGCGTTTAGAGTCAGAGTATCCTCGTATGAGGCGCCGTCTTTCAGGTATGATGCCTGTAGGCGTTGGAGGGCCCTGTAATGAAGGGGCCCCGGGAAAATGGCCTGTATGGAGGCTGCTAAGAGCCCGATCACGCGGGCCAGATGTTTGAGAGATATATGAGGACAGGTAAGAACTCGTCTTATCTCCTTTTTTATATTTTTCATTTTGGATTGTGGCAAGTACAATGTTTGCATTACAGAGTCCACCAAGAGACCTAGGAATTCTATTTGTTGAGTGGGGGCTAGGATGGACTTTTCCCAATTTATGATGAATCCCAAATTCTGCAGCAAGGTTGTGGTCCAACCGAGGTGAATTTGTAGCAGTGCGACTGACTGGGATAGCAGCAGGATGTCGTCTAAATAAATGATTAGGCGTATCCCCCGACTGCGTAGAAGAGCAACCACGGGCTTCATTAGCTTGGTGAAACACCACGGTGCGGAAGACAGACCGAAGGGAAGGCAGCGGAACCGCCATTTCCTTCTTTGCCACGTGAATTGCAGGAAATCCTGGTGCCCCCGTGCAATGGGTACCGTGAGGTACGCATCTTTGAGATCGAGTTTGACCATCCAGTCGCCTGGTTGGAGCAAATCTCGTAGGCAGTGAATGCCCTCCATCTTGAAGTGATGGTAGGTTACGTAAGTATTGAGGTGTTTGAGATTGATAACTGGGCGGGATCCGCCCCCCTTTTTTGGGACAATAAATAGGTTGCTCACAAAACCCGGGGTATGCATCTTGATTTCTTGAATAGCACCCTTGAGAGCCAAGTCCCGGACCTCCTCGGAGACGAGGGTCGTGTCTAAAGGGGAAAAAACAATCTCCCTGGGAGGTGAGCGCTGGGTGGGAAGGGATATAAAGTCTATCAGGTACCCGTGGACAGCCCTGAGTATCCAGGCATCTGAGGTAATGAGAGCCCAAACGTGGGAAAAATGTGTGAGTCTGCCCCCAATCGCTACATGTGTAGAAAATTGAGAAAGGTAGCTTACCGTAAGGACGTCTTCCGGAAGGAGCGCCTCGTGTACCTCTCGACACCCATGGTCTGCCTCGTTGGGGAAAAAAGGTCGGGGCGGACCTTTGATCAATAAAGGGGGTTCTCCCCACATAGGAGCCTCGGCTCGGGCGTGAGCCTCTGTAAACTCTGCCGGACAGACGGCCCCTTGCTCTGCCGGCCCCACCAAAACACCCTTTTTAGATTTGATTGTGCCTTGTCTAAGGCCATAAATGTTTGTACATAAGATCCCAGATCTTTTACAAAAGATTCTCCAAAAAGGTACCCTTTTGCTAGGGCTCCTGGCTCGGTAATTGCCATATTTACGAGCTTGGGTTCTATTTTAATTAGAATAGCTTTACGACGCTCTGTAGCCAGAGCGGAATTGGCATTGCCTATGAGGCATATCACCCTCTGAATCCAACCTCTAATAGTGAGGCGATCTAAAGCGTCATCGTGTGCCAAGGATTCCTCCACGGCTTCAAATATTTTGGTCGCTGGACCTAGGATATCCAAGACTTTGTCTTGACAATTATAAAGTGAAAAGTCCAGACCTTTTCTAGGTTTCCAACCCGTCTTGCTTAAAAATTGAATGATCTTGGGATCGACTTGGGGTGTCTTACAGACATCGTCTGGTACAGTGGGACGTGGGCATTCAGCCCTCAGTTTACTACGTGTTGCCTTGTCCAGAGGCTTACGGACCCGTGAGGCGACATATTGCGCCACATGCTCAGCTGGTGACCATTCCGCAGAGCGGGGGTGGCGCAAGTCATCCGGCTCAAACAATGGTTCGCCCTGCGGGTCAAGAACTGTTCCCTGTTTAATCAATTCTGAGCTTGCGGTAGTCATCTTAGTAGAGGGATTACACACCTCATCCATGTCATATTCCGAATCTAGGTCGGACAAATCGTGAGACTGATCTGAGTCTAGGGCTGGGGCACTCTCCTCATCTGAACTGAGCTCTGACTCAGTAGAATCAGGTTGGGCTTTAGCCCACTTCCAATGCCTAGCCGCTTTTGCTCGGCTAGAGGCTCTTTTGCGCGGTGGGTTAGCATTCGCGCCATCTGTGACAGGTGTTTTACTGTCCATCGTCAATTTGGAGGAGTGCTTGGTTTTTGCCGAGGCTTTGCGGCCGGGGCGTGCTGGGTTGGAAATGGCTGGTATCGCGACTGGCATAGCGGTCGGAGGGACCATGCGTTGGGCCTGTCTTAGTGCCTGGGTAAAAGATTTAGAAATAGATGAGGACATAATGCCCATGGCAGATGCCAGGGCTTTAGAGACAGACTTGGACACAGTAGTATCCATGATAGCCTGAATATCCTCTGATGCTTGGAAATCCAGGTCATCCCCAGAAACTATAGGGGGAACACCCAATGTAGTGTGGGGGTCAGTTGTTGTCCCTGAGGGACCAGGCAAGTCATTAGCAGATTGCATAGTATAATGTAACTGACAGGCAGGAGTTTATAATCAAATAGCAGATTTTTATTTTTTTTTTGATTTTTTTTTATTATTATTATTATTTTTTTTTTTTTTTTGACAGTAATCAACAGTGCAAGTAACGTGTGGTTAATTTAATACTAAAAGTTGTAAGCAGGGTTAAGTAACCCAGCTGAAATAACTAAAGTACACTAAGCAGTATATTTAAAACAGCAAAGACACTTACAGCTAGTTATGAAATAATGGAGGGGAGCAGGAGAAAGGGGGACCGTCCGCCACTAATACTGGACACCAACTCCGATCAAGGGACGGAGTGGGCGTTCCAGAGTACAAAGGGCGGGAAAAATGCGGAAGAAAATGGCCGCCGTGTCGGCGGGAACCAAAAAGATGGCCGCCGCGACGAGCGAAACCGAAAGTAAAAGTAAAGGAAATGAAAAGCCGTTGTCGGCGTGGAAGGAACGGAGTTACACTGCCGCACGAGGAGGGAGAGTAGGAGTGTGGCTGGCTGCGCGGTCAGAAATAGATCCGACCGCGACCACCGCCGGAGTGAAAATGGCCGTTGGGGCGGTCTGACAGGGCGCGCATGCGCGGACAGACTAAATGCCGGCGAATTTAAAGTAACAGGACCTTAGACCTGTCAAGCCCCTGAATATCAGGGCAGTTAGAAAAAATGGGGTTAAGCCATGAGAGTGGTTGGATTTGTAACAGAAACAAGTGAAATATTCAACAGTGGTAAATGATTATTTAAAGGTACAATGCCTCCAGTACCAGTAAAAGGTACCCATTAATGTGAGTTATTATAAAGAAAACAATTAAATACAATTAAAACAATTAAATATAATTAAATACAATTAGCATGTTGAATAGAGTAACATTAAAGGATCTCACAGTGAGAGAACTGTGAGAGGTGTACTTATCTGAGGGTAGCAGCAAAGAAAGAGGAATTGGTCATCAATGCTCCGCCTACTATAGGAGGAGGACGACACTGATTGGATGGCTATGTTACTAGGCGGACATTGTCACTATGATGTTATACTTAGTTCAAATGTTTATTTTCTTCATAATGTATTCTTTGCTGCTGAGGGTATTAAAGAAAGAGAGCAGCATAATAGGAGCCTCCGGGTCTTTAATAAAATCCACAGTTTTATGAGATTAATCCTAGCTGTGGGTTCTATAACCCAGTCCTCCAGCCAAACCAGCAGTCCATGTTTTAGGCCTGGGGTGGTCAAAAATCAAAGCAGACACACTTGCACAATGCTAGGAATGTCATGGCATCCATAAACCAGGAAATTCTGCATACTTGTGAATCAAGTCTGATGTTAACCATAAGGCAGAGAATTTGAAATCGTCGTGGGCAGCAGCCAATTAATAAGGTAAAATATATTTTTAAGTCCCTGGTTAGGACACTGCTTTCAATTGCCTTGCACAATAAAACAGCTTGCCTAATGTCAGGAGTTATTTGTTAATGTGCAGAGCATTGTACCCAGTGCAATGAGCTGCATCTGTCACTGCAGAATATGGTTCTTAAAATAGCTCTGCACAGTGATACACACAGATTGCCTTATGTAATATCCTATGTGTGTCCTGGAGCAAAAGAAAAGCATGGGGAGCCTGCAGCAGAGGACAAGCAGGGATAAAAGAAGAGGAGGGAGAGCCTCCTAGCGTTCCTGCTCCCCACTGCTCCCTCGCGAGCGCTGTCTGTAGTGAAGCCCCACATCGGCTCCAAAAGGTAGGGAGCAATAAAGAAAAGTATGTGTGTGTAAGTGAGTGTGTGTAACAGTGAGTGTGTGTGCAGTGGTGTATCCTGGTTTTGTGCTGCCCTTGGCATGAAACTCAGGCACCCATGCTGCCTTCTAAATACACATACACACTCACTGACAGACACACATACACTAGCTGACATACACACTCACTAACAGACACATACAGTGACTAGCAGACACACATATACTCTCACTAACAGACACACATATTAACACTCACTAACAGAGACAGTCACTAGCAGATACACAGTCACTAACAGACACGCATACACTCTCACTAACAGACATGCATACATACACACTAGCATACACACTTACTAACAGGCACACAAACAGTAACACACTCCCTAACAGACACACACATAGTAACACTCCCTAACAGACACTCACATTTACTAACAAACACACACACACACTAACACATTTTTTTTTAACATTCAATCCCCCCAGCTTCCTTACTTTTGGGAATGCTGGGGTGGATTATCACTTCCCCTGGGGTCCAGTGGGGCTGCTGGGTGGCCGGCCGGTCACTGCAGTCAGCGAGGGAGCACTAATCCTCCTGTTCAGCTCCCTTGCGCGCCGCGTAGTGATGCCGGAGCCGGAATGACGTCATATTCCGGCTCCTGCATCACTGCAGTGCATGGGAAGGAGCTGAACAGGAGGATTAGTGCTCCCTCGCCGCTGGCCCGCAAAGCTCCGCCACTGCGAGCCTGGGGGGCCCTGAGGTGGCCGCCGGGCCAGCTCTTGGGCCCCCCCAGGACAAGAGGCTTGCAAGGCATTTGCCAGGGCGATTGGGGGCGGCTTTTTTTGACGACCCCCAGAAAGTGCCACCCAAGGCAAATGCCTTGTTTGCCTCAGGGTAAATACACCCCTGTCTGTCAGTGTGTGTGTTGGTCAGTGTTGCATTGGCTGCGACTGGACAGTGGAGTACATGGAGGCACGCAACACCACGTCACATTTCGACGTAACATCAATTTGCTCCCCCTTCACAGGGTTTCAAGAGGTAGCGGGAGGATCAGATTTGGCACAGGGTGCGGACGGCGCCATTTGGGGTATACCAGAGGCCGGACTCGCATACTGGCAGCGGCAATGTGAGTGGAGTCTGCTTGTTGGCTAGAGGGGGAGGACTGGGATTTAGTAGAGGGGAAGGGCTGGGATTTAGTATAGGGGGATGCTGTTTTGTTGTTTTTTTATACTGTAATTTTCTAAATAAACCTATGTTTTTATGAAAATTTAAGGTTTCAGGTTTTTTTGCGGTCCACATAAACTTAAACCTTGTTTATGTGGCCCGTGCTAGACTTTGAGTTTGACCTAACAGGTGACCTCTAAAATTACAAAAAGAAAATATGTGTGGTTAGGGAAATGTGCCTTTTGAATTTCATATACAGACTGAAAAATGTATTAATAGTTTAAAGCCATTTTTCAAGATTTCATACAATGTCACTTTAGTAATAATTCCACATGCTACATGTTTATTTATTTTTTTATAAAACCGTATGCATTTTGCATTCGTTATACAAATCAAATACTTTAGTTATTAAGGAAACACAACATCCAACAGCTTTCACCTAGTAGAAAAGGAACTGTACTTTTCCATTCAATATATTTATTTCACATTGTAGCTTCATGTTATGATAAAAATACTGGTTATAAAATTCTATACCCTCTCCCCAAAAAAAAAAAAAAATAATAATATTAATTATGCTCATTAATCCCAATTCTTTTAGTAAAAGTGCTACAGTGCCATGTGGGTTTGTATAGAACATTGAGGAAGGAGTAATATTTGTTGTACAGTACATTAAGTTAGAAGTAATATTTAGTGCACTTAATTGGCCATGGAGTAAGAACACATTTTAGGTTTGGTAAAAAAATAATTAAAAATAAGCTTTAGTTACACAAAAATACTGCATTTAGTGAAAACTTTCCTCCAATAAAGGGACACCGAAAGCACCAAAACTTTAGCTTAATGAAGCAGTTTTGGTGTATAGATCATGCCCATGCAGTGTCACTGCTCAATTATTTGCCATTTACAAATTAAATTACTTTTCCTTTTGTTTATATAGTCCTAGTCACACCTCCACTAACTAAGCCTTACACAGACATACTGGGGGGGGAAAGAGTCCGATTTATTTTTAGCTTCCCCGATAACATAGTGTGTTTAATTCAGAATTTCTGTCTCCTGCTCGGTTAATAGCCTGTTAGAGAATCATGAGTGTGCAATTTGCAGAGAAGAAAAAAAGAACTTCTAATGTAACACACTGTGCAGTAAGATCTGATTCAAACGTAAACCATTTTCATGTGGGCTGTGTAAATCACAGTGATTTAACTCCTAAATGACAGAGTTAAACAATAAAACTGTAATGGCGTGATCTATACACCAAAACAGCGTCATTAAGCTGAAGTTGTTTAGGTGTTTATGGTGTCGGTTCAAAAAATTAATTTAAAAAAAAAAAAAAAAAAGTATTTGAATTTATATGTAATGTTCATCCTCATTGACATTATCTGATTGCAATGTGCAGTTAATATTTCAGAGGTTGTATTTCACGACAACCACTGCTACATGTTACTATAATGTTACAACAAATGTGTGTGTTTCCAAATGATGGACATTCCTCTGTCCTAGAAACATATTCTAGGAAACAATCAAATGGTTTTGCTTGTTTCAGCTTAATGCATGCAGTCTCTTGGCATATATTTTCCACCTCTTTGTGTTGCACGCAGTGTCTCATTTTCACGACAAATCCAGTAACAGTTCAGGGTCCAGTGACATGAATTGAAGGTATATTCTTTTAGACATTTCTTGGCCAATCCGTCGAGACGTGGAAGTAACACCTTCACCTCGACGCACAAGGATATCACTTAACAAACAATGGCGCTCTGCTTCTGTGTTACAATGGTTATAAGCCTGTAAGACAGGTATATGACAATAAGTGGACATAAAAGGCACTCAGATAATTCACAACACAAATAGAAGAATTGTTAAGTACATGGCTATGATTAGTGAGGACAGAGGCAAAAGGTGAAAACTGTAATAACGATACTCATTTTACCGGTTGAAGACTAACCTGAAACAAGAGATAAGGAGATGGGTAGGCTGCCACAACTGCATTTGCAGTTTCCACACTAATTCTGTTAAACTGTTGGATTTGCCTCTTCCATACTCCTAGGAGACCCTTCCCACAGCGATCAACTCTTACTCCTCCTGCCCACTCTCCATCGAGGTAAAAGGAAAACTTGGAGTTGTTGCGTTGCATCCTGAGGATAAAAGTTGTGTATTACATGAAAAATAATGATGTAGGAGATTTAGTAACAAATGAGTACCAAGCATTCCATGGCTGGACATATCTAAGTGACATCTTACAAGTGATCTAGAAAGTGGTAGGCATTAGCACCTTCCTTGCCTTACAAGGGTCCACTACCTGTCCTCCCAGCATTGACACATTTTTGCTACCTTTAATCATATTGGATAATAATTTAGAGGTGCTTGTCTTGTTCTCTTGGTTTCAGTAAAATTCTATTCAAGCTATAATGAACAGGATTTTAAGGAGACCAAAAGAAAGTAATTTAAAATGGAACTTATGACAAAGCAGTGGAGGAGTTAGTATATTCTATGAGGCAGTATAATACAGAGGAACAAAAACATGCCTGACGATTATAGCTTAGAAAATGTTAAGACAATATGAATGTAGAAAATGGTTAAATTCTCATTCTGCAACATATTACTGTTAATTACAATACTCGTTCATACATTTTTATTCTTGTACTAGTGTTTTAAGAGTACCTGGCATGTGTAATTTATTACAGCAATCAGTTCTAACACCCATCCCCACATCTCCCAACATTACTTAATTGGGGCCTCGGCGACAGCTTTGTTGAACATGCAGGAAAAATCAGCAAATTCCTTCCAGGTTTCCAAGAACCGTACATGAAAGCCCGTTTCTAATTGGAATTCTATCATTGCCTGAAACACACAAAGATTAAAAATAAAGAACAAATCAATTAAGTATATTATAGCCGCAAAAATGAAATGGTTTCTACAAGCATCATAACCACTTCAGCCCTCTGTAGTGGTTATGATGCAAGGAGTACCCTGGCACCTTTGCGAATTTACATTAGCCAGACAGGATCTCTTGTCGCAGGCAGGCGAAATACACTGATGGAGGTGGAGTTACACCTTTGGCATGTAACCTTAAAGGGACACTATAGACACCCAGACCACTTCAGCTCATTGTAGTGGTCTGGGTGCACAGTTCCAGGTGCCTTAACCTAGAGCAGGTAATGATTGCAGTTTTTAAGAAACTGAAATAATTAGCTTGGTGGGTTAACTCCACGTCTAGTGGTTGTCTACAAGACAGCCACTAGAGGGACTTCCAAGCTTTTAAGCAACGTTTGTTCACATAACTGACACTGGACGTCCTCACGCTATGCATGGGGACATTCAGTATCACCCAAAACCCCATAGGAAAGCACTGTATTATGTTTTCCTATGGCATGTGCATTAGGTCTCCCTCGCCGGCTGATGTTGGATTGGAAGTAGAGAAGTCGGACCTGTAAGTGACGGAAGGGGGAAGCTATTGTGCCCAGAAAATTAGTTTGTTTTCCTGGCACTATAGTTTCCTTTTAATATCTCTATGTGCAGTATTTTATACTGAAACTGCACATACAGACTCCAAGCACCATGACCACTTTAAATCACTGAAATTGTCAAGGAGCTTGAAGTAACCCTTTAGAACATTCCAATTTAATTTAATTAACAGTCATTTCCAGCATATACAGCCTGTGAACTTTCAATCCTGGGGACAAGCACAATTAGGTGACCCAGATCATAAGAACATTTGGAACACACAATTTGTTTGCTGGCCAGTCATGTTCAGTCCAAAGTCTTGTCTGTCTGTTATTCCAGCCAAAACTGTTGACATTTGCAGCATTACAAGAAAAACAAAACAAAAATGCAGCCAAGTACATTTTAGTGGGAAGATGGCATTTATCTTTTTTCAGACATCATATATTGTAATGATTTATTTTCACTGCTGTAGTTTAAATAAATACAAGGAAAACACAAATTGCTCTCTAAAACAGAGAATGATGGATTCCCCATTAATGCTGCCATTGTCTTACCTCTTCTACTTCTATTCTAGTCAGATGGGGAAGCACCTCTAATTTTCGTTTTTTTGCAAGTTTTCTGGACTTCAAGTCATTTGAACCTTTATCAGCTTCATTTGACCTTTTCTTTGGCTGAGCCTTGTGACCCCTGTCAATCAAAAGTATTCCGAGACAGTGAGTTTTTTCCCACTCAAACATTATAAAACACAGACCACCTCTTACACACACCTGAAATATTTTTCCATCTCCATGATTACAAGGGTTGGCATCTTACAAGTCTTGTCCATTAGTGCATGAGTAAAATCTTTGTACAGAGTTTCATTGGTCCAGCTACCTGGTGGTTCCTGCAAGGTCAATGAAGATGGTGCCAAGAAGGCATTTTAGAGAATTACAAGGAAGAGAGAAGGGAAGTTATAGAGGGGAAATTATGCCTTAAAGCACATTTTTTGACATCTACCAAAATGTATTGTATTTCTTGACTATTTATAACAATTCTGAAAAACACCACTGTAGGCACTATGACCATTTAATCTCACTGAATTGTTTATTGTGCCTGGCATCCTCTGATATAGTCTCCTTATTCCATGTTAAACCATTTTCATGTGAAAAACATATCAAGTGGCCCTGGCACTCATCCAAAGAGGTAAACCTGGTTCGAGTAAAGTCCCCAAATTCTAAAGCAGTAAATTCTGTCCCTTGCCCACCCACAACCCAGCCTCTACTAGAGGTATGGATAAGGTAGAGATTGAACATGTACATACAGCCTACCAAGTCATACCAGTAATGGTTGCTGTGATTGGTTGAAATTGGTCACTTGACACACTCAGCCAATTAGAGCCACACATTTCTGCTCAAGCTAATACTTACTTACTAGCCCAAACAGCAGATTTGCTGCTGGGACACTCATTTAGCATCAAATGGATATAGCTGGTGAAAAGGAACACTGTATACACTCATACCTTCTTATGGTTCTGTAGCATTACAACAAATTCTTCTGCAGGTATAAGGATTATCATTTCAGCTTGCACTTGAGAAATATCTTCGTCCTGCCAGTCACAAACCCACAAATAAGGATACAAGTGAACACAGAAAATAGATAAAAAGCAATTATTTAATATGATGAGATTTGAATCTGGTATTTACCATATTAACTTACGTTCTCGTGAAGTTGTGTTCTTGTCCAGGTTATACTTCTTGCCACTGGTTGTGTTTTTATCACACATGGGATTTCTTGGGCTTGCAGAGCACTGAGAACTTGCCCTCCTTGCCCACAATGCAATAGACCTGAGGATACAGAGTTCTGGAAATAGTATAATTAGCATTAAAATAAAACATTGCTATACAGATATATACATAAGAGTGGAAGTGTCCAGGCCTGGATTTGTAGCATTCGGTCAGGCTGAAATCGGGACAAAATTCAGGCCCGTTTGGAGCCTGAATTACAAATTCTAGGCATTGAATTCCATGAACAATTACCAGATTTTGCAGTCGAAATGGCTTTCCCCATTCGGACTTTAATGCATAATCCCGCATTGGATCCTGCAGAGAATTACAAATTCTAGGCATTGTTGAATTCCATGAACAATTGCCAGATTTTACAGTCCGAATGGCTTTGCCCCATTCGGACTTTAATGAATAATCCCGCATTGGATCCCGCAGTCTCGCAGGATTGCCCATTGACCTCAATATTGTATCTTGCTCATGCGTGACATGGTAGATGAAAGCCCCAAGAACTGAATAGGACCAGCAGGAAGTAAAACTTAAGTTAAAACTTAAATTACCTTGAACCCCTCAGCCACCAGACGCTCAGCGGAACAGTCACCGTTAGGGGCTTTGGCAAAACACGAAAAGACCCCACAATGTGACAGTGCTGCTTTCAATCCCAATGGCAAAATTTAGGCTAAAATAGCCGGCCGGAGTCTATAGAAGTTTTGTAGAATTTTCTCAAATCTGCTATTTTTAGCCTCAGTTTTGCCATTCCAATTTCTATTCCCTAAAATCCAGTGTTTAGAAAGCAGTACCTGTGACTCCTCTGTTATCCTTTATGTAGAGGGGGGTGATGCTGTCGGAGGGCAGTCACAGTGCAGTTATCAGGGGGTACTTACCTGGGTCGATGAGCACAGTTAAATTATCCGGACTTTTCTTGCCCTTGGACGGGGCTGCAGGGGCCGCTCCTCCCGCTAGGGGGCGCTTCTGTCGAACCTGTAACGATGGAGCCGCTGTCACAGTGCGCGGACGGGGGGGTCTGGCTGGCGGCTCCTCCTCGCTGTCACTGCTCAGCACCATCACATCGCCGCACCGGGGCCCGCGGGCCAGGAAGGGGACAGCGGGCAGGTGATCGGGGTCGCTGAGATCGGCCGAGGAATCCATCAATGGATCGCAGCGGGATCGCGTTCAAAACTGGCGACCGGAAACAGAACTCTTTTTTTTTTTGTCCGTGTGTGTGTCTGTGTGTGTGTGTGTGTGTGTGTGTGAGTGTGAGTGAAGGGAAGTGACGTCACGTCAGTGCTAGGAGTTCGCAATGTCGCTTTGCTGCAGCGTGAGCCACCGGGCGCTCGGTGAGTGATTTCAGGGTCATTTGGTAGAAGAGGGCCCTGTGTTTAGTTGCTGGGGTTATTAAAGGCTGTTCCTTACTGGGCAGGGTAAAATGCACAGTGAAAAAAAAATAAATAAATAAAAATCTGAATGCTGTGATTGCTCCTGTAAAGTCCTGGGTGAACTTAAAATTAAAAAAATTGAATTAAAATAAATAACAATTTGTGAGTGTTTGATAAAATGTGTGTCTCTGTCAGTGAGTATGTGTTTGCCTGTATGTGTCAAATCACCGTGTGTGTCTGTTAGTGAGTATGTCTGCCAGTGTTTGTGTTTGTCAATGAGTTTGTCAATGAGTTTGGGTCATATCAGTGTGTGTCTGTTAGTGAGTATGTCTGTTAATGAGTATGTCTGCCAGTGTGTGTGTTTGTCAATGAGTTTGTCAATGAGTTTGGGTCATATCAGTGTGTGTCTGTTAGTGAGTATGTCTGTTAGTGTGTGTTTGCCAATAAGTGTGTGTCTGTTTAGGTCCAACAAAGGAATGGGGCTTAAATGTGTTCCCCAATTTTTGAAGAGATAAATCATTGATCAAGCAATAGGAAACTGCTCTCAAGAAATTTGATTAGTGTCCCTGTAGTCATTTCCCATTTGCATGGTGCTTCCCAGAATTCATTTTGTTACATATCAAAGCAAAAGATTGAGTTACTGAAGTAATTTTAAATAGACACTATAGACCTCATAACCACTACAGCTCAGTGTAGATTTATTTAAAACACTATAGTGCCCTGAGGGTGCCCCCACCCGCCCGGCTCTGGAAGTGGGAAAGGGGTAAAAACTTACCTTTTTCCAGCGCTGGGCGGAGAGCTCTCCTCCTCCTCTCCGCCTCCGTTACGCCCCGCCGGCTGAATGCGCACACGCGGCAAGAGCTGCGCGTGCATTCAGCCGGTCTCATAGGAAAGCATTACAATGCTTTCCTATGGACGCTGGCGTGCTCTCACTGTGATTTTCACAGTGAGAAGCACGCAAGCGCCTCTAGTGGCTGTCAATGAGACAGCCACTAGAGGATTAGGGGGAAGGCTTAACCCATTCATAATTATAGCAGTTTCTCTGAAACTGCTATAATTATGAAAAAATGGGTTAACCCTATAAGGACCTGGCACCCAGACCACTTAATTAAGCTAAAGTGGTCTGGGTGCCTAGAGTGGTCCTTTAAGGCATACAGCCTTTCCCTGCAGGCTGATCATTGTAAAACACTGCCTTTTCAGAGTAACTCCCCAAGCCTAGCAAACATGCATTTCAGCTGGTTTGATCTTCCTTTTAATCTTTATTCGTTGAATAAGACTTTGCAGGTAAATCCCAAACGTTTCATTGGGCGCAGAGTAAAAGGAATTTGATTTGTTCAAACTAGCTCTCTTCTGTCTAGTGATAATCCTACTCTCCAGCATGACAAATACAATGCATTAACTGTATTAACCATGATATTCCTGTAACAAGCACTTCATTCTGGTGCCAGTGAGTCCAAGCAGGGTCAATCTCCCTCCCCCCTGTAAGTAATCGAGGGGAATTGACCCTCAAGCCATTTTAGAGCAGTTTGACTGGGGTCTGCCGTAGTCTCCTCCATTGCAACCTAGAAAGAGACCCAAGCTCCCTGTTTGTGCTAAGCCCTGTGGTTCAGTTTTTAGCACACTGATTGAGAGCGACCAACTGATGCTCTCAGACAGTGAGCGAGTCCTGCAGTACAGGACTGTGCTCGGGTGAACTAAAGGAAACTCCTAAGCAGAATTCAGGCTCTCTCTCTGCTATTGGGAAGTTTAAATGCAGCACCTGGCAGACTCTCTTTTCCTATAGGGGGGGGGGGGGCAGCTCTAGGCCAACTAATGACGTCCCATTGACGCAACTAGAGACGCAGTGGTGCCTTTGGCAAAAGAGAGGGTAATCTGTGTATGTGCACTATTTAATAGCTTATTGCTTCACATACAGACTTCAGGCTCCATGATGTCTTCTAATCATTGAAATGGTTATGGTGCTAGGAGTAAATCTTGCATGTTATGGCAGTTGTTTATATAGATGTTTCTGAAAATCAGACTGTGATGGTGTTTAAACTGATTTTCTGTGCAGCTTCTTGTGTGAAAGTTCAAAGGACTAAATTTAGAATTAACAATATAATTAAAAATAAATTTATCCGGTAGGGATCCTGTTAACCAACTTTTGTTGTTGTGATGTTGGTGAACATAATACCAATTCCTCTTTCCTCCTTAGTTTCCCCGGTTTCTGTGTTGTCAATCCTGGTCAGAGGAGCATCAAAGAAAGCTGGAGGCAGCACCAAAAATCGTGGTGGGAAGAGTCCAGGAAAAAGATATGGCTTCAAGAAGCTGGATGGTAAGATATTGTTGCTATTATGGAGGCCAAGACGCTGTTCACTCTGTGGCTGAGCCAGCTTCCTTGGCTGATGTAATTGAGATCGATGGTCTCAGCCAATCCAATGCTTTCCCATAGGAAACGCAGCTCTGCACCAATCAGGTGGTAAAGTTGTACTTTATATTTGGTTGAAAGCACCTCTAGAGGCTGTCTGAGTTTCAGCCACTAGAGGCAATTAAACCCTGCAGTGTAACATTGCCCTTTCTGCAGAATGGCATTGAATAACACTGCAGAGACATAATTACAGGGACATGACACCCATGGCTACATTGAGATGAAGTAGTCTTGGCCTATAGTTTCCCTTTAATAAAGCAGTGTCCTTTTTTTGTAGAGATCATACTCCTGCAGTGTCAGTTGCTCAATTCTCCACTAGAGGAGCTTCCTGCAGTTTCATAGAGTTTCTCACTCTGTCCATGGGGACGTCCAGCGTCTTAAATTCCCCCATAGTAAAGCATTGATTAAATTATTTTCTATGGGGAAGGCCTAATGCATGTGCCACGCATGTGCATTAGGTTCCCCCTCGGTACTAACATTAGAGGAGATGACGCTAGCAGAGAGGCACATTGGTGCTGGAATAAGCCGATTGTAAAAAGAGTTTTTAACCCTTTATTTGCTTGGGGGGGAGGGGAGATTGTCATTAATCTGTAATCACCATGATATACATGTGGCTGTAATTATAGACTAGAGTAGTTATAGTATTTTTTTAATAATAATATTTCAATTTCAACTGATTGAGGATCAGCAGGTGAATAGGGTGTTCACTAGTGATGCCCCGAACGGTTCGCCGTGGACTCATCATTGAGTAAACCCATCATTGAGGTGGGAGGTTCTGGGAGGGAGGGTCTGCTGCTGATTGGCTGGAATGTGTCTGCTGACTGTGAGGTACAGGGTCAAAGTTTACTCGATGAGTCCGTGGCGAACCGTCCGCGGCGAACCGTTCGGGACATCACTAGTGTTCACTATTTTATTGGCTATAGAATGTCAGCCAAATGCAGAGTGCCTTTTTTTTTGTACCTCTTTAGGTTTCCCATTAAAGAGAGACCTTTGCAATTTAGGTTCCCTTTGTGAGCAGCAGGAGTACACTATTCCGGAGCCTGGAATGTAGACCAAAGGTGAAGGTGGCTGTGTTGTCAGGGGGCCAGAAGGGGCAATAACATGGAATATTATAAATTAATATTCCTATACTGGAAATTTCACAAATTGATTTCATGTATTGGTATGTTATCATTGTAATGTTAACATACTTTTTCTGGGTTTCTTTACTTTAATCAGAATTTCACACGCCCATATGTGATTTTACATGGCTAATAATCCAAGATACGCTTCTCTCTCTCAAGCGTACTGATTTTCCATTATTGTATAGTACATACGCAGGATAAAAGAAGCTAAGGGGTCACTTCTTTAGTGTTTCAAAATGTCCTTCTTGATCTCCATCCTGATTAATTTGTTTGCTTTGGTTTTCAGGGGACTTTGTTCATGCTGGAAACATTCTTGCTACACAGCGTGTAATGCGTTGGCACCCAGGATCCCAGGTGGGTGAGAACATCAGTTAAAAAACTGTTTCCATGTTGTATTTCATATCACCAACCCAACAACGTTTTAGACAATAGGGAAGATATTTCGCTACTTAAAGTTGCTTCTCTCTGCTCTATAGTTTTGAATGACACAAAATATATTTGATGTGTTCTCGATGGCTGTCTTCCAGGTGGGAATAGGCCGTAACAAAACACTGTTTGCGTTAGAAGATGGTATTGTGCGTTACACGAAGGAAGTCTACGCAACATCGCCTCACAGCTCTGAGAGTACCGATATCATTTCCCAACTGCCTGTTGGAGCAGTCTTATTTAAAACATTCATCAATGTCGTTCCTGTGCACAGAGAAAATAGTTTCCGACTTGTAAAAATGATGTGAAGAATTATTATTATGTATATATAGCAGTTTATTAAAGCCATATAATATTCTTGTTATATCTGGTCTTTGTACCTTCATTATTGTATGATATTGTCACTTTACTTTTCTTATGCTTGTCACTAGTAAAACAAATTAAATTATGTGTCTGTGATTTAACTCTTTGAGTATCACCACACTTTTTTTTTAAATTTTGTGCATGAAAACTGAACCAATTTTGAGCATTTTGCAAGTTTTGCTGTAAGTCATATTAATTTAAAGGAAAACTATAGTATTAGGAATACAAAACTGCATTCTAAACACTATACTGTTCTCTGCCCCCTCTCGAAAAACGAGTTACCTGCGCACTCGCCTAAATCCCTATGCATTTTTAAATAAATGGAGGTTATTTAGTAACTCCACTGGTTATTAGATGCATGTCCACCTGCCACGTAAAGGCAAACCTCTTACCAGACGGCAACAGGACCCTTTAGTCTGCTTGAAAGCCTTGGAATCTAAACGAGGTTAAAGCAGCACTGTCGTGCTGAATTTATCTTACTCCTATTGTTTCCTTTCCTCTTCCTCTCTTGGAATCTGTTATTCTTTTTTTCATTTCTGATCTAGTTTTCTGTAAAACATAAGACAAAGTAGGGACTACTTCATCGTATGTATTTTTCTTATGCTAGACCTTCTTTGACCAAAGGACAAGTTAAAATCTGCTCTATCTCCTGTGCCCAAAGAAATTTCCCCACAATACTCACCGTCCTATGTGTTCATCATGCCTCCTTTTACTGTTCCTGAATGTCATTCTGTCATTTAGACTAGGGCGCTGGCAAATTAACCAAATTTTATCCTACCAGAATGAGTATAGTTTGCCCATTAAAGGACCACTATAGTGCCAGGAAAACATACTTGTTTTCCTGGCACTATAGTGCCCTGAGGGTGCCCCCACCCTCAGGATCCCCCTCCCGCCCGGCTCTGGAAGGGTGAAAGGGGTAAAAACTTACCGTATATACTCGAGTATAAGCCGACCCGAATATAAGCCGAGGCCCCTAATTTTACCCAAAAAAACTGGGAAAACTTATTGACTCGAGTATAAGACTAGGGTGGGAAATGCAGCAGCTACTGGTAAATTTCTAAATAAAATTAGATCCTAAAAAAATTATATTAATTGAATATTTATTTACATTGTGTGTATATGATGAATGCAGTGTGTGTGTATAAATGCAGTGTGTGTATGAGTGCAGTGTGTGTGTATGAGTGCAGTGTGTGTATATGAATGCAGTGTATGTGTGAGTGCGCAGTGTGTGTATAAATGCAGTGTGTGTGTATGAATGCAGTGTGTGTGTATATGAATGCAGTGTGTGTGTGTATGAGTGCAGTGTGTGTGTGATGCAGTGTGTGTTTGTGTTGCAGAGCCTTGGTGGGGGGTGGGCATTTTTATAAAAAAAAAAATAATAATTTTATTATTTAAATTTTTTTGGTTATATTATTTTTTTAATTATTTTTTATTATTATTTATATTATTATTTAATATTATTTTAATTTTTTTGTTTTATTATTATTTTTAATATTTTATTATTATATTTATTTATTTTGTTGTCCCCCCTCCCTGCTTGATACATGGCAGGGAGGGGGGGGCTCTCCTTCCCTGGTGGTCCAGTGGCATTGGCAGTTCAGTGGGGGGGGGAGGGGGGCTGGCAGAGCTGTTACTTACCTCTCCTGCAGCTCCTGTCAGCTCTCTCCTCCTCCGCGCCGGTCCGTGCAGCTCTTCTCTCAGCTCACACTGTAAGTCTCGCGAGAGCCGCACTATGACCCCGCGGCTCTCGCGAGACTTACACTGGGAGCTGACCGAGGTGCTGACCGGACCGGCGCAGGGAGCTGACAGGAGCGCAGGAGAGGTAAGTAACAGCTCTGCCAGCCCCCAGTCTGTATTATGGCAATGTAAATTGCCATAATACAGACTGACTCGAGTATAAGCCGAGTTGGGGTTTTTCAGCACAAAAATGTGCTGAAAAACTCGGCTTATACTCGAGTATATACGTACCTTTTTCCAGCGCTGGGCGGGGAGCTCTCTGCCTCCTCTCTCCTCCCTCCACCCTTACTGAATGCGCGCACATTTAGCCAGTCGCATAGGAAAGCATTCATAATGCTTTCCTATGGACGCTTGCGTCTTCTCACTGTGATTTTCACAGTGAGAAGCACGCAAGCGCCTCTAGCGGCTGTCAATGAGACAGCCACTAGAGGATTTGGGGGAAGGCTTAACCCATTGATAAACAGCAGTTTCTCTGAAACTGCTATGTTTATAAAAAAAATGGGTTAACCCTAGAAGGACCTGGCACCCAGACCACTTCATTAAGCTGAAGTGGTCTGGGTGCCTAGAGTGGTCCTTTAATGTTAGTACTAAATTCAAGGAACTTTTTCTGTTCGGAATTTAATTTGTATGAATGAATGAATGAAATTCCGATTTGTGCCGCGGCTGCATCTTGCAGCCGTTTAGTAGATAGCTCCCTAATAGTCACAGTATTAGGGAGCTATCTACTAAAAAGCTGAAAGACCAAAATTGGTCTTTCAGCCAACTTTATTAATACTAAGTAAAAATTACTTAGTATTAGTAAATAAGGGAGATTAAAATCTGTCTTGTGGTAAAATTTAAATTAGATTTTTCAAAATACTCAGTATAGCACTTAGACTACATGGATATTATAATAATAAATATTTGGGGGCACATTTATTAAATGCTGTTTTAATATTTAAACTTCAATTAACACTTTTTCGATAGTGATTTAATTTACCTAGTTTATAAAAACCTAATGTTATTTGTCTTATTTAAAACCTCATACTTTACACAAAAAATTCCGAAGCTTATCTGTAATTTATATAAGAATATTCTGATTACTTTACATCACAGAGGTTGTGTACAAAAATGGCATGCAGTTATTATATAACTTCATAGAGGTACATGTATGGATTCCTCTTTTCCCTCTTGTGTGGGGTAGTGATCGGAAGCTTGCTTATTTAACAAGGGGCCAGGCATATGAGGGACTGTAAACAACGACTGACTTCACTTCCTTCCCAAATTATTGAGGACTTGGAGCACAAACGCTCCTTGTCTGATTACTCTTTTTTTTTCTTTTTTTTTCCTGGTTTTACATCGGCACAACCTTGCTGAAACCATAACAATGCAGCCAAAACATGGATTTTGTTCCAAAACTGGGTTTTGTTCCAACTTTTATCAATGCAGACCTCAAGGTATTGGCCAATTGTCTTAAAAGATACATGCCTCACTGGCCCAGATCAGGTGGGATTTGTGACTAGAAGGAAGGTCGAGGTTGGGATGACAAGAGTGTTTAACCCGATTCATAGAGTGAGCACCTCAGGATCTCCCCCATGCTGCTCCACTCAACCTCTGACATGGTCGTAATAAAAATCTTGTGTGGTACCAGGAGCAAATATCCAGGAAAATACAAAAAAAAAAGTGTGTGGTCAATATAAATAAAACAAATCTTATATGGTTAAAAAAAGAGTGTACATTAATTCAAAATTCTTAAACATAACATATTAAAGCAACATGTAATGTGAATACCTGAGATACCAGTTCACAACAAATAAGTATTTAAACAAGAAGCAATAGTAGCTTAACCCCTTAAGGACCCAACTTCTGGAATAAAAGGGAATCATGACATGTCACACATGTCGTGTCCTTAAGGGGTTAAAATGAGTATTCCACAGAGTATCCACAGAGGAAACCGTATTAAACAGTGAGTCTGGGGTTAAATCCTTCCTGGGAGCACTCTCTGTCACATAAATGTTTGCCTCTTTATAAATCACTGATAATACCACATTTTGAATATGCTGTGCAATTTTAGGTACCTGTTCTAAAGAAGGATATTATGGCACTAGATAATATCAAAATTAATAAAAGGAATGGAACATATCAGCTATGAAGAAAGGTTAACAAATTTAAACCTATTTAGTTTAGAAATACGTCGCCTGAGAGGGGATATGATAACATTATACAAATATATTCAGGGCCAATACAAACCATTGTGTGGAACTCTATTCACAAACTGGACTTTACATAGGTCACGAGGTCATACGTTTAGACTGTGTAGCGGATGGCATTGGGCTGTCCTAAAAAGTGCATTTATGTCTATGTATTCGGTGGAATGTTAACTTGTAATATGTGAAGTGTATGTAGCATTCCTCTGATTGTTCAGTAAAATCACTCCAGTTCTTATGCGAATGAAACTACCGAACAATCAGACCACCCCAGGGAGAAGTGTGCCTCCAATTACCGTTCGCAACAATGTTGCAAACGGGTAATTGGTGATTCGTGTAATGTGTGTTTTGTCCTCCGGGTGGCCGCCATTCGGGAAACGAACACGTGGCGACGGCCATTTTAAAACTCCCGAACAGTGGTGTTTTGCCGTCAAGTGTCTGGAACCCAAATCAGACACTCGGCTAGGCAAACACCGCTGACCTCCACACTATCTGTAAATTCGTGTAGAAACTACCGAACGGCTACCCGTTCGGTAGACAGAAACCCACGAACAAGGGGATTCATTCGAATCCTCTCCAATCTCCATAGCCTAAGTCATTCGTGCAGTTTATTCCTTTTTTCTGTGACCGACTGCAGGGCCAAAATGCATGGAAACGGCTGTTACTTCCCGTTCGGTCGGTCTTTTTACTACTTCCATCAATCTCCTGAACCCCTGGTCTGATCTGGGTGATTTTTGGATATGTTCTTCACCCAGATCAGGGCTACCAGGGGATGTAATATTTAAAGGGGTACCCCTATGTTTATGGGTACCTCCAGAAACCTAGGAAATGTGTGTACTGCATAATGGGATTATGAGTCAGGCTAAGGTGAGGGAATGTGTGGGCGGTAACTCATGTATGATTGGCTACTGTAATAATTATTGTAAATCCCTCCCTTGCATGGGAGCATGCTTTAAAAGAAGGTGAAGTGATTAAAAGTTCAGATCTGCTCCTGATGCTGTGTGTCGTCCAGTCATTGGGATCTGTATGGGGATATTCTTGGATTACCTTGCTTGGGATTTTTCATCACTTGTTCCTGAGCCTCACTGGGATCTTAGTGGAGTTAACCTGTGAAATACCAGGCCTCCGCTACAGACTGAAAGAAAGAAGATTTCGTCTAAGGCAAAGGAAAGGTTTTTTTACTGTAAGAACAATAAGGATGTGGAATTCTAGCCTGAAGAAGTGGTTTTATCAGAGTCCATACAGATGTTCAAACAGCTACCAGATGCATACTTGCAAAAACAGAATATTCAAGGATATAATCTTTCAATGTAGGGCATAGGCATGCGCAGCCTATTGCATTAGGGTGTGCACCCAGTGGCGTACACATGACCCATGGGGCCCCGGTGCGAAAATTCAGAGAAACTGCTATGTTTCACTGAGGGTTAATCCAGCCTCTAGTGGCTGTCTCACTGACAGCTGCTAGAGGAGCACACTGAACGTCCATAGGAAAGCATTGAGTAATGCTTTCCTATGGGCGGTTTGAATGCGTGCGCGGTCGCATTCAGAGCTGAGAGGCTGAGGGATCCCCAGCGCCAAGGGAGTCCAGCGCTGGAAAAAGGTAAGAGCTGAAGACACACACACTCTCACTTACAGACGCATACACACTAGCTAACAGACACACACATTTACTGACAGACACACTCAGCGAGAGACATACATACACTCTCATTGACAAACACACACTCACTAACAGACATCAAACAGACTCACTAACACACACACTCAGTAAGACACACACAGTAACACTCACTGGCACTCACTAGCAGACACACTCACTCTAACACTCACTGACACTCACTAGCAGACACACTCACTCACACACTCACTGACACTCACTAGCAGACACACTCACTCTAACACACACTCTAACACTCACTAGCAGACACACTCACTCACTCTAACACTCACTAACACTCACACATGTTTGTTTTTTTTAAATGTAATCCCCCCAGCCTCCTTACCTTTTGGAGTGCTGGGGGGATTCCCTGGGGTCCAGTGGTGCTGCTGGGCTCCTGGGTAGGTGGCCGGTCAGACAGGCGGGCACGCGAGGGAGCACTCACTGCTTCCTCTTCAGCTCCCTCGCGCGCCGCGTAGGGATGCCGGCACCGGAAGATGACGTCATCTTCTGCCTCCGGTATCAGTGCGGTGCGCGAGGGAGCTGAAGAGGAAGCAGTGAGTGCTCCCTCCCGTGCCCGCCTGCCGGGGGTCAGCAGGGCCAGCCATGGGGGGCCCTGGGGTGGCCGGCTCCTGGGCCCCCCAGGGAAAGAGGCTGGCCCAGTGGGTACACACCGGGTCACAGGGGCGGCCAGGCCCGGTCGCAACCGCGACCCCTGCGACCCTGGTATGTACGCCACTGTGTGCACCCTAAAGCACAAGCACACGCCGTGTATATATGTATGTATGTATGTATATATATATATATATACATATATATACATACATATATATACACACACACATACACTGCTGTGTGTGCTGTGTAAGGGGGGGTAAGTGTGATGTGAGGGTTCTGGTAGTGTGCTATGTGGGTGAGGGTGTTTGTGTGTGCGCGCTTGTGAGGGTGCTGTTAATGTACTGTGTGTGAGGCAGGGCCAGACTGACCCACCAGGATACCGGGAAAAATCCTGGTGGGCCGGGCAGACACCTAGGTCTTCTGGCGCTGGGGGAGGTCTGCTGGCGGCCGCTGGGGGAGCTGTTCTTTCTCTGCTCCCCAGCGCGCAGCTTAATGAGACAGTGGCCGGAATATGACGTCATAATCCGGCTCCGGTCTCATTCAGCAGAGCGCGAGGGCGGGAGAGCAGAGACAGCAGAGCTCCCCCAGCAGCCGCCAGCAGACCTTCCCCTGGCAGGTATTAGTAATGTGTGTCAGTGTGAGTTTGTCTGTCTGTATGGTGTGTGTGTCTGTCTGTGTCATGGTGTCTGTCTGTATGGTGTGTGAGTCTGTCTGTGTGTGTCTGTCTGTATGGTGTGTGTGTGTGTGTGTCTGTCTGTCTCTGTATGGTTTGTGTGTCTGTATGGTGTGTGTGAATCTGTCTGTATGGTGTGTGTGTCTGTATGGTGTGTGCGTGTGTGTCTGTCTGTATGTATGGTGTGTGTGTGAGTGTCTGTCTGTATGGTGTTTGTGTGTGTCTGTATGGTGTGTGTGTGTCTGTCTGTATGGTGTGTGTGTGTCTGTCTGTCTGTGTCATGGTGTCTGTCTGTCTGGTGTGTGTGTCCGTCATGGGGTGTGTGTCTGTCCGTCATGGGGTGTGTGTGTGTGTCTATCTGTCATGGGGTGTGTGTGTGTCTGTCTGTCATGGGGTGTGTGTCTGTCTGTCATGGTCTGTCTGTGTCATGGTCTGTCATGGGGTGTGTGTCTGTCTGTCATGGGGTGTGTGTCTGTCCATCATGGGGTGTGTGTCTGTCTGTCATGGTGTGTGTGCCTGTGGTGTCATGGTGTGTGTGCCTGTCTGAGCCATGGTGTGTGTGCCTGTCTGAGCCATGGTGTGTGTGTGTGTGTGTAGGTCTGTCTGTGTCATGGTCTGTCTGTGTCATGGTCTGTCATGGTGTGTGTGTCTGTGTCATGGTGTGTGTGTCTGTCATGGTGTGTGTGTGTGTCTGTGTCATGGTGTGTGTGTGTGTGGGTCTGTCTGTGTCATGGTCTGTCTGTGTCATGGTGTGTGTGTGTGTCTGTGTCATGTGTGTGTGTGTCTGTGTCATGGTGTGTGTGTGTGTGTCTGTCATGGTGTGTGTGTCTGTCTGTCATGGGGTGTGTGTCTGTCCGTCATAGGGTGTGTGCCTGTCTGTGTCTGTCATGGTGTATATGTGTGTTTAAAAAGTGTTTTTGCTCACCTTTTTTTTCCCCACGCAGCGTGCTGGTCTCCCCTCAACTGGCCCTGCCTCTATAGCTGAGATTATCAAGCTTGATGATCTCAGCCAATCCAATGCTTTGCCATAGGATTGGCTGCAAAACGCCACTCCAATCAGCATCTCCTCATAGAGATGCATTGAATCAATGTATCTCTATGGGGAACGTTCAGCACCTACAGAGTGTGGAGGCCCTGAATGTAGGTGCACTGTCACAGGAAGCACCTCTAGTGACCGTCTGAGTGACTGTCACTAGCAGTGTCACTTTGAAGCAATGTAAACACTGCCTTTTGTCTGAAAAGTCAGTGTTTACGTTGAAAAGCCTGTAGGGACATGCTATAGACACCAGTACCACCACATTAAGCTGTGTGTGTGCGTCTGCTAGTGAGTGAGCTTGCTTGCATGCGTGTGCCTGCTAGTGAGTGAGCTTGTGTTTTTATGTCAATGAGCTGATGTATATCAGTGAGATTTTGTCTATGAGGCTGTGTTTCAATGAGCTTGTGTGTGTCACTGAGATGTCAGTGAAATTGCCTGTGTCTGCACGTGTGTATGCTTACTGTATAATTAAACGTTTTACCCTGAAAGGACCAATATTTTATATTAGAAAAAGCAATATATATATATATATATATATATATTACTCAATCATCTGTCATGGCAAGACATAGCCTTACATATTACACGTGACAATATATGGCGTGACTTATGGGGCTGGCACAAAATCTTTTCCCAGGGCTGCTTTGTATCCCCAGTCCGGCCCTGGTGTGAGGGTGCTGTTTGTGTGTGTGTGTGTGCGCTTGTGAAGGTGCTGTTAATGCACTGTGTGTGAGGGTGCTGTGTGTGTGTTTGTTAGGGTCCTGTTTGTGTTTGTGAGGGTACTGTTACTGTACTGTATGTGTGTGAGGGTGCTGTTTGTGTGCTGTGTGTGTTTGTGAGGGTGCTGTTTGTGAGGGTGCTGTGCTGTATGTGTGTATAGGTGCTGTATGTGTGTGGGTGCTGTGTATGTGTGCAGGTGCTGTGTATGTCTGTGGGTGCTTTATGTGTGTAGGTGCTGTATGTGTGTAGGTGCTGTGTATGTCTGTGGGTGCTGTATGTGTGTTGGTGCTGTGTATGTGTGTGTGTGTGCTGTATGTGTGTAGGTGCTGTGCATGTGTGTGGGTGCTGTATGTGTGTAGGGGCTGTATGTGTGTAGGTGCTGTGTATGTCTGTGGGTGCTGTATGTGTGTAGGTGCTGTGTATGTCTGCCACATCCACTTGCGAGCATGGAACATATGCAGATTACCTCCTATTCCTGGCCACGCAATCCTTGATTTCTTTAACTCATATTCAAGAATTCCAAATTCATATTTCACTCAGCATTGTTAAAATTAATATATCTGATGATATTAACCCCTAGAGCAGCCTCTATCCAAGGTTTATCGTCAGGAAGAGATTGCCGCTGGGAACGGGGTTAACTTATATATTCCCCAAGGTGGGCTTGTCTCTTTTGCCTATGCTTCCTCCTTCCAAGGAGGTATTGTCCCTCTGCCTGTCCAGCTTCTTTCAGGCAAGTATCGACCCCTTAGCATGTGCTCATTCTTCCAGGCAGGTATTGACCCCTCTGCTTATGCTCCTCTTTGCATCCAAATATCGACCAATCTGCCTGTTCTCCTCCTTCCAGGCAGATATCAACCCCACTGCCTCCAGCTACTGATTTTAAAAAGCACTTGCAGCTCCAAGGCCTAGCTTTTGCCCCAGTACCAGGGAACAGTGCAGTCAGAAACTATGTCCTAAAACTCTACTACTGGTATCCTTTAAAGAACTAGACAGGATACAGAGTTCCTAATGGAATTACCACATAGTACTTTATTTCCACTCTGGACTAGCCCCTACCAGCATTACATTAGATTTATGGCAACACACTCAATCCAATACATAAATCATACAATCATATGGAAAATCATTTAGGCAACCACGTGACACAATAAAATAATACATATGCAAAGGAGGGGAAGTTAAGAGAACACAAACAATAGAAATTATATAATTATGTCTTCATTGCCATCATAGTTATTCAAAACACATCAGTGACTAGGAACATACAACCAATAGATGGTGCTGTCCCACACAATGTTCCTGTGGATGGTTGGGATTCCATTAAAGTGTTCAACAAACAGATGGCTCTTTACCACAGAATGTCCAATAAACAATATAACAAATAAACAATATAACAATGCATAATATGTAAAACTTAATTATTTTTCCCTGAGGAATTTCATGCTATATGAATGAAACGCGTAGAGCAGTGTGCAGTGTATGAGAGCTCTCTTTTTTATATATATTTTTTATTATTTTGTGCCTTAAGAAGAGTTTTTCTTTAACCCTGGAACACATGGCTGGGACTCTCGTTCTTCTTGCCACAAGTATCAGTTTTGATGTGCCTGATTTCTGATTTTATTGGTAAGTGCAATCTGTTATTAATATTTTCACTGTGATTGGAAGCTCTGCACCATCATTTATTTTCCTTTCATTCCTTATGTACTGAACTTGTCACAAAGAAAGTCTTCAGTTATACTGATATGCCTTTAATGAATTTGGGTTTGTGGGTGAATTTCACTACATTACACCTATTTTGAAGACTTGGAGAAGTCATTATCTACATACTTACAGTGAATAGGGATAATCTATTTGCTTGATATATCACCCTCACTAAGTGTTTTTTTCCCACCAATTTAGAGGTGTTTCTGTTACTTTTTGTATAATATGTAAATTGACTGCTACCATCACAATGTCCAAATCTGAAATCCAGGGTCTTACCATAACAGCAGCTTTGTGTGCCCAGCTAATGCAATCATTCGTTTTTCAATGGAAAAATCAAGTCTAAAGTGTCTAGGACAGAGGTAGGCAAACGTTGGCATTCCAGATGTTGGACAATGGTGTCCCATGATTCTTTGCCAGCACTGCTGCTCTAAGAGCTTTATGGGAGATTTAGTCTGTAACACCTGGAATACCAAAGGTGGCCTACCCCTGACCTAGGAGTTCACCTAACAGTATCCACTAGGGAACTGTACTCCCATAATCCCCCCCATTGTAGCAAACCATTAAGAGTGATATACAGCGCTGGACCCTTCTTCATTACATGGCTGGGCAGTATTAATAGAAATGAACATTATTCCACCTCTTTTATATTTATTTCATACACTACCAATATATAGTTCATTGTACTTTGCTTAACTTGTCGATTCTTACCCAATTCACCAATTAAGCCTCTACTAAAATTTTATACACTTACCTCACCAAGTAGAGATGGGGGACTTGCGATGCCTGACCCTTACAACTACTACCAGCCCTACATCTTCTGCATCTTTTGGAATGTGCACCCAAATTATGGACAACATTGGGAAAGCTAGAGGTGAAATGCCACCTCTCTTCCCTGCTTTGGCTACCTCCCTGGTTTCATTATCAAATATTAATGGAGAATTCAATTTCCTCGTCCACAAACTCCATTTGAAAATAGAATCCTACAACTCTAGGCCAATCTCCAACAGCATTTGGCAGATTTACTTATTGTTTAAAATGAACACAGTTTCCAGCCTCCCACAATTGGAGGAAGATATTAATCTCATATTTCCAACTACCAGTGGCAAAAATGTGCTTCCTCGTGCAATACTGTTCAATCTCCTCACGCACTCAAAAAATGGCCTATATAGTGCAGACTCTGTGGTATGTTCCAAACTAAAGAAGCCTGTGTAGGCGTTGTCAGCAGCACCACCACATGCTTTCATGAGTGGTCTTATTGCTCTTAGATCACAATGTTTTGGTCACAGACATGCAATTATTTCCTCTGTTGTCTTTGACCCCCTCAGTCACTTGGTTGCTGCAATAACACGGTTACAATATATTTCACACAGACACAATTGCCAGAGCATGCATTCTTACCCTACAATCGTGTATACACAATTTGCATAATTGCTAATTAAATTTGTTTACGGCAAACTTTATTATTCATTTTAAAGTATCAACAAATTCCGTAGCCCTGTACAATAGGTGGACTAACAGACATGTATTTGCAACAAGAGGAGCTGGGCGCACAGGAACAGAGGGTGTTGAGGGCCCTACCCTTACTTTCTAGATTGCAAATTATTCCTTTATTAAAGTTCCTGAAAGGAACACTATAGTCACCTAAATTACTTTAGCGAAATAAAGCAGTTTTAGTGTATAGATCATTCCCCTGCAATGCTAAATTCACTGTCATTTAGAAGTTAAATCACTTTGTTTCTGTTTATGCAGCCCTAGCCACACCTCCCCTGGCTATGATTGATAGAGCCTGCATGAAAAAAAAAACTGGTTTCACTTTCAAACAGATGTAATTTACCTTAAATAATTGTATCTCAATCTCTAAATTGAACTTTAAACCCTCAAGGACAGAGCCAAATGTACAAGTTGTGATCAAAACAAAATGTAAACAAACCACAGAATTTGAATCCATGTCTGTTCAACTATAATTTACCTCTTTCATACTAAGTGCACCCACACTTATTATATATCGGTTTGTTCAGGGGAAACAGGGCTTTCATTCCATATCAAATATTCATATATAGAACTCCATTTTATATGCATAAAATCTAAAAAAGTTTGAAAAATTAAGAGATGTTGATATTTTTCAATTTCTGCATGTCAATTTAACTGATAATGTCACAATACTGTTTGGTTTTACTGCAATAAAACATACATATTTGTATTCAGAAATGTCTCATGAGTAAAACAGTAACATCCATGTATAGGTACATAATGCTGCTCCAACATACCTATCCTCCCTCATTCACAAGTATGTCCCGTCGAGACCCCTGCGCTCAGCCCAAGACCTACGCCTATCCTCTTCCCGGATCCCCACCTCTGATGCTCGTCTTCAAGACTTTTCCAGGGCTGAACCTATTCTGTGGAACGCCCTTCCCTCCTCAATCAGACTTTCACCCAGCATCCACTCCTTCAAAAAATATTTGAAAACTCACTTCTTCATTAAAGCGTATCAATTAAACTGTCAGCAGGTTTCTCATCCCCCACCCCATGACTCCGTTCCTGCAACTGCCAAAAATGACCTAGCAAGCACTCAATAAACCCTTCTGTAACAAACTATTTAATTCCCCTACTTTAACCCTTTGTGTCACTATACCCCACTCCCTCTAGCATGTAAGCTCATCGAGCAGGGTCCTCAACCCCCTCTGTTCCTGTACGTCAGTGGTCTGATCTCAATTATGTGTCTGATAGTCCACCCATTGTACTATCTTGTACCCACATGTACATGTACCCACAGAATCAGGGCATCCTGGTGGGTCAAGATGGCTATCCTTCCCCTGATAAATACGAAACGCCCATGTATATCCAGATTTTGATTCACACAATTTATAAAATTTTACTCCGTATCGGGACTGTTTAGAAGGGATATACTGTTTAAAAAGTAATCTACCCTTAAATTTCATTAAGGACTCATCTATACAAATATTTTCTTCAGGGACATAATTTTGGGAGAATTTGTCTGACAGGAGTTCAATTAGGGGCCGAATTTTGTACAGCCTGTCAAACAATGGGTCGTTTCTTGGGGGGCACAGTGTGTTGTCGTTAAAGTGGAGGAAACGCAGCAGCTGCTCATAGAGATCCCTCTTCATAACCCCAGGGAAAAGAGGGGTAGCCAGGATGGGGTGCTTGTACCAGTAGGACCTGATACTTGGCTTTTTGACAATGCCCATAACTAGAGTTAGGGCCCAAAATTTGCGCATTTCTGCGAGATCCGTGGGGTGCCACATATTACGCCGATTGTAATGTGACCCCGGATTCGCAGTCAGATATTGGTTGGCAAATAAATTGGTTTGCTCAACCAATAACTGAAATACTTCCTCTGACATGAACAAATCAAAATATTTTAGGGGCTCCCAAGCATCCACAATAACAGTGATGCCAGGGGTCGCCGTAAATGGGGGAATATCTGGGGCCGTCAGGTTTGGGGGCACCCAGTCTCCATCTGGCATTGGGCTTGCGGAGCGTCCTCTTGTTGGTGGTGGTGGGGCATCATCACTAGAGGAGTCAGTCATAGCCTCAATGTCAGAGGCAGTGATAGTGTCACTGTCTTGCAGAGTGTCACTATCACTGCCTGCCAGGATGGCGTACGCCTCCTCGGCCGAGTAGCAACGTTCCATTCTAGGGGGGACTACTCAATAATTAATAAAAAAATCTAAGGGGGAAATTACAAAATTCCTACCTGCCTAACACCCTACTACCCACCCTCAAAAACCCACAAATAATAAAATAAATGTACTGATCGCAGTTTAGGCTGCTGCGACCAGTACAGAAAGGGTTAATTTTTTTTTTTTTTTTTTTTTTTTTTCCTAAAATAACTTTTTTTATTTTTGTCGTTAAAATTAAGATCTAGACAAAATTGATATACAGACGCTGATCAAATCAAAGTATATATATACATGCACATTCGGACATGAAATTCCAGTTGTTATTTATCCCTTTAATGCCAAAGGGGGACCTTTATGTTACAGATTTTAACATATATATATATATATATATATATATATAGTACTGGTCAATAAACCTTAGTAAAGCACAGTGAGGTTTACATTAAAGGCATAGTGTTTTAATCTTAACCAACACCATTTATAACGGTTCTTGAACCTCTTGTCTGCTTCTAATCCACTTACAAAATACAGGTGTTTAAAGGGCAAAGATATCACTCTCACATTATCATCTTTGACCCAATAGGGATATAGAATTTTTTTTGTTTTTTTAATAAAAATAACCCCCCAAAAATGTCAGCCTGATCAGAGAGCCCTCTGATCACAGTGATCTCTGGTACAATACTGTACAGTAGCGATACTGTACAGTACAGTGATCACGGCAGCGGCGAAAGGGTTAGGGGAGATTTGGGTTGCTGCGGTTGACAAAGGGTAAAAAAAAATTAAAAAAAATTTTACCCTAAAAAAAATTAAATAATAATAGTACAAATGTACTTAAATCCCTAAACAGGCTGATCACAGTGTTAAATGCTGTGACCAGCACTGGAAGGGTTAAATTATATATTTTTTTAAAACTTTTTCTTTATTTTTTACAATTCTCTCTCCTACAGGGCTATCCAGCAACGATCTCTCTGCCTCTCTCTCTCAGATTGAAGTGAGGTGAGGAGAGGGGTAGAGACAATGTGTCAGCCAGTAATTTAAAATCATTGGCTGACACATTGTAACAGTGATCGCAGTGACTGCCTGTCACTGGGATCACAAACTGCAGATCACTATGGATTGGCCACAGGGGACCAGGCAGGTCCCCCCACCGTGATCTGCAGTTTGGGAGGGATCGGGGGAAACGTGGGTGGGCTTAAACGTGGGTGGCTGTAAAGGCGTTTAAGCCCATTAACGCCGGGACGGCATAGCACACCGTAACGGCGTTAACGGGTTAATCACATACAGGAGGCTCTTGCAGGGTCTAGCAAGCTATTAACATAGCAGGGGATAAGAAAATCTTAATTAAACAGAACTTGCAATAAAGAAAGCCTAAATAGGGCTCTCTTTACAGGAAGTGTTTATGGAAGGCTGTGCAAGTCATATGCAGGGAGGTGTGACTAGGGTTCATAAACAAAGGGATTTAACTCCTAAATGGCAGAGGATTTAGCAGTGAAGCTGCAGGGGCATATTCTATACACCAAAACTGCTTCATTAAGCTAAAGTTGTTCAGGTGACTATAGTGTCCCTTGAAGTTCACAGAGCAGAAGAGCCACCACACTGAACATCACAGAGAATAATACAGACGGACTGTCTGTATTCATCTCTCCAGCGACTGGAGCTGCAGTTTTTTGAAGGGGAGGAAGATAAGGGAGATTCCTTCTCCTACAGGTAGAAAACAAGAAAGAAAAAAAAAGGTTTGCGCCAAGTATAAATTGAAATAAGTATGGATGTAGATATATATTTCGCAAGTGATCGAAAGCCCAAGGGCAAAACTGGTTGTAACTATTCAGAAGGACTTTTTAATTTGCTTTTATTTGATTTTGTGTAGTATATTACAAGAAATATGTTATATTATTTTATCCTACATTTATTTTATCTTAAAAGGAGTCTCTCCAGGGACCATCACAACATCTACCTCTACTCATATATATCCTTGTGGAGATCATTCCACCTAAGCTGATAAAGGTTGAGAGAAGTTTCACTCTTCCACACATTTTTATTGGTTTAAAACAATGAGCACTATTTCCTGTTTGTATTCTTTCATATGCCACTTCCACTGTGAACTCTCAAAGAGAAAAATTCCAGTATCATCCCTGAGTGGGGATTATACCACTCCGAGCCTTATCGAAGAGCTAATTGGAGTTTCTATCCCTGTGAGTGCATTCTTTTTTTTTTTCTTCACATAATTGAACATACTGGGTTGCACTATTGGTTTTTCTTTTCTGCTTAGATTTTACATGAGATGCCAATAACAGAACTCCCTACCTCAATAAAAACCTAATTTATTTGAAAACCAGGAGGTCCTTTGACTGATCTACACTAAAGCATCATCTCCTCAAAGGCTTATAGAAAAAAGACCCTTGTTTTATTCCTCTGGGACTTTTTAAGTATATCAAAGTTATTTCTATCACCATTGTTTTCTTGTTTTCTACCTATTTTCCATTGGATTGTTACGGTATCCAATTAACAAAATCTGCTGCCATTTGAGTGAGCGCTGTATCTCCCCCTCTCTTTATTCTCTTCTCCTATACCTGTTACATGGAGCACAGAGGGGGGATGTAATATCATACACATAGAAAAACGGGGGCAGGCTAAAAGGGAGAGATGAGGGAGGTGGGCAGGAAGAAGGGCTTACCTTCAAACAAAACAAGCAGCAATGTGTGGGGAGGTTAAACAGGGAAATACAGTCCCCCCCCATTACAAGCTGTGATATCACCCATTTATATACAGTCACCATGTCACATCACCCCCTCCCCTCACACACAGTCACCCTGTAACACCCCCCACCCTCACACAGATTCAACCTGTCACATCACACCCACACACAAGTCATTCCCTACACTTACCCCGCACACACAGTCACATTGCCAATGTCACCCTGCCACCCTCGTAAACGCATAGGCACAATTGGGCACATGTACCCCCTCATGGACAATTACACTGATACTCAATCACCCCTCACACACATCACTGCCCCACTGTAAACACAACATTCACAGCAGAACCACAAGCATCCCCCCATACACACAACACACAGGAGAAAGCTTTTCTGTGGTGATTTTTCTGCACACTGCTTAGATGTGAAGGGGCTTTAACAATAACCCCTTATTGTTATTGTGGCTATAACCCTAATACTCAACCATTGGAACAGCTACAGAATATTATTTTAATGGTATAATGATTTAGAATAGTTATGGCTCCTATCAAATTGGCATTTTGTTCTGGCCTCTTTGTGCTCAGACATCCAGCTTTCATTCCTGCAAAATTCAGAGTTAACCTAAACAGCCACTTAGCCATTGCCCTGTCATGGTTTCCTTTTGGTTCACGTTCAGCACTTTATATTCTATACTCTGTGTTGTCTGGTATTGACTTTTGGCTTGTATTTTCACTTTGTGTATCTCTGTAATCCTGACCTGTTTACTCGCTCTCCCATATTTCTAATATGAATATAATCCGTATTTTAATATTGAATATAATAATCCTGACCTTGGCTTGTTACCGTTTACATTTTACTTTTACTGTCTGCGTGTAACCCAGGACCTGTATTGTGCTCAGTTCTATTTCATTGTCTCTGACCTAAGGTCTGTGTGTAGGGGTATTATAATCCTGAGCAGAGCACATACATTCCATGGAACAAATGATACGTCCCATGGTCTTCTGCAAAAGAAAAAAAAGAAAAAACTACACGTTCTTCACTTCCTGCAACAATGGCCACCCGAGACGCCAGCCAGACTTGCCATCCACTTCCGGTACGATTTAAGCTATGAATATAAAAATGTTATTTTGTCAAGCACTAGGCTATGGATGTTGTGTACATTATTATAATCTTGATAATTGTCCTACCACCTTTTACTAGGAGAGGACACCTCTGCCCATTCTCTCCATAGTCCTCCGCATCACCCCCACTTCCTGCTTTCTGTGCAACTCCTTTCCCTTATCTTGCATTCCCCTACTCCCCCCCTCAATTCCATTGCATGGTTTGTAAAATTACAGCAATATAACAGAGTTGTAAACAGTGCAAATACATGAATCACGACTGTATCTTTTTAGAACGGTTAGAGACCTTTACTTGCATATACAATATTTGCATCATCTTACTGTAAATTCTTCCTAGTTTTGAAATGTCCATTTTGTTTTTGTTTCCAAAATTTATCACAAAGGTGCAGTAAAGTGCTATTAATCTGTCCCAAGCCTGTATAGCAGTAGCAGATGTACCAAACTACATAATTTAAAAAAAACACAAAAAACAAAACATACTTCCAAATTTTTTTCTCAAATCATTATACGTATGGTTCTCACAAAATGAGAAGTTAATATTCAAGTCAGGACTTCTTCACTACGTGGAATCTTTGTATCCAATCACCCATCTTACATGTTTAGATGCATAAACAAGCAGACATTCATTACTTCAATTCTACTATTTCTTTCACCACCACTATGAGGAGAGTATGTCCCCACATAATTCAATAGAGCAACTGCTGTATTTAGTGTTTACAGACCCCATTTATTAAGACTCATTTCACTGACAAAAAAAAATAAAAATGACTCCAATAAAGTGCTTCTTAATGCCACATGGTAAAAGGAAACACGTGACCATAATTCTGTATACTGCATTTCACAGTTATCCTTTGGTGCATTGCTAGGAATAAAAGTGTGGTTTTACCCTTTGAACCTAAACTGGAGCTCTTATTTTATCCATTACCTGGACAAGCTGAAGTAACATTTTATCAGTTGAAGTAGAATCAAGTGTAGTGGATGGTAAAAGTATGAAGGTCACATTAATAGAACGTTCTTCACAGATGAGGAGTCTGTAGTATCATCACCTGCTAAGCACATAGAAAGCGTCATGGTTCATCTCCAGCACGTAAAAATGGTTTTAAACCCAATATTAAAAAAAAGAAACCCAACATACTCCAAGAGGAGCCAGCCCCCAGGATTGAAGAACATAACAAAAACAAAAAAAAGTATAATTTGTATGTCTGTTTCATAGCAGCACATTTGTCCTTGGTAATGTATTTGGCACACATAGGGAAACAAGATTGTTTTGACACATAATTTGTCTGTGGATTAGTGTGAAAGGTAGTCATGTGACCATCATCAAGACTTCCTAAAACAAGGTAGAACCCGTCTTGTTTCCCAAGTGAAAAAAGATGGAATAAAGTTGAAACAATCCATACTATAAAGAGGCAAAAACTGTAGTAGGCCATTATAATTCCACAGATTATTACACTTGAGCACGCTATCGGACAGCTGGAATCCATGGCTATGGCACTGTTCAGACATTTCCAAGTGGTATAATTAGGGCTGCGTTCTGCCCCATGTGTTTGCTGAGTTTTAACCAGCAGGTTCTGCTACCTCAGATGGCCATCTTGCCCAACAGGCCCTAGCTCAGATTTGGGATCACGTGACAAAGAGCTCCAATGTGTATCAGAACAGATGGGGAGCGAAGGGCAGGAACTGGAAACTGTTTTTTGGCAAACTCCCCCAACAGACCAAAAACTTCTTAAACTGTCATCTGTCCAGTTTTCCAGCTCTTTACTCCTAAACTCTGACTTTTTATTAGCCTCTTTTTCAATGTCAGCACGTGGTGGTAAATTTAGAATTCCACTGAGAGCCTGAAAACTTTGTTCCATGTATTGTCCAAGAGGAGGACCAGAGTGCAACCAGCTATCTCCTGTGAATTAATTAAAAAACAAAAAAAACATTATACATATTTGTAATGATACGTATATACATATACAATATCTAAGTTGATATTTCATCCGTTTGTACTCACCGCTCTGTAGAGGTTTCTTGTTCCTTACAGTTAGTGGTATCACAAGGAATTGGACCTCAGCCACCATCTCCCAAAAATGTAGAATACGAACACTCCAGACACCAGGACGCAATGGGCGGGTTAAAGCAGGCTTGTACTGTGTATAATCTGCTTCAGAGTCCACAGCAATGTCATATGAAGCAGCTACAATATATGTGGGATCAATCCAAACTACAGTGACTGTCAGGTTAACCCCACGAGTCCACCTTTGTACTGCAACTGGCTCATCCATGGGTCCAATAAGACCACCGAAATTACGGAAAATCCGTTCCTTGGGATCCCACTCTGAGCTTACCTGAAAATAAATCATGCATCATTAAACTTTACTAAAACAGCCACAGTGAAAGTAGAATAGCAACATCAGAGAAGCATTATGTTCTCCTATACCCAGTAGGCAACAGTTGCCTTCCATTCAACTCTGTTGAGAAAAAAGGCAGTACAATAGGAATGTGCAGACTGCTTTATAAAAAAAGCCATACAGTTAATCCAACACCCACAATAAGAGGCTGGATTAATATATGAATTTACTTTAACTCTAAGGGATCAGCCTCTTCAATTATAAAACTTAACACTATTCTTTACCAGGAGATGCCTTATAAAACGCCCCCCCCCCCCCCCAAAAAAAAAAAAAAAAAAAAAAAAAAATACAAGCGAAATGGAAATGGACATATTTATATAACCATTGTGTGTCTCTAGAAGACATTGAAATCAGCTTCTTGATGCACACTTGAGAGAATCCTCTGGACTATCATGTCATGCAGGCCTTTAATGAATCCAACCTATGTCACACTTTAAAAATAGCCACAAATCTTGCTCTGTTATCGATGGCGTAATACAAAAATAAATAAATGGGAAAAAAATATTTGCATTTAAAAAAAGGATTCGTGGCCCACCAACATAAGTAAATAAAAAAAATAAATAAATGAAAACATCCACACATATACTCTTATAAAACAAACCAATCTCATCATTAAGTCCTTTAGGACGATGAGTATCTCGTTTAAAAATACAAATTGATTCTGCAGTGATGAGTTTATTATACCTACCGGCATAATCTATGTGGGAGGAGGGGAAGGGGGAGAGGGATCTATTGCATTCCCATTACATGTAACAGTGAATAAATTTGCAGGAGAAAATTTACTCTTACCACTTGATATTGCAGAATGATGCTCCCCAAATCTTACCTTGAGTGATTCAAATATCTGTCACACACTACAAGACAGAGAATTATAGATGTAGAGGGAATTAAGTGGAAAGAACTCTAAAAATGATGTATGAATTAAGAGGTATTTTTAATCTTTCTAATAATAATTCAAATAGCAAGGCGATAAAATTACTTAAAGGGACACTAGTCACCAGAACAACTATAGCTTATTGAATTTGTTCTAGTGAGTAGAATCATTATTTTCGGGCTTTTTGCTGTAAACACTGTCTTTTCAGAGAAAATGCTGTGTTTACATTACAGCCTAGTGATAACTTCACTGGCCACTCCTTGGATGGCTGTTAGAGATCCTTCCTGGGTCATGGCTGCCAAAAATGCATCCAAACATTCAGTATCTCCTCCCTCTGCATGCAGACACTGAATTTTCCTCATAGAGATTCATTGATGCAATTAATCTCTATGAGGAGATGCTGATTGGCCAGGGCTGTGTTTGAATCATGCTGGCTCTGCTCCTGATCTGCCTCTTTGTCAGTCTCAGCCAATCCTATGGGGAAGCATTGCGATTGGATCAGGCCACCACTTCTGATGATGTCAGCAGACAGCTTGTTTTTCTGAGGCAAACAGCATGCAGATCTACAGCTTCAGGCTTGAATACAGTAAGATTTTACTCTATTTATGGAGGCATAAGGGGCCCAGGGGGGCTTTATGGTGGTTTTAACACTATAGGGTTAGGAATACATGTTTGTGTTCCTGACCCTATAGTGATCCTTTAATAAAGTTTTTCTTCTATTGTCATCCACATATTTTAGACCTTTAAAGACACCAATAATGTTTTAAGGAAATTAAAGGACCACTATAGGCACCCAGACCACTTCAGCTTAATGAAGTGGTCCGGGTGCCTGGTCCAGCTAGGGTTAACCCCTTTTTGTTTTTTTTTGTTTTTTTTTAATAAACATAGCAGTTTCAGAGAAACTGCTATGTTTATAAATAGGTTAATCCAGCCTCTAAAGCCTCTAGTGGCTGTCTCATTGACAGCCGCTAGAGGTGTTTGCGTGCTTCCATAGGAAAGCATTATGAATGCTTTCCTATGAGACTGGCTGAATGCGCGCGCAGCTCTAGCCGCGCATGCGCATACAGCCATATAGGAGGAGAGGAGGCGGAGAGCTCCCCGCCCGGCGCTGGAGAAAGAGGTAAGTTTAACCCCTTCCTCTCCGCAGAGCAAGTATGTTTTCCTGGCACTATAGTGGTCCTTTAACACTGGTGAGGTCTTTTTTTTACCAAAGAGGTTAAAGGGACACTATAGTCACCAGAACAACTACAGCTTATTGTATTTGTTCTTGTGCATATAATCATTCCCTTCAGGCTTTTTGCAGTAAGCTCTTTTTTTCAGAGGAAGAAGCAGTGTTTACATTATACCCTAGGAATACCTCCACTGGCCACTCATCATATGGATAAAAGAGGTGCTTTCTGTGTCAGTGCTGCACAGTGTGCAGCACTGACATTCAGTTTATCCACCCTCTGAATGGGGACACTGAGCTTTCCTCATAGAGATGCATTAATTCAATGTGAGGAGATACTGATTGGCCAGGGCTGTGTTTGGCTTGTGCTGGTTCTGCCCCTGATCTGCCTCCTTGACAATCTCAGCCAATACAATGCCTTCCTATGGGAAAGTATTGTTATTGGCTCAAATAATGACTTCTGATGATGTCAGTCAAACAGGCAGGGGCAGAGCCTGTAGCTGCAGACTTGAACACAAGTGTGCTATTACTATATTTAGAAGTGCAAGGGGGAGTCAGGATTGCTAGATGGTGGTTTTAACACTATAGGGTCAGGAAAACAAATATGTATTCCTGACCCTATAGTGTTAAAACCACCACTATAGAGTTCCTTTAATACATTGAGACTATCCCTAAATATTTAGACATTTGTATATAGTTTTGTTGCCTTGTTGGAATATCAGGAATCAGATTTGGGCAATAGTGAATTAGATATAAAGGATTAAATGGAAACCAATATAAAATCAATACAGAATGCCAACGAATGAGGCGGTATTGTCATTATGCATAGGGATTGCTATGGTCAGGACTGGAGGATCTTGGGGAATGTTTAACATTAACAAGAATATTTAATCCAAGTAAAAATAAGATTTGGTGCCTTTAGAAGAAGCCTTTGCGTTAAGCACTATTGATCAGCTGGTTAGAGCGCTGGTAACATCACTGCCTTAGAAACCCAAGGTTGAATTACGGTCAGATCACCTTAACAGTAAGTGCCCCTAGGAAAGACATCTAAGAATATAGATCTGCCTATCTCTAATCCTCAGACTGTAAGCTCTTTGAGCAGGTCCTCTTCCCTTTCTAGAACTGTAAAGCATTGCAGAATAAATTTGTGTTACATAAATGCTAATAATAATTGATCAACATGAGAAGATTTTTCGGTTAGCTTTTCCAAGTTATATTCCTATATTTTATGACTTACCAAAGATTCATAAACTCCCCCAGGTCATGTTATTTCATCCATTGTTTCCCTGACTTGCCTTAGGTCTGTTAACCTACCATAACTCCCAATGGATACAGGTCAGCCTAGAACGTTTATTTGGTTTTAAATTGAAAAAGATTTATGTTTGTGTTACAATAGAAATTTGTTGTCATAAGAAATGCCAAGAGATAGATAGATAGATAGAAATATTGCACTCTATAATCCATTCCAATACTTGTCAGGCCAAAATCCACAAAGAAAATCTAGATAGCACTCCCAGATTTTGATGCAAATAAAACTTGGCTTTTAATCAGCCATCCATAAAAAAAAATAAATAAATAAATGTTTCGGTTTGATAAGCACAAACCTACTTACAAATTGAAACAATGGATAATCTTTGTGTATATATATATATATATATATATATATATATCTCTATCTCTTTAGTGTTAGGCAGTACAGTTAAAGACATGTAGTGTAATTCAACAGTCGTAGCACTACACAAGATAGATGGGCATAATTCACAATGGATACAGGTCAGCCTAGAAATTTTATTTGGTTTCAAATGAAAGAAGAATTATGTTTGTGTTACAATAGAAGTTGACTTTCTTTATTCTAATACTGATCATATTTTAAGTATTGAAGCTTTGAAGTAATTTTTATTCACGTTCCCTTCTCCAATTACTCACACAAAAACTGGATTATATTTTATGTATGTGGAGTATACTATGGTTTGTGAATTTGTCTTGCATGCATTGCATATTAGGCATGATTGATCTTGAAAGACATCAACAAATGATAAAAAGTGTTGCAAGCTTTTCTATTTCTGAGTGTTCATACAACATGGAGATGACATAAGCTAATTATGAAATGGAAAGTAGCGGACCAGTGAAGGCCCTAAGGAGAGCGCAACAATGAAAAGGAGAGGATGGCCTACCTTTAGTAATTCTAAGGATGAAAGAATAACGGTCAAAAAAATCAATATAGAGGGAGAAATACATTTATTCAGCTGGTGAGGTACGTGTACAAATGAGCCAAGGTGCAACTAGACAGACACTCAGCGTGTCTAAAAATACAAATAGTGTCAGAACCACTAGCCCCACACAATCCCAGCATGTATACTAGCGTCAGGTATAGTTAAAGGTAGAAACCACAGGGAGGAGGATGGAGGAACGGAGCCTCAATAACCATAAACCAAAAAAGGCTACTGAAAAAAAAAGTCTATCCCTGTATTACCTCGGCACCGTGGCACTAATGCCTACCTGAACCAACCTCCCTGCCTGGAACTAAATGGAAATAAACTAGTGCATACTAAATAAAAGGTGAAGTAAAAACGACAAAAAAGAGAGCTCAAGGCGCGTTTCGGAGGGCTCCTGACGACTAGCTGCCAGTGTAATTTTATTAAATAGTTTTTTTATTCACTACAGCTCAAGATCTCCTTTGGTGTGGATAATAGGTATGCCCTGGGGTCAAGACCTAAATGTCTGTGTACAAATAATTAAGAGTTCTCACGTCCTCCCAGAATTGTGCAAACATTCGAGAGGGTGTCCATCTTGTTGGATATCTCATTAAAAAAAATTTGTAAAAATCGTTTTGGTCCATGAAAAAGGAACGGGCAATTTTCCCCCTTGAAGAGCCGCTTACTGGCGAAACATGCGTCGGAGCTCAACTGCACTCCTTATCCTGCTACTTAACCTCTGCATATAGATATTCACAACTAGATTTATTTTTGCTTTATTCCCCCACTTTGCAGGACCGATCTTTGGTGTTGGCAGGGAAAGTTTAGTTATTGTAGTGGATAGATAGCAGTAATTAAGGCTTAGCTATCCTTCTTATCAAGCAGCAGATTAGGTGCCCTTGAAGGTTTTATGTTCCCTACAGATATCGGATGTCTCCACTGTTAGACATATATTCAGTAGACATTTACACATCCTTTAAGCACAGACTTAGGACTCCTATATTCTATATCTATTCCACGACCACAGTCTATCTTCGCTAACCTTCTAATATCCAGAAAGGAACCTTGTATAAAACTGCACCTGACTTACCTCACCCTTTTTTTTATTTTATCTTTCAAGGCTTTATTAAGGCATAGAATTTTAGTTACATTAGAACATTATTACAGTAAGGGTGTACGGGAGACTCGCAGGTCTCAATGCGATAGGACAATGACACAGAGGTTTTTCACCCATTTGCCCGGTGACTTCTAACGCTGCCAGCAGTCAAATAGTTCAGACATTTGTTTAACAGTTTTAAGCATTCATGTTCAAATGTCAACCGCCAGCAGATTAAGGCCAGTTCGGGGGTTGAGTTGTAAAGGCAGACATTGTTGTTAACATATGATAAGCATCTAACGTCAATACAATAGCATTCATAGCAGGTCACATAGCCTTGTTGGACAAGTCAGTAAAGTGTTCAGCTTTGTTGTGGTCTATGCAAGGACATTATAGGTTATACAGTAGGAATTTTGAGCTATGTGGTGCATTCCCTTAGTACAGGTAGCCTGCTGGATGGGATAAGTATTAGGAGGCAGCCACTCGTCGTGTTTTCAGTGGATTCTGTGTTACCTCACCCTTTTAACTACTCTTTATGCACTGTCATTATATATTCGCTTTTGCTTAATAGATAAACTGCGGTTAGAAAGGCATTTATCTACTGGTCAAGATTTCGATATAGCTAGACATTTAGGTGATATCCCCCTTTCTTTCCAATCTGTTTGCCACCTACAAGATATATCTAGCTGCACTGATAGTTGCTACAGACAGTTACTTGTCTCTATTCTTTTACACTTCCTACTCAGGGACCCGATTACATTGTTACTATCTTTTTCTACAATCCAACTCTTATAGAGCAATCTGGCAGTATAGTTAGAACATATATCTAGACTTTATCCTTGGTGATTTTCATCTCTATTTTCCACTATTTACAATTTTTTTTTTAACCTTTTTAATTATACTTATTAAATGTTATATTTTATAAGTGTTATTTTCACTATATCAGTGATTCTATAAGGGCAGATTACGTTCTCTCGTTCTCTTATCAGGCAATTTCATGAGTTTAATTTAAAAGTAGAACGTGTACATGTCAGACTATTTCCTTTTTACATCAAGTGATCCAAGTAAAGTATACGAAAGATCTATTGCAGACCAATTTCAACCCATGGTCCATAAATTATTAATGTCTAGAAAGAATATTTAGACTGCTGATGTTTGCAAATATTAGATGTAAAAACAGCAGATGTTTACATGATAAGTAGAATTTGTAAATTGCTATACAATACTAAAACCAATTTTAATTAACGGTGATCCAAGAATCATGACGTGACATAAATGGTCAACCTTTCTGCTGACCTTGGTTTGCCAGCAATCTGACTAACCAAGTATTTTGCTTGTGCACAAGTCTAGTCTAGAATATGATTACCGTATTTTTTGCTCCATAAGACGCACCTAGTTTTTAGAGGAGGAAACCCAGAAAAAAAAATATATTCTGAACAAACTGTTCCATAGTGTTTCTTACTATGGGACAGTTTGTTCAAAATATTTTTTTTTCTCCCCTGTCCCATAATGATCTTTAACCCCCCTTTCCTCTGTCCCATAGTGATTGTTAACCCCTCCTACCCTGTCCCATAGTGTTCTTTAACCCCTCCTCCCCTTGTCCATTAGTGTTCTGATCCCATAGTGTCCCCCCCTCCCATTGTCCCATAGTGCACTTTCCCTCCCATAGTGTCCCCCCCTGCCCTTGTCCCATAGTGTCTCCCCCTCCCCTTGTCCCATAGTGTCCCCCCTCCCCTTGTCCCATAGTGTCCCCCCTCCCCCCCCTTGTCCCATAGTGTCTCCCCTCCCTTTCTCCCATAGTGTCCCCCTCCCCTTGTCCCATAATTACTTACCTGTCTTGGAGCGTGGGCCGGCTTCACAGCGCGCTCCGCGGTCCAGGAACTTCTATTTCAGGTTCCGGTTTCCGGCGGGACTGAAAGGAAGTGTGTCAGTGTGCACACTTCCTTTCAGTCCCGCCGGAAACCGGAACCTGAAATAGAAGTTCCTGGACCGCGGAGCGCGCTGTGAAGCCGGCCCACGCTCCAAGACAGGTAAGTAAATCTTCACATTCGCTCCATAAGACGCACAGACATTTCCCCTCACTTTTGAGGGGAAAAAAAGTGCGTCTTATGGAGCGAAAAATACCGTACGTCTTTGTGGTTCAGGCATGATAAAGATTCAAACTAAAATAGAAGCAGTGTTGTAGTTTATGAGAACACAAATAAAACAAACAAACCTTAATAAAGTGTTGGTTCCATGCCATTTATGCAAATACAACAGGGCTGATTGCAAGATGATTTTACAGAGTAAGACCGAGGATTTACATACATACATACCTCCAGACTTTGAATACGATTAGTTACTCCTTTTTGATCTGCCACTTTTAGAGTGCCTCGCGGCATCATCCAGATCTCAAGCGTTTCTCCACTCTGCACCTCCTGCATAATCAGGTAACCTTGGAAATGGTCATCATAAAAATAAAGTTCTGCGTTGGAAGGAAACCCAGAAGGAGAGAATCTGAAGGGAGTGAGGCATTGAGGGAAAAATAAATAAATATACATACAAATATATGCTGAATTCACATTTTGCATTTTTCGTCTCAATTTTGCCTGGTCCTCCTCATCACTCTTGTATTAAACAAGCCTCAAGCTTCTATGAGAACTGTCCATTCAGTTCCAGTTTACAGGGTTATTCATTAAAGTGAGAATTTATGTGAATTTAAAATTTTACACTAAAAGTAGTGCCAAGATCTGCTCAAAGCTCCATTGGTTATGTATGACAAAACGCAGTGCGTACTGAGAACAGATGTAAAATACACACAGAATGCCATTAGGTAGCCCTGAACAGAGTTTGCAAGAATTTATCCAGTTACTATTTAAAGGAATGCTATAGTGTTAGGAATACAGACAGTGCTGGAGTGGCTTTTTAGGTGACCAGCTCTCCTCTCTATGAAGCAAAAACGTACCTTTTCTTCCTCGCTGCATTCGTCTCACTGCGGCTGTCCCCGCCTCAATCTTGATGATCTCAGCCAATCCAATCCGAGTGACTGCAACTAGAGGTGTTACTAAGCAGCAATGTAAACACATCCTTCTCTCTTAAAAGGCTGCATTTACATTGAAAAAAGCCTACAGGGATAGGCTAAAGACACCAGTACCACTACATTAACCCATTAGTGACCAGACCGCTTTTCAATTTTCTTACGGTTTGGGACCAGGGCTGTTTTTACATTTCTGCGGTGTTTGTGTTTAGCTGTAATTTTCCTCTTACTCATTTACTGCACCCACACATATTAAATACCGTTTTTCTCGACACTAAATGGTCTTTCTAAAGATACCATTATTTTTATCATATAATTTACTATAACATTTTTTTTTTATAAAATATGATAAACATTTAAAAACACACTTTCTCTAACTTTGACCACCAAAATCTGTTATGCATCTACAAGTGCAAAAAAAAAACAAAAAAACACCCGTGCTAAATAGTTTCTAAATTTTGTCCTGCGTTTAGAAATACCCAATGAGAACATGTTCTTAGCTTTTTTTGGAAAGTGATAGGGCTATAAGTACAAGTAGCACTTTGCTATTTCCAAACCATTTCCCCCCCCCCAAATTAATGCAAGTTACATTGTAACACTGATCTCATGTCATGATTCCATTGTATTCCAGAAGTTTGGTCCTTAAGGGGTTAAAGAAAACAACCTAATGTATTAAACGTGGGCTATTTTGAGTCTTTTAATGCAACCATTTTACCACCAATCTATGACAAATTAAAAAAAAAAAAATGGTGCTTTTTTTGACACACACAGCAATTTAAGAATACATATACAGAGAACTTTAAGGGTTAATGCCAAAGAACCCCCAATATGGGTTCAGCAACATCTCCTGAGTACAGTGATACCACCCATGTAAAGGTCTGTCGGGTTCTCTGGGGAGAGTGCACATTCCAGTTTTCCTACTTGGAATTTTCACAGCTGGTCATCATGCACCCAATGTAATTTACCCCCATCAAACCACATATTTTTGAAAGGTAGACAACCCAGGGTATTCAATATGGGGGATGTCCAGACTTTTTTAGTAGCCACTTAGTCACAAACACTGGCCAAAGTTAGCATTTATATTTGTTTGTGTGTTAAAAATGCAAAAACAATTATGAACGCTAACTTTGGCCAGTGGCTTCTAAAAAAGACTGAACAAAACCCATTTGCAATACCTTGGGATGTCTTCTTTTGCAAATGGTGTGCCATCATGGGGGTAATTCTCATTCCTGGGCTATTATACGCTCTCAAAGGCAACATAACCAATCTGGCAACTTTCAATGTGAAAAAACGGCCTTACATTTGACCCAGTAACTTTCAAAAACACTATAAAACCTGTACATGGGGGGGGGTGCTGTTTTACTCCAGAGACTTCGCTGAACACAAATATTAGTGTTTCAAAACAGTAAAACATATTACAACAATGATATCATCAATGAAAGTGCCATTTGTATGAAAAATGCAAAAAAACTTAATTTTCACTGACAATATCATCGTTGTGATATGTTTTACTGTTTTGAAAAACTAATATTTGTGTTCAGCGAAGTCTACCGATTAAAACAGTACCCCCCACGTACAGGTTTTAGGGTATCTTGGAAGGTTACACGGTTAAATATAGTGCTAGCAAATTAAATTCTCTGGAATTTTGGCCTGTGTTGTCAGGCAGGTCCCCCAAATTGCAATCAATAAAATTACTTATGTAAAATATTACATAAATATGCACGTAGTATTTAAATATATATACACATATTTGAAGTCTACGTGTACATTTATGAAATTATTTATGTAATTATGTATATGGACATATGTATATTTCGTATTATTTTTATATACATAGAAATATATATATACATATAAAATTTCATTCTAAGTGTATTTTAATATAAATATATATAAATATCAAAATACAGTTAGAATAAAATTACATACATATATAGAATTATTTTTTTTAAATTTACTTTTTTTTTAGAACATATACACTATATATATATATATATATATATATATATACATACATACATACATACATACATACACACATATACATACGCAATTTTACTCTAAGTGTATTTTTATATTAATATATGTATATATTAATAAAAATACCCTTAGTATGACGTTATGATATATATCTATCTATATATTTATTTTATTTATTTTTTAAACTTTTTCATCAGCAGGGGGACTGCCTGTCAGTTCAGGCATTCCCCCTGCTGGCAGTATGGACACCTATTTCAGAGCGGTCACATGGCCCTTGGGGATCCTAATTTGCAGAGCGGGGACTGTCTGGGCTGACAGACAGCCCCCTCCCCCATAGAAGAAGAACACCGATCGCCGGCGGGGAAACGGCGGCGATTGGATAAATATATATGGAGAGAAGGGGTTAATTTTTAAATTTAATTTCTCTTCACTGAGTGCCTCGGTGGGGCGGCGAGAGGGGGTATTGCACGATGCCTCAACATTGAGGCATCGCTGCAACAACTTTAGAGCGGCTGGAAGCGATCATGATTGCTTCCAGGGCTCTAATTCACTGTGGCCTTTTTTTGTCGAACATACCTGATACGTCCAAGTTCGGGAAAGGGTAAAGCTACACTGGTTCTGGTGCCTATAGTGCCCCTTTAAAAAAAAACCATCTCTTTGGGCAGATAATTCCATTTCTTCATTGTTCAGTAAAGATCTCTTTCCTTTGCTAAATGGGTGATCCCGTGTCAAACGTACAATTCTATTTATGAATAGATTTTCAGTCAAAGGCTTGTAGCGGCTCAAAATGTATTTGTATAATGTTGGCAAATCCCCTCTGATGCACCGTTTTTAAAATTTAGATTTAAATTTGACTGCCTTCTTTCTAACTAAAGTTTTCCATCCCTCTTATTAATTCTGAAGACCATCTCTGCACTTTTTCTAGTGCCATAATATCCTTCTTTAGAACAGGTGCCTTGATAAAGAGGCTAAAATGGCCATTGTCATGCATGCAATAATTTACTGGCCTTAGAAACTGCTGATTGACATGTGTTATCCCTAATTCACTACCATTTAGTGTGTAAGTTGCTTGTGCATTCTTCATCCCGAAGTACATAACTTTGCATTTATCTACATTCAATTTCTTCTTCTATTTGAGTCTCCAGTCGATCCATCTAAATGTTTCAGCAGTGTAGTAATATCCTGCTCACACTGTATTACTTTACCTGTTGTGTGTCATGTGACACGACTTTCGATGCTTATTTGAAGATCATTAACAAACAGGTTGAAAAGAGTTGACTTTAGTTGTTACTTTGCTCTTTTGGTATTTGACTTTTCTGCTTGTCTACCGCTCAATAATATTTGCTGCCTGGACCGACCCTTCTGTGAACCTGACCACACCGCTGAATAACCAATGTCTGTACCTCTCCCTGGCTTTTCCGGATTATCGCCCGTAACTGCAGCCTGAGCTCCTCCCACCCAAAATCCTTATAAGAACGGAGTGTATTTCAAACTTTCCTCTCCTATATCACCTGTTTCACTATTCATAGAACAACTTGTCGATCCCACAGTGATAAGTACTGGTCACATTTTACCACACTGCTGTGTTGTCGGTTTCCACATCTTCTCATTTCTCACCTACAAGCGGTCCATCTTTTCACTTTTTCTGGACCCTGTAATTCATGAAGTGCCATGCGTATAAATGAAGAGTATGCGGTCATGTCGACATCACTAATGCCTCCCATGCCTTCCACACTGCTGTATATGTTTTCCCAGTACCCTTTCAGGCCTGGGGTCTCAGGAGGGGGCTCTCCAAACAGATGAGCATCCAAAATATCCAGAACCTCTTGGTTCACTGATGACTCGAACTTTCGTGCAAAAAAGGTTGGCCTGGAGAGCTGCTGGAATATATCAAATAAAAATGGGTTTAATTGTTTAGTAATATTCTATAGACCGGTATAAATAAAACGTTCTGTAAAATTCAGCAATTGTATTTTATGAATCACTTCTTGTAAGCAACTCATATTATATATAACTTATACACACACATACAGATTATAAAATCGATCTGTAAGACATTAGTTCCCCTTACAAAGGTGAACCATTGTAAGGGAAAAAAATAAATTGGCAAAGCTTTTTATACACTATATTCCGAATCACACCTGTCTGATAAGGTTACGCTAAGCAATTACATTTGAAATATAATACTGCTTTTGCAAACAACATCCAACCTGTATTGAAAAAGTGGACTCTATATGCAGGATAATTGCAAGCCATGCAAAATATATCAAAAATACATTACTGCGCTGACAGCTTGCTTATCTACTACACCTTTCACTTAGATATTAACTAAAAATTGTATTCCAACTGCTAGTATGTGCATTTTCATAATTTTGATAAAATACAAATAAAACTCAAAATTTAGGTTGATGTTTTCTGATTTTTATTTTTTTTACAGTTAAAGGGACACTATAAGCTCATTGAAGTGGTCTGGGTGCAGTGTTCCAGGTCCCTTAACCCTGCAAAGCTAATTATTGCAGTTATTAATTAACTGCAATAATTAGCTTTGTAGGGTAACTCCACTTCTAGTGGCTGTCTATCAGACAGCAATTAGGGGTCGTAAGGCGACTTTTGGTCGCCTGATGTCCTCACATTATACAGGAGAATGTCCATTGTCACCCGAATCACTGCACAACGCTTTCCTATGGGGAAAGCCCTAATTCGAGTGCGGCCATAGTCGGTGGGAGAGGAGCGGAGGCAGACCTGAGCCAGCGACAAGGGACATCAGCGCTGGACTGAGGTAAGTGACAGAAGGTTTTTAACCCCTTTTGCACCACAGAGAGGGATGGGGGCACTATAGTTTCTTTTAAAAGGGACACTTTAGGCACCCGGAGGGTTAATATAGTATTAGGAATACAGCTTAATATAGTGTTAGGAATACATTCTTTGCAGGATACTCAAGGAAGAACTATAATTCCCAAATCATAAATATCAAGAAATGTTAAACTATTAAAGTGCTGGCATGTGAGCATAGTGCCACCTTGAAAGAGCCACAAGAAATTAGTATTTGGAAGAAAAAAAAAAAAAACTGTAGGAAAAGGAGTATATCTAAAAGGTAATTAGGCTCCACCTATTTTGCAAGTATAATATTCTTGTAAATGGCAGAGTAAAAAGACTGTACAAGGATATCTGGGAATTTAACACATCACACGCTACCATGGTACAACAGAGCCTCTCTGTAGCAAGAACTAACACAGAAGTGGAATGATGCCAAAGTTTTTAGTAAGCAAAGGTTTTTATGGTACCTGTAGGCGTGCGATATCTTGAGGTTTGAAGTCATTTGGAGAGCAGCCACACCAATCCACAATGTGTTTGTACTGACACCGGCAGCCTAGCTTTCTGTTCCAATTTGTGACTCTCAGGTTGTTATCAACAAGAGATCCACAGGCTGGGCTATTCTCCAATACAGTGTGAAAGAAGGACTGCAAAAGAAAAAAAAAAACGGAGAGAAAAAAAAAAAAAATTACTATGAGACAGAGTGTAGATGAAGAATAACATCATAAAATAAGTTGTAAGGGTTTATGGACCAAGGATGAATCTGGGATTTTAGGAGGATGGTTATATAATGTTAGCGTAATACAATCTGATATCAAACTCTGACCTCAGCTGGGAGCAAAGTGTATTTATAGAAGCGTTTAAAGTCCGACACCATAGTGTCCTCCGTGAAGGTTACGTATTCAACAAAACTTCTTGTCAGGGCGAACCAATCAGAACCACCGTCCACTACAATGCCCTCAGGAATCGGTCTTTCTCCAAGACGCCACATGTGAGAGTCACACTCGTGAAAAAGGCGATCCAATCCCTGTTTTTTAATGAACCTGAGAGAGAAAATGTAATAACCAATATTAACTCTGCGCTCTGACTCTCTGAAAAAAAAAACCTGCTTAACGCAGTGATAAACATTTTAGCAAGCCTCGGACCTGGCAGGGACCCAGGTAACAGGACAAAGTGTTGCTAAACGATATGCATCATTACTGGGAATCGGGCCAGTGGGCTGTAGTGGTTATGATACTTTGTAACCCTTACCCAACCCTTGAGTAACCCTTTATTGAAGAATGCATGTGATATAAACAAAGATTTTTATACAATCAAGAGAAAAATTCTCAAACCAGCAGTTTATAAATTAAAGACAAATGAGGAGAGAATCAATAGGACAATGGAAAGAAGAAAAAAAAAAAAAAGGAAACAAAATAAATAGGACAAGAAATGGGTTGGGGTATACTATCAAGACTGAAAAAATATTCTGTTTGTTATCATCTCTGTACCTATTTCTGATGAGAGATTTCCAACAATTCTTATATGTAACAGAGAATATGAATCACTGCAGATCATCTTGTCTCGCAAAACCTACATCATAAATGGAATACAAGATCGTCTGGGAACATGGTATAAATATTTGTCATTTTTAGGGTTTTTCCTGTGTTTTGCTCACAAATCATTTTCCCCGTTTGATATGAACAAGTCTTACAGGCAAATGATCATACTGATAAAAGGAAATAAAATCTATAACCTCACTAGAGCTGCTGGCACCACCACTAATGTAACACACAATGTCTATTTCACAACTTTCTCCTATGCAATTGACCCTGCTTGGGAACAATTCTGCAAGCAGGACACACCTCCCCGCTGACACAATGGCTTCACTGTTCAGACATTAATGGACTGGCAAATTACAAGCTGTCCAGTTATTCATATATTCTTCCACGAGAAGGGCTTACTAAATCATCAGTGCAACTACAGAGCAGCTGTATTTTGCAGTGACATAGAGCAGGAGAACCACCTGTAGCCATTGACCTTAATGCTGACAAACTATTGACAATTGTGGGTATATATGCACACAGGGTCCAGTAAATATGGGTTCTGCCCATGATATAATGGTTGTGCACATCACTTAGTGAGCCTAAAAGGGAGAGTTGCCAGAATAATAAAAAAATAAAAAAACACATGAAAATCAAGAATAACTAGTACTTCAAGAAAGAATCAGTATGGGCTAATGCTTTTATCAATTTACTGTTTGTTTTTTAACACTTTTGTTGCTACTGAAATTTGTAACGATAAAAAGATAATATGCATGGAATTGTCAGTGTCAATGTGAGAATGCAGAGGTACAGGTTTATGGAATGTTATAGTATTTGGATAAGCAGGCATGTAAATACAGGCCTGTATGCCCAAACACTAACATTCTATACACCTGTACAAATCTGTTCCGAGATTCTGTGAATGCAGCTGGGCCATTTTCATAGAACCTCTGTGTGATTGCAGGGGTGCAAGTGTATGTGAGCATGCAGGGGTGTCTTCCCCCTATGCAAGAAGTAGTTTCATCTCTCTCACAAGAGCCCTCAAATCTGTCCCTGCCAGCAGTACATTTGGGTGGAGTTTGACCCTGAGGCATCTGCTCCAGGCTTCCCTCCCACCTGTTGGCCAAGCCATGTGACTGGGTAATTGAAAAATCAATATTTCACACCAGGAAGAACATGTTCAAAATTTCCACTTGCCAATACAGAGCTGAAACTGTAAGCCCTGGATATTCATAACATCTTATTAAGAAATAATATGTAATTTACGTTAAAAAGAACAAAAAATATCCAGCAAATGTTTTCATGAGTTCAAGGTTTCAGAGTTTTTCTGTCAGGGTTATTCATTATAGTGAGATTTGTCTGGAATTTAAAGGGAAATAAAAATGTAAGGCCAAAATAGCAAAACTGGGAGCATAGTTTACTTTAAAGGGTTGCACCATCACCCATTGGGCATTATTGTTTAGATCTTCCTTTAAAAACCACTGAGAAAAAAAAAAAAAGAAAAGAAAGTTTTACTTAACCTTAACCCAGCACCAGGCAAAGCTCTCAGCATTGCTCGGCATGCGTGTGTGCGCTGAGCCAGGGAGGGAGAAAAGAGAAGGAGAAAGAAAATTGGCTGGTGGGATAGGGAGATTCTAGGGCTGTAGTTAAGGAGGGAGGGGAGACACAAGCTTTCTCTGGCAGGCTCTGCCAGCAAAGGGATAAGAGAGGAACGTCTGTCGCCTGAATGTGCCAGTGCGCGCCAACAACAGACATAAAATATGCACAAAATTACCATTAGTCAGTCTGGAACAGAGTTCTGTGCTGCCTAAGTCATGTGTGCCAGAGGTGTAACTAGCCAATAGCACACAACCGAGAATAATTCTGAATTCTTCAGATTGACACACTGTGCTTCCTGACTCCTACCACCATGAAAGCTGTGATTAGATGAACAATTTGATTTGTCTAGTTTACCTATTTTGACCGTAAAAGGAGTAGGGGAGAAGCAAACATACTTTAGAATTACAAATAATTCTCACTTTGGTGAGAAACCATGTATCTCAAATCAGACAGAAAGCTTCAACTCCAACAACATTTATAAAGAAAAAATATTTAGTGACCAGGTCTTTACAATCTTTCCCACTTACCTAGCATTATCCCGACCATGAGACTTAAGAAAATTTTTATCTCTAAATTTTGACAGGAAATTTACCAGCTCTTTATTGGTCCTGAAAAAATGAGAAAATATAGAGAATATAATAACAGGTTTTATAGAAATATTTAATTTAAATGCCATAAAGAGCTCTCACTTACCTGGTGGGATAGTCAGTGGCACTAAGGTTGATGAAGAAATCCCATTTCCAGTCAGGCATTTCTAGCAAGTCTTTCATGCTGCGTAGATACATAGTCAATAGACTTGCTCCACCCCAGATAGTGACCATACGCCACGGAGTGATGCGTATATTCACATACCGCTCTGTCAGCTGTGTTATCTCTCTATGTAGATAGTTAGAGCGCTGAAAATGAAATTGAGAAACAAAGACAGAATGATTATATTTGTTACCAAAAACAGTGACTAGCTTCCCCAAATGCACTTATCTACATTCATTCTACAGCTTACCTGGTCCACGTGAATGTAGTAAAAGTGATCTTTGTGGTATATGGCTTTGATAAGACGTGTTAACTGTCTTACAGCTCTGCCATGTACAACAAGCATATACACTATACGCAGAGGCTTCTCGGACAACACAACCCCTGCATCTGGCTCATTCCACTGAAGACCTGAAGTCCCTTTTCCTGAAAAACAATAAGCCCAGAATTTGCTACCAGCTCATGAGATAGATTACTGCCAATTCACTAAATAATGAGATTAGAACACCCAGTCAACTGAACAAGCTGTAGAAAACCAAGCTCAAAATAGAAACAAATCTGAAGTCTACATTGACTTAAATTACTCAACATGTGGTATTTGAGATAATCTCGAGGATGTTGTAATACCTGTTTAAACGATTACTAAAGTTGGTAAAAATTAGAAAAGGGACACTGATAAGTAAAATCTAAAATACACTGTTATGCGTCATCTATATAATCCAAAGACTTCGCATAAAACGGTCATAAACACAACCTCCCAAAATGCCGTTCTGTCCAGGGATAGACCGATCATTGTTTCCAACAATTATTATGCAGCATATGTCTTTTTACAAGTATTGGACTTATAATTCACCGATATTGCCATTAACGTACTCATCTCTCCCAGTCACAGCAAACCATCTTGCCGTCAGTAATCACACTGATCCAAGCATGTACTGGCTGCCAGAGAGTGATAGGAGTGCGACTGCTGTCAGCACGTTCAGTTAATGCAAGATTTGAGTAAAAATAGTGTTCCTTTTTCAAAACTTTAGGTGCACAAAATAGGACTGATAATGTGTAAAAATTATGAGCACAGACAGCATTCACTTTTTAGACTTTATTCCATTTTTTACAGCATGATCTGGAAATGCCTCGAATAACACAGACACTTACGATATATACGGTTATTCTGAAAAAGTTATAAAAATATAACATCAAGCAAGCATTTCTCAAATAAATATTCCTGACTGTGTACATTTGACCTCTTCTCTAAAGGTTATGCCTTTTCAAGTCTCTACAATCTATGCATGAATAGAAAAAACAAGCAATAGAGATAAAAACTTTTTTTGAAAATAACAGTTCCAGATTTCGCTGTATATCCCAGGTATGTGGGATTCCAATCATTTGACGCCTAAAACATGCACGTCCAAGCTCAGGGCAGGCAGATTTTTCTTGCCTTCAACCCTACTACAGGAGAGGTAGAGAACTTATTACCGGGACAAAGAGCGCATGGTCTACTCTCCAACCCCACTGCAGGTGCAGACCACAGTAACAGCTCCCTCACGGTCCAGCGCTGGATTTCCAGCCTGCACTCTGACTTAACACAAGGAGCGATTTATGAGGTGTGCACCGACTGGAAATACAGACCACACTTACCCGCTGGATTACAAGGGACTTTAACCCCCACTGGTCCACCAGGGTTTTAAAACCCATGCTGGACCACCAAGGATCATACCCCCACCTCTGAACAAAGTTATGCAAGAGGGGTAAAAAGAAAAAGAAAACCAAGCACACACAAGCATATCACACATAAGACTTAGCCAGCAAAGGCAAGACACAGTCATTTGGATTCAGTACTTACCTCGGTGTGGAAGACTCTGAACTAGAGATAGGAAGGGCAATAGTAGCTAGAGAGTTACTTCTAACTAAATTTTAGTAACAAACTCTTTTTTGGGGGTGACTTATTGCAGGCTATGGGTTAGGATCCAACAAGGAAAATGCTTGCCGCAAAGTCTCTGGACATCCTCTGATTCAAAGTTGGGGAGGACTAGTGAACTGGTACGACAAAATATCTGCTAAAAGCTTTACTGTAAATGTGTCCTTCTCTGTCAATGTCCAATGCAATGGGGGCCAGATGGATTGCAAGGACAGGACAACTGCACCCAATCCACTTCATCTCAACGAAGTGGCCTGCGTGACTTTAGTAGTCCTTCAAGATTTCTTATTGTGAAAAATTATTCCAGTAACACTTAAAGTCGCATGGTAAGTGCATGAAAGAAAGAACAAACAAATGAGAAGCATACTATTACCTGTCAGGTGACAGTATCGTGCTACCCTCTGTGGCATGAGTTGTCCCGCCTGGTGTAGGCACACTATGTTTGCAATCTCCTGTTGACACTGGCTTGTGCTTGCTCGTGCATAAGCCGAAAGCGCATCCTTGCCAGTTATCTCGCACTTGGGACTAAAACTATGGTCAGTTGTGAGAGGCGCTCCTTCTACGCTTCCAGTGTCCCCTTCGCGTGTGAGATTGTGCCACGTCTCGTGGTTTCCATAAATATGTGGTTTCTGCCTGCGCGTCGCGCCGCCAAGGCGGTCTTTCTCTCTTCCTCTTCCAGATCGTCGTCCTGCCGAACTGTCTGGATCTTTGGGCAGCTCTGCCTTTTCCGGGCTCCTGCTCCTCCTCTGAAGGGCATTCTGTAATAAAAAAAACACAACAAAAAAAGAAAAGTAGTTGAAACAATAAATCAAACTTGCCAGGACTGAAAATTTAAAAAAAAGCCATAATAATAATCCTTATCTCCATTTACATTAACAGAAACAGGAAAACCTTAACAGATCACTGTGTTGCTCTTTACTTTCACCAGACACACCTTTTCTCATCCATCTAATTGATTTTCCTAACCAGCCACATTTAACCCGTTCCACCCCATAACTTTTTCACATGTTATTTACCACTCTGCTAGTCTCCCCATTCACCATGTTTTATTTATATTGAAAGCCCCATATTTATTCATGATTCCTTACTTCTCCTTCCTCCAGGCCGCTGAAACTCCAGACCACCAGACCCTGGACCATCAGCAAGACAAACGCAGCCCCCGCCAGCAATTTGTATCGGCGGCCAAGCTTCAGCACTCGGGAGCTGTGTGCCATGGTAGGGAAGGAGACATGAACCTATACCTAGAGCGCTGCTATTTCTTCTGTTTCCGAGGGGGAAGAATCTCACGATGAACCGGGTGCCTGGGCAGCCCTACTTAGCACGTAACAGAACAGAGTGTGGATTTCTGCCCGAATCCAAGATGGCCGCGACTTCTACGGCCAAAGTGACGTGTAAGGAAGATGGCGGTGTTTCCGTTCGGAGCGATGTGATGGAAAGTTGCTTGGCAACCAGTTCTACGAACATTAGATTCCTGTCGGAATTTGTCACCCCCGCACTTCGGCAATTATCGGCACTACGCCTCCTTCGGGACTCCTCACACCTCGGCAATCTTCGGAATTCCTCGTCCCCTGGGGGGTTCCTCACACCTCGGCAATCTTCGAAATTCATCGTTCCTCGGGGTTCCTCGCACCTCGGCAATCTTCGGAACTTCTCGTCTTCGGGATCCCTGCCTGAAGAGGCTGCTCGGAGAGGTCCTGCAAGCTCAGTAAATCACTGTTACATTGAGCTTACACTTAGGTTCTCTGTGGCACTGGGACGTAGGACATTTAGGGTTAGATGTAGGGAGTATTTTTTTTATTTACAAATTATTGACACTTTGGGGATAAAAAAAATAATTTACAATAATGTGTAAGGTTAAAGGAACACTTAGGGCACCATAACCACTTCATTAAAATGAAGTAGTTATGGTGCCAGTAGGTCCCGTGTGTTTTCTTACCTGTACACGAATGGTTTAACCACAAAGTTGTCTCTTTCTGAAATTAATTTACAATACTGTGTTAGTTTAAAGGAACACTCTGGGCACCATAACCACTTCATTGAAATTAAGTGGTTATGGTGCCAGGAGGTTCCTGGCACTTCCTTACCTGTAGGGGTTAAACTGTTCACAATCACAAAAGTTGGCTTTATCTGAAATTCAGGTAGAGGAAGCAATGACTGCTGCCAGGCTGGTGTGATGCTGGTTGGCATAAAGCAATCAGCTGTTGCTTTAAGCCAAGCATGTCAAACTCAAAGTCTAGCAATACTAAATCCCAGTCCCCCCCTCTACTAAATCCCAGCACCCCCCACTAGCCAACAAGCAGGCTCCACTCGCATTGCTGCTGCCAGTATGCGACTTCGGAGCCCGGCCTCTGGTAATTCCCAAATGGCACCGTCCGCACCCTGTGCCAAAGCGGATCCTCCCGCTACTTCTTGACACCCTGTGAAAGTGGAGCATGTTGACGTCACGTTGGAATGTGATGTAGCATTGCGTGCCTCCGTGCACCTCCAGGTCCTCCACTGTCCAGCCATTGCAACACTGACCGACACACACGCACACTCACTTACAGACACACTCACTGACAGACAGACTTACAGACCCACAGACATACACACTGACAGACACACAGATATACTCACTGACAGACACACACTCACTGAAACACAGACAGACGCGCACACACACACACATTATTGTAATTATTCCTGGGGTCTAGTGGGGATCTTCTCTCTGGACGTCATATCCCAGCGCCTGGCAACACTACAGAAGGCACGTGCCAGAAAGCAGTGAGGAGCAGGAACACTGAGCTCCCTCGCTGCATCCACCGTCCCCTCCTCCCTGGCCAGGTAAATTATAGCAGAGTAGGCACCTGCAATGTGGGGAAAGCAGGTTCCTACTCTGCTAGGAACACTAGGCAATTAAGCATGTGAGCTTGCGAGTTTGACATGCTTGCTTTAAGCCAATCAGTAATTCTCTGTTCAGAAAAAAGGGTAGTCCATGCTTCCTCAAGTTAAAGGGACACTATAGTCAGCCAGACCACTTCAGCTCAATGAAGTGGTCTGGGTGCCAGGTCCCTCAGGTTTTAACCCTTCAGATGTAAACATAGCAGTCTGTTTAATTTAGCAGAAACTGGATGTCGAAGGTGACAGTGAGGATCAGTGCTGAAGAACCAAATTTGGGGTTAGGCTGTTTCTGAACGGTTTAATCTCTATGGGTAAGGAAGTGCCCAGGATCTCCTGGCACCCTAACAACTTATTTTTGATAAAGCTGTTATGTTGCCCAGAGTGTTTCTTTAATTTTAACCTTTATTGTAGGGTTAAAGTCAGAAGAAGAATATAGCGAGACTGAATTAGTTCCTAACTCTAATTTTAACCCTCACGTTAACCCTAAATGTTCTAAGTGTCAGTGCTCCAGTGAAGACCTAACTATATAAAGTTCAATGTAACAGTAACTTCACTTACCTTGCAGGATCTCGCGGAGCAGCCTTTTCAGACACAGTGATCCCGAGAGAGGAGGAGTTCTAATGACTGCTGAGGTGTGAGGGGAAACAGATTCTAATTTTGGTAGAACACTGTAGTGCACCTGCAAATGTTCATTGCATTTCTTCAAAGCAACAAGAACTAGCGGACAACTTTGTTGATCTTTGAGTGAACTATAACAGTATATCTTTTACAAGTTACTATTCATATAGCCACATCAAAACAGGACATATTAGTGGCTGCGATTGTCATACTATTATCAATGCTGGGACGTTATTGTACTATGTTTATTGTAACATTTCTGCTTTTTATGCAACAAAACTTGGTTATGAAATAAGACATTATATTGTATATCTTGCACTTTTATTATATAGACTTTCATTTGAATAACCTCCATAATGTGAAGGGACAGTAAAATCACCCAGACCACTTCATCTCAATGAAGTGGTCTGGGTGCAGTGGCCTTGTACTTTTAAACCTGCAGTGTAAAACATTTCTTTTTTTCCTTTTTTTTAGAAACTGCAATGTTTGCTTTGCATGGTTAATTAAATCAGTACACACCACGTATAACATAATATTTCTCTGTACAAGCTTTTCACAAAAAACATTTCTACACAATGCTGTATATACAGGTGATACTCAAAAAAATTAGAATATCGTGCAAAAGTTTATTTATTTCAGTAATGCAACGTAAAAGGGGAAACTAATATATGAGGTAGACGCATTACATGCAAAGCAAGATAGCTCAAGCTGTGATTTGTTATAGGTGCGATGATTATGGCTTACAGCTCATGAAAACCCCAAATCCACAATCTCAGTAAATTAGAATATTGTGAAAAGGTGCATTATTCTACGCTCATACTGTCCCACTCTAATCAGCTAAGTAAGCCATAACACCTGCAAAGGGTTTCTGAGCCTTTAAACGGTTTCTCAGTCTAGTTCAGTAGGAATCACAATCATGGGGAAGACTGCTGACCTGACAGTTGGGCAGAAAACCATCACTGACACCCTCCATAAGGAGGGAAAGCCTCAAAAGTGCTGTATCAAAGCACATTAATAGAAAGTTATGTGGAAGGGAAAAGTGTGGAAGAAAAAGGTGCACAAGCAGCAGGGATGACCGCAGCCTGGAGAGGATTGTCAGGAAAAGCCCATTCAAAAGTGTTGGGGACTTTCACAAGAAGTGGACTGAGGCTGGAGTCAATGCATCAAGAGCCACCACACACAGACGGATCCTGGACATGGGCCTCAGATGTTGTATTCCTCTTGTCAAGCCGCTCCTGAACAACAAACAACGTCAGAAGCGTCTTACCTGGGCTAAAGAAAAACAGACCTGGTCTGTTGCTCAGTGGTCCAAAGTCTTCTTTTCTGATGCGAGCAACTTTTGCATCTCATTTGGAAACTAAGGACCCAGAGTCTGGAGGAAGAATGGAGAGGCACACACTGCAAGTGTGAAGTTTCCACAATCTGTGTTGATTTGGGGAGCCATGTCATCAGCTGGTGTTGGTCCACTGTGCTTCACTAAGTCCAGGGTCAACGCAGCCGTCTATCAGGAGATTTTGGAGCACTTCATGCTTCCTTCCACAGACGAGCTTTATGGGGATGTGGACTTCATTTTCCTGCAGGACTTGGCACCTGCCCACACTGCCAAAAGCAAAAAATGACCGTGGGATTACTGTGCTTGATTGGCCAGCAAACTCACCTGACCTAAACCCCATAGAGAATCTATGGGGCATTGCCAAGAGAAAGATGAGACATGAGACCGAACAATGCAGAAGAGCTGAAGGCCACTATTGAAGCATCCTGGTCTTCCATAACACCACAGCAGTGCCACAGGATGATAGCTTCCATGCCACGCTGCATTGAGGCAGTAATTGCTGCCAAAGGGGCCCAAACCAAGTACCGAGTCCATATGCATGCTTATATTTTTCAGAGGTTCGATATTGTTCTATGTACACTCCTTGTTTTATTGATTGCATGTAATATTCTAATTTACTAAGATTGTGGATTTGGGGTTTTCATGAGCTGTAAGCCATAATCATCGCACTTATGACAAACCACAGCTTGAACTATCTTGCTTTGCATGTAATGCGTCTATCTCATATATTAGTTTCCCCTTTTACTTTGCATTACTGAAATAAATGAACTTTTGCACGATATTCTAATTTTTCGAGTATCACCTGTACTTTTCTGATGTTTAGGATGATGTCACTTTAGGATAGTGTCATACTGACAGCCACTGGAGATGCTTTGACTGCACTGACAGTAAAACTCTGTCACGTGATACTGAAGCTAATAAGAAAGCAAAGAATACACTGTTTTTCTATGGGGACACTTAGATGTGAGCATGGCACTTGACACACATGCTCATCAGATCCTTAATGAGGAACACTGGATTTGATCAACCCAATGTAGTTGTTATGATGCCAAGAGTACTTTGGACCTGTTTTACGCTAATGGCCAAACCTTTTTGGACCAGTTTGCCGTCTTACCCAGTTCCCTGCAGTGTTGCAGAAGCCGAGTGCTGATCTCAACATTGTCAGCCAATGAACGTGACTCTGTGAATAGAAACATTTGTTCCAGGCTGGCTAATGACACCACAATTATGTTGTAAGAGGTGTGGGTTACACCTCAAGCAGTAAAAGGGTTAAACTACTTATGTTTGTTTCTTAGTGAAATGAGTACATACAGACTCCAGGCACCATGACCACTTCAAGCTACTGAAGTGGTCATGGTTGTTGGAGCAATCCTTTAATGTAGACTGAAAAGCCTTGGTATATATTGTGGATCCAAAGTCACATAATTATATATCTGACATCAAATATACTTATAAACAAAAATTTACCTATTAGTTGGTTAGCTATAAGGGGTAGTGTACACATCATGACAATGCGATGCCATTATTAATTAGTAAAATAACATGAGAAATTGGCAGGCTGGATGGAAGTAAGTACCTTAGCTTTCTTACTCTGCTTCTGAGTTCCCCTGCCATTAGTTCCTAAACTCCTTAAAGGGACACTATAGTCAACAGAACTACTCCAGCTTAATGTAGTGGTTTTGGTGTCTATAGTCTTCCCCTGCAGGCTCAGCAATGTAAACTCTGTGTTTACATTGTTGCCTAGTAACATCTCTAGTAGCTGTCACTCATACTGCCACTAAAGGTGTTTCCTGGGTTAGGCCTTGCATTTTTTGTCAGACCTGTGTTCAACGTCTCCCAATAAAGAAGCTAAACACTCTACACAGAGACCCAATGAAAATTTAATAAAAGCGCTCTGAGGCTACTTGTATTAGGAAAAAAAAATACAATGTAAAGCTCAGTTAATAAGGCTCACAGGTGAAACAAAAATATATTGGAAGAGCATGCTGCGCTAGGTTAAAAAAAAGTGTTTTTTTTACTATATTATACACTTATATATTTCTATTTGACCCGTCTAACGATAAAAACATTATATATAACATTATATATTACAAAGTGTGGGAAATATTCTCAGGCTTTGCAATAGCTGATATATAATATAACAGTGGACTTAACAGATGTGAGTATAAGGGTAAACAGCTGCCACTCAATAGGCGTAAAAAATGAGTAAATACTCAACCATACACACAAGAGGGCACTAGATACCCCAAAAATGTGATGGAATTATCAAATATATATGGAATTACTTATTGAAATAAAACCATAGTGTATAATAAAATATCACAATTTATTTCATATAGTGTTAAAAATGGACAATAAAAACTGAACAGTATAATCATAAACTATATATCCGTACTAGTGCAAGACCTGGAAAAAGTCCAGCACCAACCACTGCTGGCAATCTATCAGTGCAGTCTGAAGCCCCGCTGGTTGCAACTCCTCGGGGCTATAGGATACCTTGTGGTGCAGATAAATTGGTTTAGAGAGGTATTTATACTGGATGTGAATACTGCTGCTGCTCTACGCATTTCATCCCGTCTTAGTCAGGACTTCCTCAGGAGATGATGTATACCTGACAATAGCTGACACAGCACAGCAAAGCCTATATAAGGGCATTCCACCTATCAAAGTTCAGTCTATGGTGAGCCCTCCATGGGTGAGGATAGATTAATTTTTGTTGCGCTGAGTTTTTAATTTTTGGGGTATCTTTTTTGTTTGTTTTTTATATTAGTTGCGTTGGGAATTATGAATTTATATTTGGTGTTTTGGGTGGGGGAGAGGGGGGGGGGGTGGAAGAACAGAAGAATTAGAAGACAGAAGACTTCTGATAACAAGCCAAATTCTATTTATATAATTATATAGGGAATAACTTGGGTGAATACCGGGCGAATGCTGACATGCAGGGACCCACTTCCAAAGGGCATACTAAATGTGTAAAAATAAATAAATGTGAGAGTTAAAGAAATATCTTAAAAACAACTGGAGGGCACTAGACATCAAGTATATAAAATAAGTACCAGTTCTGGAGTATATAGATAAATGAATTACTGAGAAGCAAAAAAAGGCTAAGAAATAAAAGGTTAAAATTAAAAAGACAATCTATTTCTATAATACACAACTGTATAGATAATATATTTTGAGCCAGACTAGTGGACTTTGAGAACTTCGGTATTATTTAAGATATCCTTACTTAATGAAATCGTTTATCACTATGACAAACAGGGATGTAAATGCGTTTAAGGTGCCTCAATGCTCTCACCTGAAAATCCTTTCCTTGCTACTGACTATAGCTGAGTAGGAAAATGTTCCCAAATGAGCTAATCGTGCCCAAATTTTGCACTTGGATTTATATTTACTGTAGTTTAATGTTAGAAAAAAAAGCAGCAGAGTGGAAACTGTTGTCACAGGCTACTCAAATGATCAAATGATATTATAAGAAAAAATAGGGGCTACCCCCTGCCCCTATGACTGCAAGCGGAGCAGTCACCATGTGGGTTCTTTGCAAAATAGGCAAAGACCTCATCAGGTGACACAGCCGCTTTAAAGGCACACTTCATTCAAAATGTATTCTGTATGTAACAATTTAGTAGATAACCCCCCAAATAAAGCATGCATGCATTTTTTTTTTAGGTATATGAAAAAAAAACAGATTGCTGCAGAACTGCTGTCTGTAGGCTTTTCAAGCCCTACCCTCTATCCCAGGCACATACTTTGAGTCTGTACAGGGGAATACGTTAGAGGTTTCCCACTGAGAAGACACTGCTTGTACTTCGACCACTGGCAACTTTCCTGTGCTTCCATTGAGAGTAAAATAAGGCAGATTCACTGTAGCCTAAAGTGCCTGCCACTTCCTTGGGGCAAACAGAAGCGGAAGAAAAACCGTTTTTGTCCCCAGTTCTAAAGAGCAGAATAAATCCTTTTTTTTTAACAAATGATACTTTTAGGTGATGAAAATTAATTATATATTTTTTAATCTTTATAAATAATACAGTTAAAGACCAGCAGATGGCGATGAGCTTCCATTTCCTGTGTAGTGGAAGAGGTGCTTTGTATGTAGTATTTGCAATGAATAGAATGGGTCTTAGCCGAATGTAATATAACAAAGTTACAGGTAGCAGACACTATGTGTCCTTCAGCTTTAAAGTCTTTCCTGCGTGGATTTTAATGTAACAACAGAGCAGATTCTCTGCGAGTCAATATGATCCCTTCTACAACCCGCCTGTTACTGAGCTCAGCGAGGAAGCTCTGTGGGGCCGTGAAGATGAGGTCTTTACACACCAGGAACACAGAGGAAGCGGCTGTGTACGTACATGTAAGTACCGTGCCTTTGCACTATTACTACGCATGCCTTTTGGTTTGTGTTCTATGTGAACATTCTGAGTTCTAGAGTTTTAATAGTCATGAACTCAGCAGGTAGAGGTTGCTGAGTATGAGCCTGTAGCGTGCTTGTTCTTCGGGAACGCGCACGTCCACTGTTACAGGAAGCAGGCAGATTGAGGTCCTAGCAGGGCGATAAATTAAATGTTTATCTGTACAGAGTTTTGTTAAAAAAAAAAAAACAAACAACCCTCCCCACCCCAACGAGAACAAGAGATCCCTTAATTTATTCCCCAAGTTATTAAACTGGATGAGATTAAGATAGCAGGTGATCAGCCTCTTCTGCTACTCTTTCCAATTTTCTTATCATTTGCTCCTAAAACATTTTCATTACTAATTGATGCAATATAATTGATTAAAAAATGTGTTTTTATTCACTGGTACTTCACAGGAAATATAATTTACCAACCCCTGGTATGAAACCGTGTCAGGGTTGTTTATTAAAGTGATTCAAAGTACATTTAACCCCTTCAGGACCGGACTGTTTTTGCGATGTTTGTACGTTAAGGACCAGGGCTATTTTAACACCTTTGTGGTGTTTGTGTTTAGCTGTAATTATCCGCTCTCTCATTTACTGTTCCGATACAAATTATATATTGTTTTTTTCAGGACAAAAAGCGCTTTCTTTACATACTATTATTTTTATCATGTCCTATAATTTAATTAAAAAATAATAATAAAATATGGTTAAAAATAAAAAAAAAACATGTTTTTTGACTTCTGCTTAAAACTTCTTTTACTGTTCTAAAAAAATCGAATGAAACAAACTGCTAAATAGATTAAAAATTTTGTCCTGAGTTTAATAACTTGCTTTTATTTGCAAGTTATAGGGCTATAAGTACAAGTAGGAAATTGCTGTTTCAAAATAGTTCAATAGTGACATTGTAACACTGTTATGTCATAAATCTCCAAAAAACACCCCACATGTATATATTTTTCTTACACTACATAGATACTTTCTATGCAGCCATTTTACCACAAACCTTTGCCAAACTTTGCATAGGTAGTTTATTTTTATTTTTTTCACATACATTGCAATTCAGGTATAGATTCACAGATTTTGTTAGGTGTCACTGCCAAACAACACCCCAATATGTGTTCAGCAACATCTCCTGAGTACAGGGATACCCCCATGTATAGGTGTGTCGGGTTGTTTGGGGGCTAAAAGGCCACATTTGGCAGGTGCGCATATCAGTTTCCCAGCTTGGAATTTTGACATGTAGTCAACCTGCATGCATGTTCTATTTGAGACATTTTTGAAGCCGGCCAATGTATTTTACCCCCATCAAACCATATATTTTTGAAAAGTAGACACCCTAGGGTATTTCACATGGTGGTATTTTACCAGTGGCGGCTCTAGACTTTGTGAGGCCTTAGGCGAAACTCAAACATGAGGCCCCCACTAACACCTAAAGTTAAAAATAGGGGTTGCATTGTGTGTATAAGGTGCTGTTGTTGTATTTAAGGACAAGCTTGCAGCGCTGGATACAGAGAGCTAGTCTCTGTATTCATCGTTTAGAGGCTTGCAGTGTTGTGGCTCCCTGTGCCGCCGCATTATGATCTCTCTGACTGTAATTATGGCATAATATGCAAACTAACTTAATTTGCAATAAACAAATTTAATTAGCAATTATGCCAATCGTTTATACATGACTGAGGGGTATGGTTACATAGCCTTGCGGTCGTATATACATAAGTGGCGGTATATGTATATATGACTGTATCTGACATTGTCTACCTATGTGTGACAGGGTTTGGGGTGAGTGTTGCACAGTTGGAGTACAGGATTGTAAGGGTTTATGTAATAGGGTGAAGGGGGTGGGACAGACTGATAGAGGATGAGTGACAAGGTGAGTGTGACAGTGCAAGAGAAGGTGAGTCTAACAGGGTTGATGGGGGGGGTTAATGCAATAGGGTAGGTGTGGCAAAGCAAGGAGTTTGGTATGGTTGCAGTGGGTGAGAGTGACAGGATTGGGAGGGGTTTTGTAAGTTTGGCTGGGTTTAGGGGGCGACTGTGTTTGGGGTCTGAAAGTGTTTGGGAATGGTGATAGTGTATGTGAAGGGGGTGTCAGTGTGTGTGGTAATGATAGGATATGGGTGGGGAACGATAAGGTGTGCGGTGGAAGGCTGTGACAGCGTGTGTGTGTGGGAAGGCTGTGATTGGATGGGTGTGGGGTGACAGGGTAGGGGAGCTGTGAGAGGGTGGGGTGCGGTAGGGGGCTTTGACAGGGTAGGAGGTGGTGGGGGACTGTGACAGGGTAGGAGGTGGTGGGAGACTGACAGGACAAGGGGTAGTGGGGGGATGGAGCAGAGGGTGGTGGGGCAAGTGGTGGTAGGGGGGCTGTAACAGGGTAGTGGGGTGGTAGGAGGGAAGAGGGTGGCTGGGGCAGAGGGTGGTAGGATTCCCCTGGGGCAGGGGCTATGACAGGGCAGGTGGTAGCTGTGGTAGGGGGGCTGTGACAGGGCACGGGGTGGCAGGAGGGCAGTGACAGGGTAGTAGGGAGCAGAAGGTGGTAGGGTGGCTGTGACAGGGCAGGGGATGGTAGGGGGCAGAGGGTGGCAGGAGTACAGTGACAGGGTAGTGGGGTGGTAGGAGGGCAGAGGGTGGTAGGAGGACAGTGACAGGGTAGTGGGGTGGTAGGAGGGCAGAGAGTGGCTGGGGCAGCAGTGGTAGGGTGGCTTGGGCAGGGGGTGGTAGGAGGGCAGTGACAGGGTACGGGTAGTAGGGTGGCTGTGACAGGGCAGGGCATGGTAGGGGGCATAGGATGGTAGGAGGGTAGGTGGCTGGGGCAGGGGGTGGTAAGAGGGCAGAGGGTGGCTGGGCCAGGGGGTGGTAGGAGAGCAGAGGGTGGCTGGGGCGGTTGGGGGGCTATGACAGGGCAGGGGGTGGTAGGAGGACAGTGACAAGATAGTAGGAGGGCAGAGAGGGTGGCTGGGGCAGATGGTGTGGTAGGCTGGCTGGGGCAGAGGGTGGCTGGGGCAGTGGTGTGGTGGCTGGGGCAGTGGTGGTAGGTTGGGGCAGAGGGTGGCTGGGGCAGAGGGTGGTGGGGTTGCTGGGGCAGTGGGAGGGTGGCTGGGGCAGTGGTGGTGGGGTGGCTGGGGCAGAGGGTGGTAGGAGGGCAGGGTGGGGAGCAGAGGCATAAATACCTTGTGATTAATGTATTCCCTGGTGGTCCGGTGGGCTCCCTTTACGGTCTGCAGCTCCGCCGTGTGCAGAGCTGCAGACCACGTGGTAAGTTTAGTCTCGCGATCTCAGCCATTCAGAGCGTTGCCATGGTAACCCGCGGCAACGCTCTGATTGGGTGAGATCGAGAGACCCCCTCAGTCTGCAGCTCTGCGCTCAGCAGAGCTGTAGACAGGCTGACTCTCTCCCGGGCAGGCATAGGAGGGGCCTCGCTCCTGTGTCGGTTCCTCTGACCAAGGACCCGATCTGTCACACTGCCCTAAGGCGATTTAGGCGGCAGCGAGGCCCCCCATCAGCGCGAGGCCTTAGGCGGCCGCCTAAATCGCCTAATTAGAGAGTCGCCTCTGATTTTAACACTTTTCATGCACTAATTCTACCACCAGGCTTTGTCAAAAAAATTTCAGTTTTTTCACACACATTGTACTTTAGGCATGAATGAACAGATCCTGTTATGTATCACTGCCAAACACCCCAATATGTGTTCAGCAACATCTCCCGAGTACAGAGATACCCCCCCATGTATAGGGTTGCTGGGTTGTTTGGGGGCCAAAAGGCAACAATCAGAACTTGTACATGTCAGTTTTTCAACTTAATATATAGGTATGCTTGGTCTATCCTCAGTTTGACATATTTTTGCATCCCCCCAGTTAATGTTACCATCATGAAAGAATATATAGTATATATTTTTATAAAGTAGACATCAAAGGTTATAGAAGATGGGGTGTTTTGACTTCTTTCCCCCAACCATTTTGCCCCCCAAAAAAACAGAGAAAGTGTAGTGGTAATTTTTAAATTCTGTTTTTTATGCACACGTCATCTGGTTTTGGCCAGCTGGTTATGTGTTACTGCCAGAAAACTTGTTAGACCAAATGTGCAGGTAGCAAATGTACATTTAGCAGCAATCTTTAAACTGACTCCTGCAAATAGAATCTAACTGGAGATTTGGGGGAAGGAAACTGACTAACAAAAAATGGCTGCTTTCCAAAGAAACAAAAAATAAAATAAAAATTCAGGAACACTTCTTACAACTGTTCTGTGTGGTACAGCTTGAAACATGTTCCTACACACAGTCCTGGTTTCGAAGGGCAATCAGGACAGTAAAAAGGGGTGTCCGTCCTTTTCCCGTTTTTAAAACAGACCCGGCAATGTTTCTGGCAATTGGCGGTAACTTAAAAATAAAATGCCTGGACTCAGCTTGCACCGTTGTTGGAACTTGTCCATCTCCATAAATTGTTAAAGAAATTATTTTCAACTGAAATTGGAGAGGTGGTTTTCCCTGGATTATTTTTTTTAAAAAGCAAAAATGAGTTGTGGGTTGCTATTTGCATGAGATAGATAGCCACCTTTTTATACCATGTTTTGTTTTTCGTAAAATAAGATATGGCTGCATCAGATGATCAGCCAAATCAACACCCCCCATGTACTTATTATACGCCCTGATGCAAACCGGTTTGGACTCTACTCTGCCCTGGACAGAGATGTCTGACATGCGTTCGTCATGGATGGTTGTTAGCATGTTGACATCCTTCCTGTCCCTAAATTTTAGTGCAAGCACTTCAGCTTTGCGAAGTGCTTTACATTCGCTTTTTTTTTAAATTTTGCCTCTATGAGAGATCGTGGAAAGTCTTTGGAATTTTTTCTGGCAGTGCCGCACGCCAGTGTCTGTAAACCATAAAGTGTTTTAAACAGACGGACACTACTATAACAATTATCCACATAAAGGTGGTAACCTTTATTAAACAAGGGGTTTAGCAAGTCCCATACAAGTTTCCCACTTGTCCCCAGGGAGTCAGGACAGCCAGGAGGGTCCAGTTGACCATCTTTCCCCTCATATACACGAAAGGCAAACGTGTATCCACTTTCGCTCTCGCACAGTTTATACAGTTTTATGCCATGCCTAGAGCGCTTTGAGGGGATGTATTGTCTGAACCCTAATCTCCCTTTGTATTTCATTAGCGATTCGTCTATGGATACATTTTGTTGGGGGTATAAACATCCGAAAATTTGTCCTGAAAATGGTCTAGCAGTGGGCGTATTTTATGAAGCCTATCATATTGGGGGTGATCTCTAGGGTGACAGAGGGTATTGTCACTGAAATGTAAAAATCTCTGCAGTAACTCGTATCTGGCTCTAGGCATTGTTTGGGAGAATACTGGACTAGACATTATTGGGTTGGTGCTCCAGTATAAGTGAATCGATGGCTTCTTCATAATCCCCATGAGCATTGTAAGAACCCAGAATTTTTTAAGCTCTGGGACATCTGTGGGATGCCAGTCATGCTCCCTGACTGTATAGCTACCTGGATTGTTATCAATAAATTGGGTAGCATACAAGTTAGTCTGGGAAGCAATCTACTACCAGATGGTATCCCCTAAAAATAGTTCTACATACTGCATTGGGGAGAAGCCATCCACATTAACATTAATGCGTGCGTTGGCACTAAAAGAGGGGACGTTGGGCTCGGCTATCTGTGGGGGTACCCAGTCCTCCTCCACATTCGGCGTAGCAGAGGAAGCACAGCTTCTTTCTTCAGCCCTACTCACACACAGATGACTTGCCGTCTTGACTAGACGTGTCAGAAAACTGACCTGGGTCAAAATCTGACGCAGTGTCAGTGGCGTCAGAGTTTGACGCCAAGAAGGCATATGCCTCCTGCAAGTTATACATACGCTGCATGTTTTACACACGACTTAAACAAATTACAAACACACAATTTTTTTTATACTTTATTCTTTTTTAGTAAAAAAACAAACAAAAAAAAACAAAAAAAAAAAAACACAGCAATCCCTAAACTAACTCCTGTCACAGAAATCTAATGGAGATTTGGGGGAAGGAAACTGACTGACCAAGACAGACCAAGACACTGATTTTTAAAACAAATTTAACCCTTGAAGGGCAATAAAAAATACAGACAGTACAAATACCCTGCTGTAACTGATCTGGCAGGGAAGGGGTTAAAATGTGATTTTTGTTAATAAAATACTGATACTTTCTGGTGGTCACTAAACACTGCTGCAACAAACTATCACGATCTCTGTCTCTCTCGCCTCACAAAACGCTACAGAGGAGAGAGGGGCAAAGATCACTGTCAAAGTGAGTGTTTGTAACACCCACTTTGACAGCAGCCAATTGTGAGCGATCGCGGATCGCTCACACGCCGCAATTGGCTGTTACTATCTGCCTGGGATGTCTGGCAGATAGTTACAGTGTTATACCGGTGGGAGCGATCTTTGATCGCTTGCCGCAGCCCATTTTTCGCTATGACGGTTCAGGATCGTCAGCGGTCCAAATGCACGTTTTACCGCTGATGGTCCTGAACCGTCAGCGGTCCTGAAGGGGTTAAAGGATCACTATAGTGTCAGGAAAACAAAGTGGTTTTCCTGACACTATAGTGCCCTGAGGGTGCCCCCACCCTCAGGGTCCCCCTCCCGTGGCGCTGAAGGGGTTAAAACCCCTTCAGCCACTTACCTTTATCCAGCGCCGGGCTCCCTCGGCGCTGGTGACCTCTCCTCCCCGCCGACGTCAGCACCCCGTCCGTCTTGGATCAAACATGCTGATAGACAGCCTACCGGGCAGCCCCCCTACATATAGGACCGTGCAGAGAGCATTGCCAAAATGCTCCCTGCATGTCCTAGTACCCGACTCACAGCATGAGGACGTATAGTGATGGTTTTGCGCTGTGTTGACCGAGGGCAGAGTGGGACAGCCGGACACGACCCCGAAATCGGGAATGTCCAGCTGAATGTGCTTTGTGTGCATACCTCCCAACTTTTTAAATGGGCAAAGACTGACCCTTTAAAGGACCACTAAAGTCACCCAGGCCACTTCATTGAGATGAAGTGGCCTGGGTGCTGTGATCTTGCCATTTTAACCACTTTAGGTTAAACACTGCCGTGTTGCAGAAACAGCAATTTTTACCTAGAAAGGTGTAAACACACCTCCAGTGGCTGTTACACTGAAAGCTACTGGAGGCACTTCTGCTGCAACCACAGGTCAAACTTAGTCATGTGACATTGCAACCCCCATAGCAAAACATTGATTCAATGCATTCCTATGGGAAAGCTTGGATACATGTGCGGCGCATACGAATCAGGTCCCAAATACCTTTTTATAAATAATATGAGGAGCATTGTATTGGATAGTAGGCCATGTCTCCTTGATGACGTTGCAGGAAGCAGAGAGGAGAGCAGCTCTGAGTGAACCTCAGTGCTGGAAAAAGGTAAGTAAAAAGGTTTATTTTATTATTTATATTGCACACACAGAGGCGGTGGGGGCCTTTTATAAGGAGGGACAGGGACACTAAAGCATTAGGATATAGGTCTGTATTAATACTGCTTTAGTGTTCCTTTAAAGGAACGCTATAGTATCAGGAATACAAGAATGTATTCGTAGCGCTTTAGTGTTATGTCATCTATTTAGGTGCATTCTCCCCCACGTGGGTTTAAAAGGTAAGGCTTACTTCCCTTATATCACATGGTATGTTGGTGTCGTCGCAGCTGCCTTGCCTCCTTGCCTCCTTGGCTGAGATCTTTAATATTGATGATCTCAGCCAATGCAATGCTTCCCCATAGGGAGGGATTGGTAGGCGAATGCGCATGCCTGCCAAAATACCTCACTGAGCCAATCAAAACCTCAATATGAGAAGTATTTGATTGTATAACCGAGTTTAACTTTATTATTGATTTCTTCAAAACTGCAATGTTTTGCATTGCAGGGTTAAAATGACAGGTACACTGCTTTTAGACCACTTCATTGAGGTGGTCTGGGTGTCTTTAGTGTCATTTTAACTGTAGCGATGTGAGGAGGTGGATGAGACAAAGAGTGGTGCTATTCTGAGAAAATTCATTACTGAGAAGTAACTCAACTGAAATGTAATTTAGAACAAAAATCGTGTATATTATTAGCATAGACTGAGTTCTAAATACATTTATTGCAGTTTAAAGGATCACTAAAGTAACCTAGACCAATTAATCTAAATTAAGTGGTCTGGGTGTCGGGATCCTGTCATGTGATGTCAATCCTGCTATCATGTAAAACACTGCAGTTTTGTAAGCACTGCAAGGTTTACATAGTAGCAGGGTTAAATTCACCTCTAATGGCTGTCTTCCTGACACCCACTAGAGGGGGTTCCTCCTCTAGAACCAAGTGCAACTCTGTTTCATTGTGGTTGAAGCAGTGTGGCATTTGGCCACGCATGCATATGAGAAGCATTTTAAAAATATTTTTTTTATTATTTTTATAAACCTGTGTTTTGTTTGCAATTGTCTGATATCCATGAGAGTATTTTTATGTTTTTTTTCTGAACAAAAGAAAAAAATAAATAAAATTTTTACAGCCTTCTCTGCTCATATTAACCAAGGGTGTCAATGTTAGTGTAGGGCACTGTAAATTAAAAATAATCTAAAGGCAAACAATATGATTCTAAACCATTTCCCCTTAATGATTTTGTTTTTTGATGCCTCCAAAACCCATGAATCATATATGAAGGTTCTCCCCCCCACCCCCCATTAACTGTCAAAAGGCCACTATGAAGCTGTAATCGAGTCCAAATACTAGGAATGCACTAATGAGTTCTTGTAGCCAAGATAAACATCGGAATTTTTATTTGCATAAACAGAGTCACTGCACCATTTCTGTCCCAACAGTGGACCTTTATTGAGCAAAGTTGGCTTTTGCTAACCTGATGTATTATCATGTCATTTTCACATGACCGGTATTGCTATCATGTACCTTCCCACCAGAATGAAAATGCCTTATTCTTCATTTCTTCACATAAAAAATGTAATATGACCTAAGCATCACATTTATAGTTTTTACAAATACATTAAATATCCCTTGTTGTGATTATTTGATCAGACGCCGAGTTCCAAGGCTATTGTGTTTTGATGTGCGTTTGATTTGTACCATTATTTTCTCCCTTAGTGGCCATACTGTGAGAAACGCTGTACTTACTGCAACTTCAACAAGTACATTCAACGTTCTGATAATGAGGATGCCATTCGAGCATGTCTTTTAAAAGAAGCGTCTACATTGATACAACTCAGCCAGGTCAGAAGGTAAGCATCCTCTCCAAATGGCTATTGTTGGGTATCCTCTTCACTACCAAAAATATGTATTGATAAACTTTACTTCTATTTTATTTGCAAAACAAAGTTTAATGCCTAAAGCCCCACTTACCAATATTTATGTTCATAGAATGACTACCAGCATTTAGAGGAACGACATTCCCTGCCAGAAACCAATTTAACCCATTTAATTGACACTATAGTCACCCAAACAACTTTTAACTTAATGAAGCAGTTTTGGTGTATAGACTGTGCCCCTGCAGTCTCACTGCTCAATTCTTTGCCATTTAGGAGTTAAATCACTTTGTTTATACAGCCCTAGACACATCTCCCTGCATGTGACTTGCACAGCCTTCCTAAACACTTCCTGTAAAGAGTCATCTAATGTTTACACTTCCTTTATTGCAGGTTATGTTTAATTTTGTATTTCTTACCTCCTGCTCTGTTAAAGGACCACTATAGTGCCAGCAAAACATACTCGTTTTCCTGGCACTATAGTGCCCTGAGGGTGCCCCCACCCTCAGTGTCCCCCTCCCGCCGGGCTCTAGGGGGTGGAAGGGGTTAAACTTACTTCTTTCTCCAGCGCTGGGCGGGGAGCTCTCCTCCTCCTCTCCTCCCTCTTTCTCAATGCTTTCCTATGGACGTCCAGCGTCTTCTCACTGTGATTTTCACTGTGACCCCCTCACCCCACCCCCTCCATGAAGTTATAAAGGAAGTGTCAAAGATAATGCCATTGCTGCAGGGATTGCTATAAAATGTTTAATTACTTTTATTTTACAAATATATGAACTGTACTTATTGATTATTGGCATTATGCTTACATGCAAACATTCTTTTTCATTTATCCCATTTCTCTCTCCAACTACAGTTCACATAATAAATATAACATTACATTAATATTTCAGAACTTGGGTGGAATTATTGCAAAAAAAAAAAAAAAGAATTCAGAATACTGTATTGTGTACATTTGTCAGCATCCCCAGAACCAAGATTGTATATATTGCTTTCATTTCTTTTACATTTAGTATTTCCTCTGTGTATTTTGGAGGTGGTACACCCAACCTTGCCAGCCCTCATACCATTGGTGCCATTTTAGAAGTGATATCACAAAATGCTTTGCTGCAACAAGATGCTGAAGTTACTCTGGAGGTTAACCCTGCATCCATTCAAAATAGTAAACTGCACCTCTTCCGTGAAGTTGGGGTGAATCGAGTGTCTGTTGGGGTACAGGTAATATTGTGTATATTCTCTTTAAATGTAAACATATACAAAAAGCTAAAGTCCTCTAAATTATGCTAATGAAAGATTTTTTTATTTTTTTTTGCCAGTAAAGATGGACAAAAATGCTGTGGGCATAAACTGAACTAGTAGCGTTATTGAAGAAAAGAGATTTCTGGGAAAAATATAATTATTCTCCTATTAAAGGGATGCTATAGTCACCAGAACAACTATATATTATTGTATTTGTTCTGGTGAGTATAATCATTCCCGTCAGGTTTTTGCAGTAAACACGGTTTATTTCAGAGAAAATGCAGTGTTTACATTACAGCATAGCGATAACTCCACTGGCCACTCCTCATATGGCTGCTAGAGGTGCTTCCTGGGGCAGAACTGCACAGTGTGCCGCACTGACATTGTGTCTCCACCCTTTGCATGGAGATACTGAATTTTCCTCATAGAGATGCATTTATTCAATGTATCTCTATGAGGAGATTCTGATTGGCCATGGCTGTGTTTGGCTTGTGCTGGCTCTGCCCTTGATCTGCCTCCTTGACAAGCTCAGCCAATCCAATGTGAAAGCATTGTGATTGGCTCAGAACACCACTTCTGATGATGTCAGCTAAACAGGCAGACCAGGGGCAAGCCCAAATAAGGTGTTCCCAGCCATGCAAGCTCATTCTGAGCTGAGCCTCCATGGAGCTCACATTGAATATTTTTATTGCATTGTGGTTTTTATTTTTCCTGTCCAAACACAATTTTTATAGTGAATGCAATATACAAAAGATTTGACGTGTATAACAACAGCATCCTGTCTGGTTTTGTTTTTTGTAATATTTTTATTTCAGTTGCAATGGTATAGTTTGGATTTTTATTTTGCCCTTTTTTGGGGGCTGAAGAAAAGAAGATGAAAAAAGAAAGAAAACCTCTAATGGTAAGTATGTTTTTTTTTTTGTTTTTTTATAACATATATTATAACATATATTCATTTTATTGACCCCCACCCCCTCAAAATTTTTAGGGTGAAGGGGGTTAGGTAGGTTTACTTTATTTGGGGTGCGGGGTGGCTTGTGGATCCATAGTCACCGGTGAGAGGAGGGTGGACAACATCATTTTGGGGGGATGGACGATGTCATGTCCAGCCCTCCTTTTATATTTATTTAGCGTACTCACCAATGGGTGGGGCTAATATGGACATAAATCCCCCCACCCCTTTTATTTTAATTATACTCCCCACTTGCTGGCGATGGCGGCATTATATTTAATTATTAGCCCCACAGGGGATGGACAGATCATTCTTTAAATGGAAGCCAAGGGGGGGTGTACATTAGCGACATGGCAGCAATTACTTCTTTTTTTTTTTTTAAGTTTAATGTGACAGTTGGCTACCTGCCAATTAAAAGTCATATTTTGCTGTCTAAATAGAAAAAAAATTCTTAAAGAATGAAGGAACCAAAAAAAAAAATTCTTGCTTTGCGCATCTAGTCCATACTAACAATGACAATAAAATGTATGTTTTCTTTAGGCCCAACAAGTTATTTTTAGCTCCAGGTACATGAAGGATGAAATCCTGCATTGGCCATGAATGACAGAATTAATTGCAAATCTGTCACATTTTTACAACTTACTGATGTATTACAATAGCAGCCACAAATGGCAAGCAATATGCTTTGACAATATCCAAAAATAAAATGTGTTCATGAATGTTCTCAAAATAATATAATTTAATAGTAGCAGCAATAGAAAAGCCCATCACATCATATTTATGAGTATGTTATACTTTCTACCTCCCAAATTCTTTACCATGAATCTAATTTTATCTTCTTGCCTCTCCCATTATATTTCTTACTATCTTACTACCTGTATTGGGATGAAAGTCATTTGATGATTCTGAACTCCTCTTTCTGGGAAGGACACACACAGCTTGTGATGCCCTCCATACTGTTGAGGAGGCTTGCAGACTTTTCCCTGGATCTACATCAGTGGATATTATGTTTGGACTCCCAGGTCAAAGCATGGAATCCTGGCAAAGCACCTTGAAAACCCTGCTTGCAATTTGTGATGATCATGTGTCTTTATACCAACTGACTATTGAGAGAGGCACTGCACTTTTTAAACAACTACAGAGGGGGCAATTCTCTCCTCCAGATGAAGAACTGACTGCCCACATGTATAACTTTGCCAGGAGGACTTTGTGTGACGCTAGTTTCCATCACTATGAAGTGTCAAACTTTGCCCGGAATGTAAGTGAAATTTACACTGAAATTAATTTGAGTTATTGATAGTTATGTAAGATATGATGACATTCTGATTTATTCTATTTTATTTTTCTTCAAAGGGGGCACTCAGCAGGCACAATCTGTCCTACTGGCTTGGAAAGCAGTATATTGGAATAGGGCCAGGTAAAGTTGCTTAGAGGTGAATTACACTGCCAGCATTAAAAAAAAAAAAAAATGGCTTCATTTTCATCAGATGTTAACTTACTTATGAACATTTTTATCTCCTGCTCTGTAAATTAAACTTTCATCACAAACAGGAGACTCCTGTTGGGTCTGGAATTACATCTATTAACAGAGCAGGAGATAAAAAACTAATTCTAAATAAAATAGACTGTGCAAAAAAGGACATTTAAACATTAGATGTCTCTTTACAGGAAGTGTTTAGGAAGGCTGTGTAAGTCACATGCAGGGAGGGGTGACAAGGGCTTCTTAAATAAAGTGATTTAACTCCTAAATGGCACTAAACTGAATTTTCATTCAGAAATTTGTTGATATTCAAATTTCGGTTTGGAAATATGTTTATTTTAACTAATTACCAATTTAGGGAGTTATCTGTATCCCCAAAACAAAAAATAGGTTTCCAGTCACCAAAATTGTTTCCAAAGAGGGTGAACTCCAATTAGAAGTTGCCATGTTCTACAGAAACAGGATACCGTCATACCATCTCACTTATATCAAATCTAACTACACAAAACAACAAAACTACTCCACTGAAATAGAATGCCATGGGAAGGAATCATATTGGTTGAAATAGGGATAGGAAAACTGCACTCTCTTCAAAACCCAGGTGCTTAGTTGGACCCGAGGTGGCAGGTCCTCAGTTACACAATGGATTCAAGCAAAGGATGGTCCAGACACTAAAGGTTCAAGATCAGGCATATTTATTGGAGGAAACACTGTAACGTTTCGATCTCAACCAATGGTCTTTGTCAAGCTACTATGCATAAGCATAGAAATATATATATATATATATATATATATATATAAAACAAGAGGGGGTTGGCTGCACTCACCTTAACATGCATAAATGGGGGTGCTGCTGGGGGCCAAATAATACAATACACAAGATCCAGCGCACTCACCTATCCACTAAACAGCAACTTCAATGTTGAAAGATTTTATTTGTTTTTTTAAAAACACCTAATCTAGGCAAAAATAATGGGGGTTTAGTTACATTATATGATCATACATTGCATAAGCCTGCCACAACGTCAATGTACCCCATCTTTGGCAGGTCCTACACTAACAGCCTAATGTCTGCTCTTATGAGATTAACCTACTTGGGGAAAAAAATTCCATCTGGGGCTCTCTGCAGTACAAGGCTAAATAGGGCCCTGGGATGAGGCACCTGTGACAGGGAGGGTGCAAAACCAAGGAGTTGGCTAGACTCCCAAATATATATATAAAACAAGAGGGGGTTGGCTGCACTCACCTTAACATGCATAAATGGGGGTGCTGCTGGGGGCCAAATAATACAATACACAAGATCCAGCGCACTCACCTATCCACTAAACAGCAACTTCAATGTTGAAAGATTTTATTTGTTTTTTTAAAAACACCAATCTAGGCAAAAATAATGGGGTTTAGTTACATTATATGATCATACATTGCATAAGCCTGCCACAACGTCAATGTACCCCATCTTTGGCAGGTCCTACACTAAAAGCCTAATGTCTGCTCTTATGAGATTAACCTACTTGGGGAAAAAAATTCCATCTGGGGCTCTCTGCAGTACAAGGCTAAATAGGGCCCTGGGATGAGGCACCTGTGACAGGGAGGGGTGCAAAACCAAGGAGTTGGCTAGACTCCCAAATATATATATAAAACAAGAGGGGGTTGGCTGCACTCACCTTAACATGCATAAATGGGGGTGCTGCTGGGGCCAAATAATACAAAACACAAGATCCAGCGCACTCACCTATCCCACCTGTCCACTACTTAGCAGCTTCAATGATCTTGTGTATTGTATTATTTGGCCCCCAGCAGCACCCCCATTTATGCATGTTAAGGTGAGTGCAGCCAACCCCCTCTTGTTTTTATATATATTTGGGAGTCTAGCCAACTCCTTGGTTTTGCACCCCTCCCTGTCACAGGTGCCTCATCCCAGGGCCCTATTTAGCCTTGTACTGCAGAGAGCCCCAGATGGAATTTTTCCCCAAGTAGGTTAATCTCATAAGAGCAGACATTAGGCTGTTAGTGTAGGACCTGCCAAAGATGGGGTACATTGACGTTGTGGCAGGCTTATGCAATGTATGATCATATAATGTAACTAAACCCCATTATTTTTGCCTAGATTAGGTGTTTTTAAAAAAACAAATAAAATCTTTCAACATTGAAGTTGCTGTTTAGTGGATAGGTGAGTGCGCTGGATCTTGTGTATTGTATTATTTGGCCCCCAGCAGCACCCCCATTTATGCATGTTAAGGTGAGTGCAGCCAACCCCCTCTTGTTTTATATATATTTGGGAGTCTAGCCAACTCCTTGGTTTTGCACCCCTCCCTGTCACAGGTGCCTCATCCCAGGGCCCTATTTAGCCTTGTACTGCAGAGAGCCCCAGATGGAATTTTTTCCCAAGTAGGTTAATCTCATAAGAGCAGACATTAGGCTGTTAGTGTAGGACCTGCCAAAGATGGGGTACATTGACGTTGTGGCAGGCTTATGCAATGTATGATCATATAATGTAACTAAACCCCCATTATTTTTGCCTAGATTAGGTGTTTTTAAAAAAACAAATAAAATCTTTAAACATTGAAGTTGCTGTTTAGTGGATAGGTGAGTGCGCTGGATCTTGTGTATTGTATTATTTGGCCCCCAGCAGCACCCCCATTTATGCATGTTAAGGTGAGTGCAGCCAACCCCCTCTTGTTTTATATATATTTGGGAGTCTAGCCAACTCCTTGGTTTTGCACCCCTCCCTGTCACAGGTGCCTCATCCCAGGGCCCTATTTAGCCTTGTACTGCAGAGAGCCCCAGATGGAATTTTTTCCCCAAGTAGGTTAATCTCATAAGAGCAGACATTAGGCTGTTAGTGTAGGACCTGCCAAAGATGGGGTACATTGACGTTGTGGCAGGCTTATGCAATGTATGATCATATAATGTAACTAAACCCCCATTATTTTTGCCTAGATTAGGTGTTTTTAAAAAAACAAATAAAATCTTTAAACATTGAAGTTGCTGTTTAGTGGATAGGTGAGTGCGCTGGATCTTGTGTATTATATATATATATATATATATATATATATGATACAATTAAAGTTACCAATTGAAGTGCAAACTTAAAAATTTACTTAATTGGCAATACCATACAAGGTGCAGGTACACTTGACAATTTATGAAGCTATGTAGTCTGCAAAGGTTTCAGTATGCAATGACATCAGACTCTTCAATTAACACAGCATCACCTGAATAAAGCATCAATTACAATTGAACCAATAAAAATAAATCAAAATAATAGGGATCTGCTTAATTACCCAATCTGTCAGGGCCATTATGATATATACCAAAAACGGTGAAAAAAAAAAAAATTGTAGCCACTTCAAATGCTCCTAAGCACACCAGTGCTGAGTGCCTGAGAGTGCTGTGCCGCTTGATATGGGAGCAACCGTGTCAATGCACCAAACATCAATGCACGGCAAAAAACATCATGCCACACAACATCGGCGCATCCCAAATGTCATGGCGTAGGAGCCGCTACATCAACCGTGTCAAGGCACCTGACGGACAGTCAGAAGGCCCAATATAAGGGAAGTAAATGTCTAAAGAGCCCTAATCACCTTTCAGACCCATACGGTGTGATCACATGCGATCACTATTATTAGGTTGAGAGGGAAAGGTTTTTTTTATTATTATTAGTAGGTGGTTAGAGGCTTGGGGATCCCATAGCTAAGAAAGATGCGGCTGGCTCTAACATTTGGAAGGTGGACAGTGGAATATCTCCCTCTTTTTGGCATTAATACCCTCTCCAACCATCTCATGGGTGGTGGGTGGACAGTAGCATCTCTACCCCTCCCACCCCCCATTGACTTAATAACCCCCTGCCAGAGGCCAATAGGTGGGGGGCAAAGGGGGTGAAAATGTCAGTGTCGCCCCGGTTAAATGTTTGAGCTTCAATCCGTTGCTCATGGGTGCAGAGGGATGTCCACGTGTAGGGCATGAGGTTGACCTGTGCCAGCCCCCTGTATTTTACAGGCCACATTTCCGTTGGATTGGAACTTTAAAAAAAATGTTTTTGTCATTTATAATTCTTTATTTTGTTGTGCAGAAAATTCCATACAATTTTGTCATGCCCCAACAGCAATTGGCAAAGAGACAAGGTACATGGTTTACATGTAGTAAGGCATTGATAGAAACTTGTGCACATTTTGAAGAAGTATTGACAAGTTAAGGAACATGCGTAATAAACAAGGCTTAATATAACGGTCTAGATCTATATTGTGGCGTTTGCTGTCAGAATATGTAAATCTATCTAGACTCTGGGGTGAATGGTGAGGTATGTCACAACAGCTCCATCAAGCATAGTAAAATAGGCAGGATATATTATTAGCCTGGCATTAATAAATATTGCATATTTTTAAATAGGGGTTACAGGTGGGGAACAGTATCCTAATAATAAATGTCAGTAGGTAGTTAAACAAGATTGTGTGGTGGTCAAGCTATACTAACTGACATAGTCATCACTAGTACTGAGTGTTTTAATACGCAGGAATGTGCATGTCTACAGGTTCATAAGCTTTTTGTAAAACATATCCATTCAGGCAAAGGTAAGCAGCCTTCATTGCCTCTGCAGTATTGTCGATTATTTCTAAAGTACATTTAAAACCAATGCTTGCTAATACAGAGCATGACACGTTGTTATAAAAGAAAATTAAACACTTAAACACATAAAAACGATTGAACAGTTAGGAACATTCACGCTTTGAGGGTTGTTGTAAAGTTCTCTCCCGCTGTGAATCTCCGTTAGGGAGGCTGCGTGTTGGTCTGGTCAGCATCTGTCGTGGCATAATGGTCAATTAAGTGGGCCAGGTAGCGTAAATAGTCCAGGTGTGGATCGGTACAAATCAGTCCGTGAGAGAAGAGCGTGATGGTAACTGAAATGTCCAGGCTGCATATTAGTGGTCGATCACCCCATCCCTTGTCTTGGTACCTGGCTTCTTCGGGGTGTGAGAGTCTCAATGGCCCTGATCTTGTCGTGTTGTTTTTCCCATACTTAAGTCGGGCTCCGGTTCCTGCCGGTCTGGCTGCGTGCAGCTCCTCCGCTGGCGCGGTGCAGTGCCGGATTGCTCTTGAAGCCTCATCCTCTGGAGGTGCGAGATGTGCGCCGGGAGGCTCACCCTTGCTGTTTTCAGCCCGGGGTAGCGGTGCTGAATTTTAGCAGGTCGGTGAGTGGCAGGCGGCAAGCTTCGCAATGAGCTGTCGCCCCGTTCCCTCTCCTCTCGTTGCTCTTGCCTGACCCAGAGTTTGCGCCAGAAGTTGGCGAAGATTTCGTCCAGGCGCTTCATGGAAGTCGCAATACTGCCTTCACATGGCGCGTCCGCCATTTTGGGACGGCTGATTGAAAGCCCTCAGCTTACTAGGGCTTCTGCAGGATTACATAGGCCCCCTCTTTTCGATGGACAGTCGATTATATACCGGGATGTCCCTCACCGGCAGGGGGGGGGAACGGGGAGTCCGATTGCCTCTTCTCGTCCAGGCAGAGTGTCAGCAAGGAGAACGGCCGTTTCTCACATGCAGCCTCCACCGATATTTTTCGGAGATGCGTCGAGGTAAAATCACCATTCGATCGGTAATATGCCGTAGATTGTGGCTCAGGGTGTCCTCAGCAGGATTTGTCAGATTTGCTTGGTTATTGAGTCAGTTTATCAGCTTTTTCTTATAGTTTAGCCAGGAGCTCACTTCATGTGCGATCGCTCAGAATGGCGGTTAGGCCCCGCACCCTTTAAAAAATTTTTTAATTATAGTGAGCAGTCGTTGGCTGCTCAATTTTAGTAGATATGCCATGCTGTAGGTAGCGGTATAAGGCAGGTTTTATACTCCCTTATAGAAATATGGGAGTCATTTTTAAAAAATATTTTTTTAATTACTTTTTAACATAATGGCTGGTTAGCATGCGATGCAACCCATAGTGACATTGAAGGTTTGTTTGTTTTTTTTAATTTAATTTAATTTTTTTAAACTATTTGCTGCTAGAGCTACAGGCTAGCAAATAGTCAGATTTAAAAAAAAAAAAAATATGGACCCTGATTTTGAAGAGACACTCCAGAGCCCTAAAGTCTATGTCCTCTTTTTTTTTCATTTTATAATGTGCAAATTTCAAGAGAAATTGACACTTTTATAAATCAATCTTGTTACACCCCCGTGACTTTCAAGAAGATACTAGGTCCGGTTACTTCCTGGTTGCTTAGCTCAGTGGAGCTAAATTTAGGAGCAAGGCAATTGGTATTGGACGGCCACAGAAAGCATTATTTAAGGAGCAATTAACCTACTATGCAGACAAAAACAATACTTTTTTTTCGTTTTTAACTTTCAGCTAGTTAGAATATAGCCCACTAATCTGTTATCCTGTGTATATCACATACATTCTAAATGCATTGTACATGCAGCATACACATTCAATACAGATGCAGCACATACATTCTATATACATCTAGCGCATATATACAAAGGGCCATTACATGATAAATATGGCAATTCCATGTAAGGATACCACATTAAGGAGTTCTCTAGTAAACAGCTAAAATATCAAAATTAGGAAAAGCCATTTCCCTCTAGGCTGGTAAAGAAGGTGAGGGCTTGCAAAGGCAGCAGACAAGAGAACGGTAGCTATTCCAAGCGGTTTATAGATATAACTCAAAGAAAAAAAACACATAATTAAATGGATACTTTATATTTTTATTCAGACTAATTCTACTAAACAATGATTTTTTATTTTCCTTGTATTTGGGCAGTGGAGTGTCCCTTTAGGTATTCAGAGCTAGCTTTTAAAATAAATCCGGGTCTGGATTTCTGTTGTCTGGCAACTTTTGGTCCCACTAAAATCTGGACCAAGTTCAGGCTCATTTGAAGCTTGCTCTGCAAAAGCCGGACATTGTTACATACTATGAACAATGTATTTATTTTACAGTCTGAATGATCCATACTGCAGCAAATGGATTTGCCCCATTTGGTATAGGGCTATTTGGACTTTAGTGCATAACCCTGAAAGTGTTCTTTTGTTGAAATGTTTCAAACTATTCAAAATTTAAATAACAATTGGTGTGCAACATGTCTTAAAGGGATACTACAGCTACAGCTTATTGCATCTTTTCAGAGAAAATGCAGTGTTTACATTACAGCCTAGTGATAACTCTCCTGGCCACTCCTTAGGCAGTGCTCAACTGCTTCCTTGGGAAGTGCTGCAGAGTACCCTCTGCATGCGTACACTGAACTTTCCTCATAGTGATGCATTGATTCAATTCATCTCTATGATGAGATACTGATTGGCCAGGACCGTGTTTGACTTGTGCTGGCTTGATCTGCCTCCTAGGCAATCTTAGTCAATCCAATGCTTTCCTATGAGAAAGCATTGTGATTGGCTGTGATCAACACTTCTGATGATGTCAGCCAAGCAGGCAGATCAGGGGTAGAGCCAGCAGCAGCAGCCTGGAATAAAAGTAAGATTTTATTATATTTAGGGGGGCTAGATGGTACTTTTAACACTAAAGGGTCAGTAATACATGAGTGTGTTCCTGACCCTATAGTGTTCCTTTTAAAATGGTGACATGATGCCAAAGTGTTACGGTATGTAAAAAAGTTAACTTAGTAAAATGTAGAATGTGTACATAGAGCATCCTCTCGACTGGTGCACACCAAGGTTACATTATTCTAGACTTGCAAATATGATGAGATAGGCTTCACTCAAATTCCAGTGATATCAGTGCTTTGTTTAGACATCTGATGAAGCCAAAGCCATCTATACAAGATCTGCACTTCTGTCTTAATCATGTATTTTGTAATCATGTATACGTGCAGAAATGCCAAGGCTTTGGCTTTATCCCATGTCTAAATAAAGCATTTATGGCATTGCATTTGATGTCAAGCTTATCTCATTATATTCCTATGCCCAATATATTCTATTCTATTTATTTATTACAGTTGTTTTTGGTTATTCTAGGAGCACATGGTAGATTTGTGGCACGAGCCACTGGAGGGACACAGAGAGAAGCTCGCATACAGACTCTAGAACCTGATCCATGGATGAGAGAGGTCATTCAACATGGACATGGAACACGGAAAGTCGTTGAGCAGAATGATCTGGAGATGTTAGTATATACCAATTAAAAAGAATTTCAAGAATTTATTTAGAATATGTGCACTCATTCCACAGAATGAGAAACTGCTTAGTACACTTGTATATCTAGTGATAAAAGCAGGTGAGATTATGAATTTTGTATATATCTTAGCACTTATTTCTCATCTCTTATTCTTCACAGCTTATCAGAGATGCTGGTCTTTGGACTACGAACAGACACTGGGATTACTCATGAGGTGAGAACTTTGGGTGACTGACTGACTTTCAGGGCTATTCACTAAGGTGAGAATTTTTCCAATTCTGCAATTTTGGTCTTAAATTTGTTAATCACTTTAAATTCACTATGGGGATAAGTAGTCGCAGACCTGTCAGAGTGATGATGACCCCTGTCCACTGCACCTTCAATGGGGACAAATCAGGTGGATGGCCAGGTGCATGTGCGTCATTACCTAAGGAAGAGAAGGCAGCAGAATGCACTATGGGAAGAAGGCAGACTCGCTGAGGTAGAGTTATGTTCTGGGCAATGTTATGCTGGGAAATATTGGTTCCTGGCATTCATGTGGATATTACATATAAAACACAATAAAATAAGCAATGTAAACTTACACAGAATCCAGTGTCGCAGTATTTTGGAGTTTGCCCCCACCCTTCCGACAATTACCTAATTAAACTTAAAAGTCCCCTCTGTCAGTTGGGGCCACAATTATTTGCCCCACACTGACAGAAGATCTATCTGTGGGTCTCTATGTGAGCGCGGCAAATAGCCCTTTAAAATATATTAGCTTACAGTGGCTGTGATTTTAAATTGACCCCAGTATTACGGAGACCCCCAAGGTCTAAGAAGATTCTCTTGAGTTCACCCTTCTTACCACCTGCTTAGTGATCAGTGCTGGGGGCACCATGAGCATAGGTTGGGGGACTTTAAATCTAATTTTAGCACAGATGCCGTTAGAAGATAATAGTGCGCTGATTTTTTTATTTTTTTTTAATTTCTTGTCTGACAGGCTATTTGATATGAAATGTATTTCTGTGCCACTGAATGTACTTTGAAGATTGCAAACTTCTTCCCTCAGTAATATACACATGGTGTGTGACTGCAGTTTACTGCTCAAGTGAACCCTGCCAGAACTGAGTGAGGTAGTAGTAGTGTTGCAGGCAGAGCACAGCATCCGTGAAGTTGAAGAATCAGTTTGCAAATCCTTTTTTTTTTTTAAATTGTACAAGTGTCAAACAAAACAACATTACAGTAATAGTTCACCAAGTATCAACCAATTTTTCAACATACACATAAGGCAGGGTGAAACCATTACAATGACAGACATTTTTTAAAAAGTTGGATCACTGTACCTCCTCCATGTCTACCTTTACGCATGTTGAGGATAGTGCCAGTTGTCAACAGAGGCAGGTTTGACAAGTAGAGTTGTACTCCTCATCATCCCTGGTAAGTATCCACAAGCCCACACTTTTTGTTGTATTTCATTCCAAGGCCATGTCAAAATAGCACGTTAATAATTTCACCCACTTGATTATGCAGATTTATGGACTGCTCCCACTGGCCATCATGCTTTCTTTCCTTGATGGCACAGTGATGGCAGCCCAAGATGCCTGGAATTGGTGGTGGTAGTGGAGGAGGTCCAACCCTTTGCAACTCATACTTGGCATTGCATGAGAATTGCTGGGCATTTGCTCCATAATGTGTGGGCTTGCCAACTCTTGAGGCAGAAGCAAGAGAAAAGAGGGCTTCTCACACACCTACGACAAGATGTCAGCACACAGAATCATGAAGGGATGATTATTAGGAACTTAAAATAATTCAGTTTCCCCATTTTTCATAGTACAATATAGCAAAAGGAAAAAACTTTACAATTGATCATTATAACATTTCCAATTTATTTTTTAAACCCAGATATACAATAGCCTAATTTAGGCAACTCAGAATTGCAAAAATGCCTTATAGTGCATAGCCACTAGGCCAAGAAAAATTGTAGTTTTTTTTGCATGTCACCACGGTCATAGGCAGCATTTTTTTCAGTAAGACTTTTGACACTGTTGCACATAGAAGGCTTATCAGTAAACTGCAATATTTAAATTGGGATTACAATATTGTTGTATGGGTTTGGCAGTGGCTGAGTGGCAACAGAGAGTTGTAGTCAACGTTAATCAAAGCAAGGTCTAGTTAACAGTGGGGTACCTCCGGGATCTATACTTGGACCCATTCTCTTTAATATTGTTATTAGTGATATTGAGCTGTGGCAACTGACATTTAATGTGGATAAGTGCAAGATAATGCATTTTGGGCATAAAAACCCAAGGGCAGAGTGTAGAATATTTGATACAGTCCTAATCTCAACATCTGAGGAAAGGGATCTAAGGGTAATTATTTCAGATGATTTAAAAGTAGGGAGACCATGGAGCAGCAGGAAATGCTAGCAGAATGCTTGGTTGTATAGAGATAGCTATTAGCAGTAGAAAGAGGGAAGGGCTCATGCAGTGGTGGAACTACCACAGTCCCAGGTGTCGCACCCGCGACTGGGCCCATCACTCCAGGGGGCCCGGCCGCCCTGCTGACCCCTGCAACCGTGGCCCGCCGAGAGAGGAACTGTGACAGTGGGCCCACTTAGGGCATACCCGAATCACTGTATGGACAGTGAGGCAGAGTAGGCACCTGCTTACCTTGATGGCAGGTGCCTACTCTGCCGATTATATAATGAGGGGAGGACAGGAGGCAGGCCGCATTCGGCAGCATCAAGAGATCACTGATCGGACAGTTCCTTTCTCCTCCCTTGATTTCCCTCTGTGATGCCGGGAGCCGGAATATAATGTCATTCCGGCCCCGGCACACTAAGCAGCGCGCAGAAGGAGAAAGAAACTCACAGCACAGCCCAATGGAGAGGACCCAGACCAGCTCTCCCAAAGGTAAGGAGGCTGGATGGGCCTCAAAAATGTAAAATTTATTTGTAAGTGTGTGTGTGTGTGTGTGTGCGCGCGCGCGTGTGTCTGTCAGCGTGTGTGTGGCTATTAGTGTGTGTATGGTTCTGTGTCTGTCTGCCTGTCAGTGTATGTGTGGCTATTAGTGTGTCTCTATGTCTTTCTGACAGTGTGTGTGTGTCTGTCAGTGTGTGTATGTATGTGTGTCTGTCACATGTGGGTGGGAGAGGCACATGGAGGGTATGGAGGGGTGGGTGAGACACATGGAGGGGTTGTGGGGTGGCAAAGAGACATAGGACAGGTGGGAGAGACACATGGAGGGACTGGGGGTTGAAGGGACTGGTGGGGGAGAATGAGACACGTAGATACAGATACAGATCTTCTGGGCATCCACATGGTGGACACTTTTTTGATATGTTGAGGAGTCCAACTCTTCTTGTCAAACCTGCCTCTGTTCATAACTGGTACTACCCTCTACATCAAGTATTCTTAATGTTTATTCTGGTTTTTGACTCTGCTTGTTTTCTGACTACTCTAACCTCTGTTATCTTTGACCTGGCTATTGTCTCTCTTCCTCCTGTCTTCTGGTTCCCTTGATTTTTGGCTTATTCCTGACTATTCTGTTTCAGCCACGTTAAGCCCGATTACTCTAAGGTCCAGTAATATGTTCAATTTGATTCACTTTGCAGGTTGGGGTTTTAACCGTGACACACAGATATGCAGAGACACTGACACAAGTACACATACATACAGCTATAAGTAACAATTAACATAGGTTTAGCCACCCTCTTTCCTAACATTTGGGTGCAGGAAGGTAGCTTCCCTGGGGTCCAGTAGAGCTGGCTGATGAGAGACTAAGGTTCTAGGCTTCCCTCCCCTCTCCTGTTTGTTTGTGCCTGCTCCTGCCTCCCCACGTGGCTCTAAGCAAGCTGGAGGAGATTAACCTGAACTCGCTTCCTCCAGCAAGCCATAGGTGAAACAAGCCCTATGACAGTGGCCTAAACAATGTGCACTGTTAAAGGGCCATTAAAATTTGTGGGCTTTTTGAACCATATGTTTGACAGCCCTGATTTAAGGGGTTAATTAATATAATTAACCATAAAGCTTTTTCTTCATAATAGATATATATAAATGTAGCGTTACGTTAAAATGAAAATTCTAATACTGATTTACTTTATTCCTAATCCTTTAGCAGAAAGACATTCAATTTCTCTCATATTGTCACACTTCTGGCTTTCTATGATATTGTTTTTCTGTAAAATAGATTGGATCAGTTCAGGCTGTAAGAATATGTTTTGCTGTTACTTCAAATCTTTTTTTTTTATTTCTAAGGCCTGGCAACAACTCTCTCCGTCCATCAGCTTGAAGCATTTTTTTGATGCATCACATGAATTAAAGATGCTTCAGAAGCTGGAGCTGGTATTACTGGATGAAAGGTAAGACCTGAATGTAAAAGGGAAGGAATTAGATAGAATTGCTAATCATTTTGGTATTTGTCAAATATTGAATTCTCTGGTGAAACACTACACCATCAGAGATTTTAAAGTGGCTTGGTTATTGTCTGAGGCTTTGCCTAATTTGCAAATACCCTCGACAGTGCATCTGGGGTCATGTGGCCATAAGGGGCAGGGAAAGGTGAGATTTACTTACCTGAACCTGTCTCTTGCGGGCAAATCCATCATCTTCCTGAACCCTCTTAATTGAGATCTGTGGAGGGCGGGATTATCCATAGTATGAGCTTTATTTCCTTACAGCCATAACCGGTGACGGCTGGGGGAAAAGACAAGCTTGACAGTGGTAGCTCCGTCTTTTTGTCAAGTGTAGGAAAAATACTGGGACTAAGTAGTCCCTACTTTGCCTCAGTTTATCTTTTTTTTTTTTTTTTTTTTATAATTTATTTTTGAAGCGCATTGTCAGATACATTGTGAGGATATGACATTTAACAGGTTACATGAGTTAATACGGTGACATAGTGGTAAAGGTGATTTGTTGTGCTTTTTTTGTTTTTTTTTGTTTATGCAAAAGAAATTAAACCGGCTTATCAGAGAAGTTGTCAAGGCATTCAAACAAGTGTTAGGCAAAACAGGGTAGCATAGACATGGGTTAGCCTAATAGATTTCACGAGAGATGTGTACAGTTAGTGTGGTGACCTGCGTGGCTAGTCAGACATGGCTATGTGAGACCGTAGTAGTTAAGTGGACATGCTAAGATTCCTCTGGTTGACACTCGCTGTGTAGATGATATTAGGGGAACTGGGTTAAACTCCCTGGGATTATCAAGTGTCATGTGATGCCACTTTCTGGGTTTGTGACCGACTAGCCAGGTTGGACAGGTCCGACATAGATTAAGTGTAGGTACGTACTAACGTGTAATTACATGGCATGGTTTAACCACCAAGGGACCTTGGGGCACTGGGCTTGCCAGGGAGGGTATATGTGCAGGCTTAAGAGGCCTAGGCGCTGTCAGTGGGGAGCTGCAGAGTTAACATCTACTGTATTAAACACAGAATGAAGTTATTAATGAGATAATAAAGAATATACAGTAGTTGGGTGCAAATGTGGTAGGCATCCGCCTAGTCGCTCCTGTGGCTGTGCTGGATCGGCTGGTGTCTTAGCTGGGATCGGGTCTGGTGTTGCTCATGTTATGGATGTGTCCGGTCCTGTGTGACTGCTGGCACCAACCCCAGGCAGAGAGTAGAGCCCGCGCCCCATGTCCAGCCTCAGTTTATCTTTTAACTAGTTTGGAACTTCAGTAGCATTCCAACATAGTTGGAGGGCCTGGTTGCCATAAGCAGCAGGGAAAAGTGAGATTTACTTACCTGAATCTGTCTCTCACGGGCACTGCCATCCTCTTCCTTGATGAGGATCCTACAAGATCGTTTGTGACGGTAGTCACCATCACCAAGAGCTTAAAATAGACAATTCAATTAGGTATCTGGATGATTCCTATGTTAAAGTCACCCTGTGTCCATTGTGGGTTCAAGACATTTTAGTGTATAAATCAAGCTCCCTTCCTAGTGCTTTTAGTTCAATAACCCTCACCCGATGCCCAGGGCTAGAATCAGGGGGGTAGACCGTGATCTGTCCACCTTTCTATTAACTTTTAATCCTTCACCCGAATCCCATGATTGGGGAAAAGGGGAGGTCCCCACTTACTTTGTAGGCCCCATCATATGTCTTAAATGGCTGCCCAGTCGCTATTTTATAGTTACAATAAGCAGCCACTGAATTTAAAATCTTCCATATAGGCCTACTTTTATTATAATTTTTTTTCTTACTTTTTTAATGTGGTACGCTACATTAATGTAGTGGCTAGCAAGTGCCACCCAGGTATTTTTAACAGTATTTTTTTTTTTTACTTTTTCTACTTTTAAAACCCGGGTCTGGATTTTAAAGTATTTGTGCCCTGATTTAACAATCCAGGTCTGAATTTCAGCTTTGTGGCAGCGTTCGGTCCAACTAAAATATGGACCAAATTCTGGCTCACTCGGAGCCCTCTCTGCAAAATCCAAAATTTGTTACATAGAGTGAACACTCTGAATGGCTCCTTATGGTTGCTCCATTTGGTACAGAGGCTATTTGGACATTTGTTAATAACCCAGAGTTTGTCTACTTTATAAGTTCTTATTTCTTGCTCTTTTACTTTAAAGGTAACTTTAATGGTAGCAGGAGTACCCTGGCGCCCCTCATTGCAAGAATTCAAACTGTTTTAGAACAGTTTAACTTCTTACCTAGGGTCCACCGGGTGCCACTCCTCTTCTACAGCTGAAATTCCTGCTTGTGAACTTCAATTAGCCCTCCTGAGCTTTGCCCTGCACAAAGATAGATATTACATGTAATGACAAGGGATATAATGAATAATATTAAAATACTTTTTTTATGATAACTTAAATAGATGATCCAAACCCTGTCCCCCCTTCCCCCCTCCCCACCCCTGCACCTTGTTAGCTGCTGAGTTTTTTTTATTTGTGTTACTAAGATTTAAGTTTATTTGCTCATTTATACATAAGGAAAGGTAGGAACTACTTTTCCCTATGTATAACCTGCTGATAGACAAAAGTTGACAAACGGTGGAGCTTTAGTCCGGCTCCATGGCCTGACTACTTTGTCAACTTTGTCTTGGGCTGTCTTTGTTTATACTCATCTCCCTCCAGAGTCCTTAATGTTGACTCTCAAGCAATCACTAAAGTCAACTGAGATCTGGGTAAACACTGGCCATGCGCGATTTCACACACACGAGATAGGATTTCCGTGCGCCACCATCTTAGAAACTAAGATGGCGGTGCCAAAAAAGAAAAACCTGTTGGGGTCAGAACAAAGTCAAAAAAGGTAAATTGCACAGGTCCTGAGGCCAGAAACATTAGACAGTACACCACATTATGTGTAAATAAAAATCTCTCTCTGAAGATTCAAACAAAAGATTATTGGGAATGCCAGTATAAATATTCGCAATTTACACTTGTACATTATTTAATTATGTAGACGCTGAGTGACTTAGAAACCTGATATTGACATAGAAAATACTTTGTTTTCAGCTTTTGCTCACTTCTGACAAAAGTGGTTTCCAATTCAGTCGTCAATGTGCATCAACAGTCCTAGTGATATCAGTATTCCCCATTGGAACAGCATTATTCAATGTCTAAATCCTGGTCTGAACAACTGGCCTAGAGATCATGGGCCATGTTAGTACCTACCTAAAAAACTTCCGTGCATAAGTTTTGTATGTAAGAAAAAAGACCGGGCAGAGTCAGGGTTGCCATAAGAAATCTTAGAAGACTTGTCTCACTGAAACAGGCTCCCAGATACACACACTTCCACACACAGGGACATGGCGGGAGGAAGAGGGTGACCTTTTTGGGGGATAAGCAGGGCTATCGTGATAATGTTATCTATACTTGGAACAGGAATATCATTTTAAATCCTCTTTGAGTCTTATCTCTTTACATAGTTTTTTTTTAAATTGACACATGGAAGAGATTGGGGTATTGGTAATGAGATCCATGATAGGGACTGGGTGGTGATATTTACACATAGAGGGACTCGAGGGGAATTGAGATAAATGGAAGGGGTGAATTAGACACATGGAGGGGCTTTGGGGGGGGGATGAGACACATGAAAGGGCTGGGCAAGGATAACTTTAAATTTTAAATATAGAGAGGCGGAGCCTAGCTACCAAAGCGAACGGTCGCAAGCTCCGGACAGAAATCGTATAAAACTCGTTCTTCACGGGCTCTTACCTGCTGTACCGAGCTCCCAGACATTATACCTGCACATTTAACTATCACTGGACGCAAAACTAAAAAACCCAACCTGGGGATGAACATCGGCGAAATATGGCGCCAAGCACATGGCCGCGTTGTCAGACGGCTCTTCTGATTTCCTGGCCTCGGAAGGGGAAGAGACTCTCTCACACACACCGCGAAACCCCCGCCAAAACAGACAGAACTGGACACATCCCCGGTCACAATCTCGGTCCTGAAGGGGCTCCTTGCGGAACTACAGACCACCCTACATGCCGACATTGCCACGATACGAGAGGGTCTGCAGGGCCTGACAGGCCGCATTGGAACACTAGAAGAAACTACTCACCAGGATTCCCAGCGGGTACAGGTGCTGGAACAGGTGGTACTACTTCGAAAATATGGCACTAGATTTCTACAGCGACCTATCCGGCAGCACAATGGCCTGGCGGTGGTCACTCAAGCCTGTTACCTCACTATTCCAACAGCGCAACATTGGATACCGCTGGCACTTGCCCCGCACGCTCCAAGTGACACATGGAGAAACTACTTACCCTCTCCATAACCTACGAGATGCAGCCACACTCTTAAGGGATTTAGGATTACTGCAAGACTATCTACTAAAGCCACAGCCGCAACTCACTAACAGGCCCTTGCACAACTGGGACCCAAGCAAGGTCACTCCGTTCACACCACGACGACCCACAGCGGAACCGTATGCTACTGCAACCACGTGAAGCCCCGTGAGGCTCTCTGACCGGGACTGATTATGATTGGGACAGTTCCCTTATTACTAATATTTCCTAAGACACATCATAATTGGCACTCGATGTCTATTAACGGGTATAGTCCCCATACTGTCATAACCCCCCTCGTCTCCACTGAGCTGTAGTTGTCATGGTGCCAGACATGCCCTGGAGCCTTCCCTCCTGTGTAAATAGTTAAACCATGTTAGAACAATTTGACTTCTTATCTGTGGTTTGTCATGCGCTTCTCCTCTCCGTCACCACATTCTACAGAGAGCAAGAAGCTCTCTATCTCAGCTAAGCCCAGTGGTGCAACCGTGCAGGGCTTCGCTAATTGGCCGCGAGTGATGACTTCAGAAGACAAAATGGAAGCTAGGAGCTTCTTGTTCTTTTTTGGCTGTTATGGAGAGCAATGGCCATCAGATACTCTGTAACCTGTCAAACTGTTCTAAAATGGTTTGTAATGGGGACAGAGGGTGCCAAGGCACTTCTGGCACCATAACTAATACAGGATGCTGTTGTGGTTATGTTATTTATAGTGTTGCTTTAATTTTCTAACAATTTACAGGTTTATTATAGTGGATTGTGCTATACACATGGTAAACCTAGACATGACCATAAAACAAAAATCTGAAAAAAATAGTATATTGAAAACCAAATTGCAAAATGTGCCAATTCAGAAAGATTCACCATCTTTGCTATAGTCATAGGTTGCATATTGTATCCTTTATTTCTGCATTCAGATTCCAGTTCCCTACAATGCATAGTTTAGTGAACAAACCCCTGCTGTGAATAACTATATGTTCACCTAGATTCATGTCCCTTTCTTATATGCATGTTTTTCTCCCCTAGTGGCCTGCGATGCTCCTGGAAGGGGCTTGCTGTTTTGGACAGTCTTCTAGTGCCCCTCCTTTCCCAATTGCAGTACGCCTGGAATCAGATGGAAAAAGAAGGGTCACCTAAGGACACCACATAATAAACAATTATTGTACCAGCCAACAAAGCTCCTGGTTTTGTTTAGTGTAAAAAAATAAATAAAAATAAAAATATGGGTTAAATTGCTATAACACGGACGACGTGCCAAGAGACACCTGTTGCCTTTGCAAAAACAACCAGGCAGATCTCTAAGTGGCGATTTCTCATATCGTTAACATGAGGCGTGGAGACTGTTGCCATGGACACGTAAACTACGGAGGAACATGGCGAACAAACAGGCAAAGAAAGAGTCTCGAAGCAGAACCCCAACGGGTAACCCATATATTGTGTAAATGAAGAATATGTTGTATTACTGTAACAAAACTCAGCAATTTCAGAGTGAAGTGCCGCCTGTACACTTAGACGGCGTTCTAGAACGGCACTTTGTAACCAGAGAAGCTTTACCTCTGTGTTCTGCTGATTAATATTCGAATAGAATCTTTACCCTATGTGTTCTGCTGATTAATATTCGAATGGAATCTTTACCCTCTGTGTTCTGCTGATTGATATTCGAATAGAATCTTTACCCTCTGTGTTCTGCTGATTAATATTCGAATAGAATCTTTACCCTCTGTGTTCTGCTGATTAATATTCGAATAGAATCTTTTACCCTCTGTGTTCTGCTGATTAATATTCGAATAACCCTCTATACTTGTACTTCTCTTTACCCCTGCTGCGTAAAAAAATCATATAATACTTTATATATCGAGATGCCATAAACTTATATGATCATACACCAATACAGTGGATTTAGCACGTATGCAATGTACATTCAGTGGATAATATATATATATATATATATATATATTTCTTTATTTTTGTAGTGAAGTGATACAAAATATGGGTAACAACATAGTGTGAGGATTCCAAATACAGCATGTCAATAAACAATGCCATGGAATCAGAGAAGAATATAGACAAATGTGTTGGGTGAAGTTACCAGATGGTGTATACCCATCACAGCACTGTGTGTTGTTTTTAGTTTTTATTTAATCAATAAACATAGATATATTTTAATTGGCGTATGGTCCCTAAATGAAAATGAAATGTACCTGACAAGCTTTTATTAATTATTTATTTTTAAATAAATATGTTTTACTGGAATTACTTTTATCCCTTCAGTGCAAATGATGCTGAGTAAAATAGTTCTGACAAGGAAACTGTACATTTAACCTGATATAGTCAGCATTACGTGAGTTCAAACAGTCCTGCTACTGTTACCTAAAGTCAAAAGGAATAATAATGTATTATATCTAGTGAAAAAGCAAAGTATGTTTATCTATTCTTTAGTTTCACAGTAAACATTAAAAAAAATAAAACTCAAATTACATAGATTGGCACAGTTCATATTTAACCACAGGGGTGTGATTTGTAATTTCACATATAACAATTTATGCCAAAACGTGATGAGAATTCTGTTTATAGTTACTATATCTCTCGCCAGGGGAGGGCTGGCAGCCTTATGCCTGGGGGGCAAATCCAGTCAAGTGGCCCATTGCACCCCTGAATCAGCTCACCATCCATGCCCACCTTTTCCTGGTTTTATAATGGATATTGATGTTATGCTAATCAGTAGCTCTTTTGCCATACCCACTCCTTTGCAACTCAGACTTTCAATGTTGTTAGAGCGCAGGCTGAGAATCTCTGAGCCTGTGCTCTGACTCACTGAGCACCGGAACCACAAGGGAGAGGATATGATCTAAGACAACTACTGCTGGTGCGCACCAATGGACCACCAGGGAATCGTTTAAATTAAATATGCTGGTGTCCCAAACTTGTGAGCTGTGTTGGCCTCTGTTGTCATGGCACCCTACGTGACCCCACAGCTTGCACACCTCAAAGGCTGGCCCTGCTGACAGACACACTGGTACTCACTCTCAATATCACACACGCACAAACCCTGAAAGACAAACACTCACTGACCGGCAGACACATACACACACACTGACAGGCAGACACACATTCACTGACCGACACTTACTTGACAGACACACTCGCTGACACACACACTTACTGACAGATACCAGTGCCATATTAACAACATTATGAGCCCCCGGGCAAAGCAGTGCACTGAGGCCCTGCCTACACAACTTACAGGAATAAAAATGTAAATTATAGATACAACGAAGATTATATTTATAAGTACCTCCAACAAATGCAATGCATACATACAATACATACACATAGACTACTGAATACAGTCACACACCGACTGCTGAATACATACACGCATACAGACTGATGAATAGACACACACACACAGACACACAGACTGCTGACTATACACACACACAGACTGCTGAGTACACACACACAGACTGCTAAGTACACATAGAGAGTGCTGAATACATACACACAGTCCGCTGAATACAAACACACACAAACATACACACAGACGGCTGGATACATACACAGTTCGCTGAACACACACACAGACTGCTGAACATACAGACTGCTGTATGTGTTTGTGTGTATGGGTGCGGTGTGAGTGTAGGGTGCTGTGTGTGTGTGGAGTGCTATATGTGTGCTGGGTACTGTGTGTTTGAGGGGTGCAGGTAGCAAATGTGTGTGTTTTTTTTTTTTTTTAATACTACTATACATTAAATACAATCTATATGTCCCCCCCCCACCCTTCTTCTTACCTTTGGTGAAAGAGGCTGGGACACAGCCAGTCCTGGTTGTCCAGTTGTGAATTCTGTACAGCCTGCCGCTTGTCTGGGTGCAGGCTGTCTCCTGTCCTCCTGCGCGCAGAATGCTGTGTGGAGCATTGCCATGCCTCTCCTGCAGCCCTGGGTCCTAGCTACCTCTCTCCCCGATCGAAGGGAGATCTCCCTTACCGGCCCAAGGGGGCCCACGGCCAGAAAACAAGGTCACCTCTCCATTGGCCGGCCGGGGAGATCAAAAGATCTCCCCTGTCGGCCGGGCATGTGCTGGGCAGCGTGGTAGGGCCCCCATGCCTGTGGGGCCCACGGGCAACTGCCCAACGTGCCCACACGGAAAGACGGCCCTGACAGACACACACACAAATACTTCCAGACACACACACTTCCAGACACACTCACCGACAGACACATACACACACACTTACTTTCAGACACACACACTTTCAACACACACACTCACTTCCAGACACATACGAACACACTTCCAGACACACATGCACATACTTACTGACAGACAGATACACACACACACACACACTTACTGACAGACACACACTCACACTTCCAGACACACACACTCACACTTCCAGACACACACACGCACACACACTTACTTTCAGACACACACTCACAAATTAATTTTATTTCTTGTAACTCCTACCTTTAGGAGTCCTCTTCCTGGGGTCCAGTGTCTTCCATGATCTTCCTGCTCCTCCCTGCTCCCTCGCGCAGTTTAGTGATGCGGGGCCGGAATGACATCATATTCCGGCTCCCGGCATCACCATAGAGGGCGCACGAGGGAGCAGGAAGATCATCAGCACAGGCAGTGCTCCCTCGCCCCGCCTGCCTCCTTCCTTACGCGGCCGGTATATTCCTGCAGAGTAGGCACCTGCCATCTGGGACTTGCTACCGGGGCGAACTAGGTGGCCAGCTGGCCACCTGCTGGGCTCCCTGCGACAGGCCATGGGCCTGCTCCACGCGGCACCCCCTCCTCCTGGTGCCCAGGACCGCCCTGCAGCTGCCATTTTTCAAATGACTTAGGGCGGCCTGGGGGGCAATTGCCTACCTGCCCAGCCCAGCCCGCCCCTGTCTCTCGCTTCTGAAAATTCATTTTGAACATGCATGCATTTTTTTATTCGGTTTTTATCTTAAAATAGTTTGCAAAAGCTGCATAGCTCTTGACTGAAGTCATTGCAAGCCCTCCCATTCTTTCCCAGCCCCGACTTTCTGTGACTGTTCAGTTACAGACTGAATAAGACGTCTTTGCAAGATAGGTGCTCGGAGCTATTGCGTGCCTTTTGAACTTCTCTCTAGCTGAAACACTGCACATACATACTCCTACCACAATAACCACTTGAAATTACTGATGTTGTCAAGGTGGTTGGAGTAACCCTTTAATTTATAAAAGTGCCAATTTCTGTTGAAATCTGCACTTTTTGTACAATAAGTAAACTGAAGTGCTTTAGGAGTGCAGAGTATCCCTTTACATAATTAACTCATTTTATTAATTACAATTTGAGGGACCTGCCTGACAACCCATGCAGAAAGTCCAGGGAATTTGGTTCGCAAGTCCTATATACATATTTTTTTTTTGTAATTCTTTATTTTTGATGTGCAGTGAGATATCATAAACATTCAAAGTAATAAGTCACATAGAAAGTTATTCAGCAAACAGTACAAGGAAACTGCTATTTTTTTTGTTTTTTAAATGAAAGTTATGACGAGTGATTCAATGCATAGAGATTGCCAAAGATAAAAGTATTAGATAAGGATATATGCAGTGGATGTTTAGACAGGCAATAGTATTTTTGCACAGGCTAGTTAAACTGATTGAGAGCGTGGTTGTACACCCAGGAGGACCCTACAATTAGGAAGCCAGACCACAAGCAAGCAGGGCATTAGATGGAGGGAGATAAATTAACAGAATAGGTACATGTAGGTAGCTTAAAACATAAGTAAAATGAACAAGTGACAGGGAAGCTGGTGCGCTGCCATCAGGGATTTCCATTTCACATCAACCTATACCCCTCTGGAGTAGGCCGCAGCAGAGCTTTGATAAAGTGCTGGCCAGATGAAAGGTCCCATTCTGCGAGCTGTGTAGCAAGCTGTAGAGGTATACGAGTGGGCTGGGTGGCTGTTTTATTTGCCCCTCTGATTTAGTAGAGTGGTGTCTGCATGTTGTGTGGTTGCGCCAACTGTTCGCTACTCTGACACGCAATCGGCGTCTCCTCTTTGTACGGTCCTGACGCAGTGAGCTCCCCTTCCGCTTCGATGTAGATGAGGGACCTTTGGGCTGGGTAGTTGGTGCAGCGGAGGCCGTGATTTGCATGCGTGCCGATAGCTTTTCCCAAAAGGCATCAAAAGTCATCTTTAGTTCATCGAGCACGTCCCACTGGAGTCGGATGAGCCCGCGGCATCTGCCATGATGTCTGGTTATGCGTTGGTGCCGCCTGTACTCAGTTTTCAAGGGACCCTCCAAGGTGTGGACCAGGATTACCCCCGCTGGTCAAAAGGGGGGGGGGGAGAGGGGAAACTAGCAGGAGATCGGCCGCCACGCCCTTCCTCGATGCACACTAGGCCGCAAAATGCTCAGAGCCACCCCGAAGACCGTGCTGACCATGGACAATGGTCACTGGTAGGTGAGTCAAACCTCAGCTAGGGTGGCTTTTGTGTTGCTTTATTTTGCTTTAGGTTCCAGTGGGTCTTGGTTTTGCCCGTAGTGGCCCGGAGCTCTCAAGACACACGTCCTGCAGGCATGGCAGTCAGGCCCTGCCCCCGCATGCACTATATTTAACCATGTAACTTTCCAAGACACCATAAAACCTGTACATGGGGGTACTATTTTACTCAGGAGACTTCGCTAAACACAAAAATTAGTGTTTCAAAACAGTAAAACGTACAAAAAGTGCAATTTTTTGCATTTTTCACAAACAGCACTTTCACTGACAATATTGTTGTGATACATTTTACTGTTTTGAGACACTAATATTTGTATTCAGCGAAGTCTCCAAGTATAACAGTATCCCCCATGTACAGGTTTTATGCTTTTTTCCAAAGTTACAGAGTCAAATATATGACTTTCATTTCAGTTTTTTTACATTGAAAATTGCCAGATTGGTTATGTTGCCTTTGAGACGGTATGGTAGGCCAGGAATAAGAATTACACCCATGATGGCATACCATTTGCAGAAGTAGACAGCCCAAGGTATTGCAAATGAGGTATGTCCAGTCTTTTCTAGTAGGGATCTACTGATTATCGGTTTTACCGATATTATCGGCCGATATTTAGTATTTTCTGCAATATCGATATCGGCCAATAGAGATACCGATATTGCCGATAATACCTACCGGGAGCGCCGGGCCCATTACAAGCCCGGCGGTCCTGGGGGGGGCGGCAGCAAGCTGTGACTTACCTCCTAGCAGCTCCCATGTCAAATCTCGCGAGTTCCGCGGCCGCAGATCATTGCCACAGGTTACCATAGCAAGGCTCTGTGCAGCATGCAGACCGCGAGATTTACACAGGGAGCTGAAGGGAGCTGCTTCAAAGGTAAGTCACAGCTTGCTGCCGGACCCCCACTGCACAGCCTAATGCCACTGGACCACCAGGGAATGCCAAAGCCCCCCTCCCTGGCCAGGTAACAAGCAGGGAGGGGGGACCAAAAAAAACAAACAAAAAAAACACATATAAATATTAAAAATAAAATTAAAATAAAAAATTCCCCCCCATTTTACACAACTTCCATCCCTTCAGAAACACACACACTACACAAACACACTCTGCATTATGTACACACACTCTGCATTATATACACTCCCTACACAAACACACTCTGCATAATATACACACACTCTGCATTATATACACTCCCTACACAAACACTCTGCATTCATTACATACACACACTACACAAACACTCTGCATTCATTATATACACACACTGCATTCACTTTACGCACACTACACACACACACTGCATTTACTTTACGCACATTACACACACTGCATTCACTTTACGCACACTACACACTACATTCACTATACACACACACACACGCTGCATTCACTATATTTACACACTACACAAACACTCACTGCATTCACTATACACACTACACAAACACACACTGCATCCAATTCACACACACAGCTCCCCTGTCTAAACACACTGCATCCCCTACATGTGGCATGCATATTTTGTGCATTTACCTTTAGAAATAGTTTATTTTTTCAAAATGGTAAATGTACAGAATATCAGCAAGTTATCGGCTATCGGCCTGAAAGTTCACAGATTATCGGTATCGGTCGATCCCTATTTTCTAGTAGCCACTTAGTCACAAACACTGGCCAAAGTTAGCGTTCAGATTATGTTTTTGCATTTTTCACACACAAAAATGAAAGCTAACTTTATAGCTCTTTGTTCAACATTTATACAGGTATTCTCAGCAGGGGTCATCAAGCGCAACAATACAGGTAGTCCTCATTTACGACTTACCTGCACAACAACTTCTCGGACTTACGTCCAGCTCTGTAACGCAGGGATTCAAGGGATTCTCCATGTTAGAGAGCAGGTCTATGTTCAGAGAATTTTCCCAGAACATAGATTTGAGGGATTTCCCTTGCTAGTGCGCTGGTCTATGTTCGGGGAAATTCCCCCGAACATAGACCTGCTCTCTAGCACATGCTCTCTAATGAATCCTCACTTACCAACCAATTTGTTTTACGACTAGGTTGTAGGAACAGAATTCAGTTGGTAGTGTGGATCATCTGTAAACAATACAATCTCACCCAGGCTCTTTGGTGTCTGGAACATGATTCGATCAAAGGCAGGATAATTTAATTACCTATTGGACATCAGGTCACCATACGACAGTGTCCCTAAAACAGAGAGTTCCCCATATGTTATCCCCAAGAGCTGTACATCCCCAGAGCCCTCTGGTTTAGAAGTGCAAACTGTCCAAAAATTGCTTGGATCGGAGATTGCTCCGTCAAGTCCTTTGTGGCGGTAAACTCCTCATCTCCCTGACCTCCCCTCCAAGTAGTGCTCAGGTTGTTTAGACAGAGATATACCCACTTGAGGATTCACCGGATCGCGATATTCTTCTGATCAGATATACAGTTCCATGGTGTTTCTGGGTACCTAATCTGCTGGTATCTATATCTTGTTAAGAAAAACATAAAATTGAAAGCAACCAAACCCCCATCCTTACCAGCCTACCCTTGTTTGCTGCAGGACCCTTGGGAAGCCACCCTCTTGTTTTCATACCTTTTATGCTTTCTTTGTGTATCTGACTGTGTATCTCTGTGTATCTTTTAGTGTGTCTATATGATTGTGTGTGTATATCTTTTTGAGAGAATCTGTCTGTTCATGTTTGAATGCACCCCTGTATTCATAAGTGTGAACGATTGATAAATCCATTGTGTTGCTGCAAGAAATATTCAAGAATGGTTTTACTGGAGAGACAATGGAAAATTTTATTGATTTATTTGAAATATTGAAATTGGTTAATTCTTTATTTAAACTTATTGTATTGCAGATGAAAATAAAGTCAGGGACCAGAAAATCCACAAAAAACGTTGAAGGCTGCTGTAGACCACTTAATTAACGAGATTAGAAAAATATTACAAAATAGGAAAGTTTCATAGAAACATAGAATGTGACGGCAGATAAGAACCATTCGGCCCATCTAGTCTGCCCAATTTTCTAAATACTTTCATTAGTCCCTGGCCTTATCTTATAGTTAGGATAGCCTTATGCCTATCCCACTCATGCTTAAACTCCTTTACTGTGTTAACCTCTACCACTTCAGCTGGAAGGCTATTCCATGCATCCACTACCCTCTCAGTAAAGTAATACTTCCTGATATTATTTTTTAAACCTTTGTCCCTCTAATTTAAGACTATGTCCTCTTGTTGTGGTAGTTTTTCTTCTTTTAAATATAGTCTCCTCCTTTACTGTGTTGATTCCCTTTATATATTTAAATGTTTCTATCATATCCCCCCTGTCTCGTCTTTCCTCCAAGCTATACATGTTAAGATCCTTTAACCTTTCCTGGTAAGTTTTATCCTGCAATCCATGAACCAGTTTAGTAGCCCTTCTCTGAACCCTCTCTAAGGTATCAATATCCTTCTGAAGATACGGTCTCCAGTACTGTGTACAATACTCCAAGTGAGGTCTCACCAGTGTTCTGTACAATGGCATGAGCACTTCCCTCTTTCTACTGCTAATACCTCTCCCTATACAACCAAGCATTCTGCTAGCATTTCCTGCTGCTCTATTACATTGTCTGCCTACCTTTAAGTCATCAGAAATAATCACCCCTAAATCCCTTTCCTCATATGTTGAGGTTAGAATTCTATCAAATATTCTGTACTCTGCCCTTGGGTTTTTACGTCCAAGATGCATTATCTTGCACTTATCCACATTAAATGTCAGTTGCCACAATTCTGACCATTTTTCTAGTTTACCTAAATCATTTGTCATTTGGCTTATCCTTCCTGGAACATCAACCCTGTTACATATCTTAGTATCATCAGCAAAAGACATACCTTACCATCAAGACCTTCTGCAATATCACTAATAAAAATATTAAAGAGAATGGGTCCAAGTACAGATCCCTGAGGTACCCCACTGGTGACAAGTCCAAGCTTCGAATATATTCCATTAACTACAATATATTCCATTAACTACAACCCTGTCACTCAGCCACTGCCTTACCCATTCAACAATATTTGAATCCAAACTTAAAGATTGCAGTTTATTGATAAGCCTTCTATGTGCAACAGTGTCAAAAGCCTTACTGAAATCATGGCTTTCATATGTGTTATTAAACTTCTCTAAATTAGCCTTTTTGTATAAATTCAACTTACATTGACATCATTAATGCTTAATATTACCTGCTTAATATCATGTAGTTTCCCCTTGTGCTGCCAGAACAGCTCTGATCAAGAGCACTGAACATGGTCTGTGGTGTCTAGTACCAAGGCATCAGCAGCAGAGCCTATAAGTCATGCATGTTCTGTGGTGTGGTCTCCATGGTTTGGAATTGTTCTTCCAGCACATCCCATAGATGCTCAATCATATTGAAATCTGGGGAATTTGGAGACCAAGGCAACACCTTGAATTCTTTGTCATGTCCCTTAAGCCATTTCTGTACTATTTTACAGTGTGGCAGGGTGCATAATCCTGCTGAAAGAGGCCACCACCACCAGGGAACATCTGTATGTATGTGGTCTGCAACAATCTCTAGCTATGTGGTATATTTTTTTGTTTGTTTGTTTTTTATTCTTAATTTTTGTTGTGCCATGTTATACAAACAAGCTTGGCACAACATTTCCTTGTTGAGAGAACACATGAAAAATGACAGTGGTAATACAGGAGGCGCCAGAAATGGGGAACATTTTATAGAAAGGACAAATATAAGTGTGAGTCAGGGCAGAGTAGAGAGAAAAGCATTGTCAACTAGGTACACTGACATCACAAGAGAGATTACATGAGGAGTGTACCACCAATTAGTAGGTATGCTGGGACCAAGATAGTCACCCCATTAGGGATAGGCAATGAAGGAGCAAACTTAGAGTAGGCTGTAAGCAGTTGCTAAATGTGTACAGAAACAGACAATAGTAATATAACAAGGGTGACAGCCTGCTATTTTTTCTGAGCAGGTGTTTCCTTGAGTGCTGCCCAATCAGCCTATGCCTGTGACAGTCAGGCAGAGTCCAGACATGTACTTGAGGGGGTTTGTGCCTCCCGAGGTGCCGTATTCCAGCAGCCCCAGGCGGTAACAGGAACCAACTCCCATTGTCCACAGACCGCTCTCACTGGTACTAGAGGCAGCCTTGAGATCCCGGGCTGTGGTGTTTCATCCGGGTAAGTAGACGGCGGACAGGTACACAGACCTTCTTGGATCTCCGCCTGGGAGGGGGGGCGCCGAACCGGATCTCTGGTCAGATGTGGTACCTGGAGGGTAGGTTATACAGATTGCAGTCTCCGAGCCTCCAATCCCTTCCAGAACCGCTGGCATATGGCATCAATTGCCTCCTGGAAATCAGCTTCACAGTTTCGCGCAGCAGCCTAATCAACATGCGTGGCATCATTGTTGTCGGCGGCCATCTTGGAGAAACCGCGTGGGAGCTCCTTACACAGATTTCACCCAGTTGCGGAGTAAACGTGGGTACTGGCTTGATAGGTCCGGGATAACCCCCAAAGGCCCAGAGGGGGGGCAACACGGGGTACTGAGTATAGGTTAGAAAGCCTGGGTAGCTCCAGATGTAAAGATCGGCCACTGCCCCCACCAAGGAAATATCAGGCCGCAGCAAGCTGGTGGTCGAGATCACCGGGCAGCACAAGTGGTGGGACATGTAACCCAAACCAAAGCTGTCCCGGAGGTACCAGGTATCAGTGCCAGTGTGGGGGAATTGGATAGGGGGGTTGATGTACCCCTCAATCTCTAAAAATACAAGCTTAGTCGCGAGCTCGAGTCAATCACTACCTTCCAGCATGGCGTCCAAGCCCTGTCCCCCGCTAGGTGGTATGTTTTAAAGTGACATCCACATGAATGGCAGGACCCAAGGTTTCCTAGCAGCACATTGCCAAGAGCATATTACTGACTCAGCCGGCCTACATCCATCCCCTAGTGCATCCTGTTGCTATCTCTTCTTCAGGTAAATGATGCCGCACCCAGCCATCCTCCAGATCTAAAAGAAAAGTAAAATCATCACACACGATAACCTTCTTTCACTGCTGCATGGTCCAGTTCTGACACTTGCGTCCCTCGCTCCCAGCGTGCATCAATGACCCTTGGGTGTCCATGACCTGGTGGCAGTTCACTGGTTGACCTTCCTTACACCACTTTTAAGAAGGTGCTAATCACTGCATGCTGGGAACACCCCACAAGACTTGCTAATTGGAGATGATCTGACCCACTCTTCTAGCCATAATTATCTGGCCCTTGCAAAGGTCACTCAAATCTTTTTGCTGGCCAATTTTTCCTGCTTCCTACACATAAAATGTAGGAACTGACTGTTCATTTGCTGCCTAATATATCCCACCCCTTGGCAGATTCCATTGTAATGATGTAATCAATGTTATTCACTTCATACTGTATATTATTACAATGCTTTTGTATAAAGCAATTTAATGTTGTTATGTTGTCTATTTACCCGATACAAATACAATCAGTGCGCTACTTCAAACGAGGTGTTGTATTTAGGTTCTAGATGTGTTTGTTTTTTTGTTTACTTAAAGGACCACTATAGTGCCAGGAAAACATACTCGTTTTCCTGGCACTATAGTGCCCTGAGGGTGCACCCTCAGGGACCCCCTCCCGCCCGGCTCTGGAAAGGGGAAAGGGTTAAAAACTTACCTTTTTCCAGCACTGGGCGGGGAGCTCTCTGCCTCCTCTCCTCCTCCGATCCTCCTCCTGGGCTGAATGCGCACGCTGCAAGAGCTGCCGCGCATTCAGCCGTCACATAGGAAAGCATTTATGCTTTCCTAGACGCTTGCGTGCTCTCACTGTGAAAATCACAGTGAGAAGCACGCAAGCGCCTCTAGTGGCTGTCAATGAGACAGCCACTAGAGGATTAGGGGGAAGGCTTAACCCATTCATAAACATAGCAGTTTCTCTGAAACTGCTATGTTTATAAAAAAAATGGGTTAACCCTAGAAGGACCTGGCACCCAGACCACTTCATTAAGCTGAAGTGGTCTGGGTGCCTAGAGTGGTCCTTTAAAAGTGCAATATAAGCAAGATAAGCACTACAGAGTCTCTGGTTTCTGCCCCCCCAGTTTTACATTATACTGTTTAGAAATGCTTTGGCATAAACCAGGGCTCTCCACGAACCTGGCCACCTCCTTTCTCAGCCACATCGACAATAAAGGAATTTACACCTCTTTATTATTATTGTCCATTCTATCCAACCTGGATGTTAGTGACGGGTTAACAGTTCTCAGGTCAGAACTCATGTACTTACACATGCCCAGTACAATGAGCCTTAGTTATGTGGAGTAGAGTGCCCTTTATAGAGAAAATAAAAAATAAGTCAGTCGTGCAGAAAACTCTTTTAACCATATCTCATTTTTTAATTTTTACAGAAGGTTCTCAAATAGTTTGGCAACATTCTCTGGGAGTGCGCTATGGCACTCCTAGCACCATAACCACAAAGATCTCTGGGAACCTAGGTCAGTTGCCCATTGATGTGTCACCTTAAAAGTTCAGTGTTTTGAAGTGGTCATGGCGAAGAGAGCCTGTAAGTGCAGTGTTTCAGTATGAAACTTTGCACCTACAGAGATATTTAGGTTGTAACTCCACATCCAGCAGCATCATTAGCTATCGTTCCGTGCTGGCTAATATCAATTCTGTACTTATTTAATTGCACAGACACTCGCATACATTGGCTGAGAGCGTCGGAGTGCACAGCCGATGCTCTCAGCCAATGTATGCCCAGCAGGATTGGCATCTGCAGCTCTGCAAAAGCCGGATATGGGTCCCAGGTAAGAGGCAAGTTGTTGCAAAACTGTTTCCACTTTACCAGGGTACTCTTAGCATCATAACAATGTCAAGTGGTTATGATGTTTGGAGAAACCCTCTATATTGATTTTTTTTTTTTTTTCACGTGCAGGTGCATTCATTTTTCAATTGTACTTTCTGTTGTCTTATATTAACGACAAGTTATGTAAGGAAACTAACAGATCACTTTGTGAGAAAATTGAAGGGGAATACATGAGTACAACCAAAAATGCACAAAAGTGGAAGAATAAACGATATCTCTGTATCAGTCATATGAGCTCTGTCATTTACACCTGACAGTCGGGATAGTGAAGGCATACAGAGAAGAGGAAAAATTTATATTTCTATTTTTCTCCTCATTTAAATAGTGTCCCCTGGCTAAGTCTGAACTTAACTGGTTTGTGGCAACCCTAGTCACAATAACCAACAGTTAGTCTCTATGGTATTCCTTGCTTCTATGCATGGAGTGAAGCAGGAAAGACCATAGAGACTAACTGTCAGTTTTCAAATACCGCCTGACCCAAGGTCTATGTATATGGCCGAACGATCATGTCCCATACTAAACGTAGAGGTAAGTTTCTCCAATTGTTTTTTTGTTTGTTTTTTTTTTTTACATATACTTCATTTAAAAAAAACAAACCAAAAAAAAATATTTCCTTTCAAAACTTGATGAATTGATTATTGTATTAAAATAGTTTTGAGGTGGCAGTTGTCTTATAACATGAGAAAGCAAACCTGCAACCATAGCAACAGTGTAGGATTCAAATAGATCAGCCCAGGCAATTATAGTCCTAGATTGTGTAAAAATAATGAACCCTCTTCAGAATTTTCCTTCTTCTCAACAGACACACTTCATAGGAACTATATAAATGGAAAAAAAATCCCTTTTTAAAAAATAATATCTAATCTTTATGATTGTCTTTAAAGGAGCACTTTAACATTAGGACTGCTAACATGCATTCCTAACATTAGATTGTCTTCTTAACTATTTGAATTTTTGTGTCCCCCTTCAAAAGTTAAATAAAGCAAATTTACTTACCAGTGTGCGTGCCTGTCTCACTATGGCCGCTGGCCCGCCGCTCCTCTACTGGCTGAGATCATCAATACAGATCTCAGTCAATCAAATTCTCCCCACAGGGAAGCATTTGCAGACAAGTGTGCATGTTGGACATTCAGCACCAGCTAATCAGGATCTCCTTACAGAGAAGCATTGGCCCTGCATGAAGATGCCAAACATCAGTACTGTGAAGATTGCAGGACTGGACCAAGAAGTGCCTCTTGTGGTTATCTGAGTGACAACCACTAGAGTTGCCTTTTCACTGCCTTTTGGCATAAAACACAAACACAGTGTTTGCATTGCTGAGACTGCAGGGACAGTCTTTTTGCACCATAATCACTACATAAAACGGTGGTGGTTCTGGTGCTTTAAATTTCTGTCTTTTAGAAAACTCTTAGTCTCCAAAACAAACTGTTAGAGGAAATGAAGAGTGCTTCTAATAATGTTAGTAAAATAAAAGACAGCAATAGAATCAGTAGTGGAATTAAAAAAACAAGGGGCAATAATTTTTCGGTTGCCTCTACCACTCCAGACAATTAAAGGTTTACACCAACCACCATGACCATTTCTGCTTTTTTAAATGATTATGGTGTTAGGAATCTATGAGAAAGCTGTGATTGGATGGCACCACTGCAGGGATCATGTCATTATGGGGCGTGAAAGATCAGCCCAGGAGCTTCATCCGGCACTGGATGTCAGGTATGTTTAAAACCTTATTACAGGGGAGGGAACCTAATAGTAATACCCCATAAGGCATAGTTAATTGAAAGTGTTAGGGGTACCCTTTAAACTCTGGTTCCCCCAAAATGTCCCCACTTGTCACTGTCAAATAACTAGCTCTCTAGTCCTAAAATCCCACATCCCCATGCCAGCTCACCCTCTTCCTTCCAAATTTAGACTGCTACATTTCCCTGACCATTAACTGTCTCCCTACCTTAATTAGGTTTTGCCACATTTGCCTGACTATGAACTCTATTGCCAAATTAGACTTGCCACAAAGTGGCCCAAAATGGGAGGCCTAAAATCTGATGGGAACTGCTGCACCTGCAGTAGTTCTGCCCCTGAATAGGATATTATCTTAAAGTGAGTCTATACACATCATAACCACTGTACTGTAGTAGTTATGGTGGCAAGAGTATTTGAGTGCTGACTCCGCAGTTTGTGCTGAAATTTTTTTGAGAAATTTGTCATAAACTGGACCTCAGCAAATGTGGAAGTGAACATCCATGAATGCTTTCAATGTATCAATGCTTTACAAAGTTGGAACCCAAGTTATGATTAAAGGAGATGGGTGGAAATCTCAGGAGCCCACTAGTTTATGTTAACCCAATGCCCCATGGTCTGGACAATTAGGGATGGTTCCTCCCAATTGTGTAATCTATAACATTGCAGAGGGTTGAAGCAGGTGAGTAGTGGCAAGATGCTCCGTTTCTTAGACGAAGAGTTACTTTAACCAAACAACAGTGTTTTGAGAAAACACTGTTTTTGGTGAGAGTAATCTTTTCTATTAAGGTCTCTCACTTGTGCGTGCTGGCGTCAGATTCAGATGCCAAATTTGCACAAAGTTCATATTAGCCAGCCCAGAACTCTTATTCTGGGCTACCTAATTACACCCAATGACCTGGCCAAAGGATGAGTTAAACCTCCATTAACAGAGGGGCACACTGTATGTGCAGCATTTCATAGTGACAAGCTGCACATACAGACTTGAGGTTGCATGACCACTTCAAATCAGTGAAATGGCCATGGTGCTTGGAGTTAAAAAAGACCCCCTTGCGGTACACTGGGTGTAGGATACACAAATGCCATCCCACAGTTATATGGGGATCACCTTCAATTCCTTATTCATTTTTTTTTAAAGTAGATTGCTAATTGTGGCTGGGCACCCGTTTAATTTTTGACCCCACATCACTGCATGGTGGGTGGAGGAGGGACCACGTTGCCAGGTCTCTCTTAGTTAGCAGGGAGTCCTCGAAACTCATGTTATTTTGTTATAATCCTGTTATTTTTATACAGAATTAGGCAGAGCTATGATATAAAGTCTGAATCGCAAGGATTAAGGTCAGGATGTTGAACGAGAAGTAGTGCATGAAGTGATAGCTTCTGTTTTTTTCGATTTATTTTTTTTAAATTCATTTTTACACTGTTAGAATTGAAACCTACGAGGGAAATAAACCAAACTACCAATATTGAACAGCAGTGTAACATAATGTGAATATAGCAGAACGAATCCAGAGCATCCATAGAAATCTAAATTAGAGCAAATAAATATTTATTAGAATTCATTTGTACAAATTAAAAGCATGTATCAAACAGCATGGTAATAAAAAAAGTTTTGTTTTTCTGAGATAGCAGCAAAGAAAGCAGAAGGTGACAAATAATTTTATGTCACTTTTTTTTAATTGTTTATTTTTTGACCAATTAACATCTTCAGCTTTGTGGTGAAAATGTAGTATAAATTATAAAATGTCTAGTTGGAGCGAGAGCACAATTACAGTACAGATATTTTTGCAAAATGGAGAAGAAAACTTTTTCAAGAATTAGGGATACAAATTATGAAATGCTTTATTGTTGGCTGTATAATGCATATTGTAATGTGGCTGTGGGCTCCACTTTATGAGGCTTAGTGGAGATTCTGGTTTATTGGGGGGTCCTGGTGGTCCAGTGCCTGTTCCTGATCCCTGGTGGTCCTATACAGTACAGCTTCCTAGATTCCTACTGGTTCAGTGCAGCAATCAATCTGCCATGGTCCGGCACTTAGTGAGTCAGAGAATTCCATATGCCTGGTTTGCCTGTGCGTTTGCAGGAGACGCTTTATAACAATATAAAATAAAGCACAGATGTTCCAGCACAGCTCTTCTGACTCTCTTAGCTAATGAGTGGTTCTGCATGACCCTGCTTATATCCGGAGAGCTAACCAGATTCTCCTGCAGGAGAAGACTGGAATCAGGGACTGTGGTTGTGGGAGCTCAGCTGGACCCAGGTAAGTTGTCAAATCATGCTAAAGTGGTTTAGCCACATACCATGGGATCGCCAGGGCACTGCTGTCACAATAACCACTACAGCAAGCTGTATTGATTTGGATGATTAAAGTGTTCCTTGAAAAAAGCAAAAAATGACATAAAATGTACCTTTATTCCAGCTTGGGACAGTGTCCCAAGCAGTTATGAAGAATTTTATCCAGTCCGATGCTTCTCTATCACAAGAAGAGCCTTTTAAGGTTACCATTCTGACAGCCACTAAAGGTTAGATTTCTCAAATAACAGTATTGTGTGAGAAAAGGGACAGGGTATACGAACCAAATCCACTTCATTAAGACGTCCCCTTTATGTTTCGCAAAAAGAAACCTACCACGTGTTTGTGAGTGATTTTGGTTAAAATATTCTGCCTAAGATCCAGCTTTTTGATGGACAGCACTGAGGAGTACCCTCAAAGCTGCAGTGATTTTTGTAAATTGCTGAAATTCTAAGCTTCTCTCAGAACTGAGAGTCATCTCCTTGTTCTTCATGCACTCTTTCAATTATGTACCGTTGTGATCGAAGTTAGAGTGACCCTTTAACTTTGATAATGGAATGTCACTTCTGCCATCCAGACATTTTTGTTATATATCAGCAAGGTGTATTATTTTCTTTGTTCCTAAAAAACCTTCTTCATTGTACCATTTAGGATCTTGCACAGTGTGTTAGGTAAATGAAAAGTGGTGTTGGTGATGGTTCCTCTGTAGAAGCTCCCCAACATCTTTTTTTTTTTTTAAACCTTCAAATAGGCTACTTTCACAGGCTGAACCCTCTGACTTTGCTGTTTGCTGACAAGGATTCCAAAGTGTAATACTTTATAGCAATACTGTCTAGCGGGCAGGAACATTGTTTTCCAAGTTGACTTGTCTTAGAGGATCAACCCTTGCCTAAATCATCTGCTCAGAGTAGTAACTATCTGCATTTCAAAGAGACTCGTACTGCAATACCAGATGTTCAAGAAATGTAATTTTCTTTTAGGAGGAAGTGGCGTTGCTCTGGTGTAAAGTGATTAAATGCAAAAAATGTATATTAAACGAGTCACAAAATTAGCCATAAACATCAAACTTGCTCTTTTTTACATGACGTACAGCTTGCCTATGTAGCACCCCATTAAAACAATATCCATCCATCTGCCTGCCACTCTTTTTCCCTTTTTGAAAGACGTGAACAGTTAAAAAAAAAAAAAAAAAAAGCTAACTTTTATACAACCTATCCTAATATTTATAAATTGTCTGAAGTGAGTGAACATTTTTGGAACTAAAATGTTGACCTAAATTATTTTTGTATGCTTTGCCACTTCAGTTGTATGTCAAGTTCACCAAGTTTAGAAAATGCCACATTTCCACATCACACTTTTTGGTGAATTATACCTTTTTTGTGTTTTTTTTATTGTGTTAAACGGTAGAATACATATGGTAGGTTTTAGGTTTTATTCACTAAATACTGAATTATAGTGAATTGCAACAAAAAAATATCTCTCCGAATAAACTGTAAACACAGCTTTGCTTTTTGTCTAAAGTTGCAGTTCTGTTTTCAACTTGCTATGTTTTTTTTGCTTACTAAATAAAAACCATAACCTGAAAAAATATATATGCTACTATTTAGGGGGCAATGACAGTTAGAAGAAAGGATATAGCAACAGCTAATAATGGGGCCTATGACAAAGGAAGGGGGAAGGGATAGAGCAGAAAGTTAGAGTGATGCTGATCGGAACTTGGTGGAAGGTAACAGTGACACATAGGAATGGGGACTATGAATTTTACAAAAAGGGACAATGAAATATCACTGACCCCTCTCCTCCAGATGTCACTTTCCACATATGGAAACGGGATCAGTAACATGGGAACATACAAATGTAAATGGACTCATGCATATGCAGTGACACCCAACACATACATCCTTGCTTTCAGTAACTCTCCTCACAGTTATACCACTACATTCACAGACATACTGACTCTCCATGCTGTGGGAATAGGTGAATAAAATGCGAACTGTATCTTTATGCAGAAAAAAAGAAATCAAAGAATTCTGAGCTTCACAGTTCACCAGTCGTGGAAGATGCCGAGCCAACCACCAGAAATGTACTGTCAGGAGATGAGATTCAGACACTTGCAATCAAAATTGAGGACCTGGAGAAGGTAAGGGGAGCTGTGTTTTTGCACTGAACCTAGTGATCTGCATGACTTATTTACAGGTTTTACTCCAACCAAAAAAAAAGTGTTAAGAAATATTTATAAAGCACTGGTTTGTAATGGTCCATGCAAATAAAAAAAATGGAAAAAAACGTAAGCTTATCTCTTTTTCTTCATGAAAGCCGAGTTCTCCCCGCATCCCTATCCTCATTGGCTGACATTACTCCCCCTAGCTGGGAGCGGAGACTAGTTGTCAGGAAGGAAGGGCTGAGGAGGGGACATGGGCACCAATTTTGCACCAAATTCATATTAGCAAGCCTAGAGATTTTCTTCTGGGCTAGTTAATGACTCAAATAATGCAGCTGGAGGTGGTGTTAGAACGATGGCAGAGAGGTTAGTCTCCCTATATGCAATGTTTTATAGCGAAACATTGCACATACAAAGTCCAGACACCTTGACCACTTAAAATAATGTAAGTGGTCATGGAGCTTGCAGTAACCCTTTAACATATTTCAAAGAACACTGCAAGCCCTTAGCCACTACAGCCCTCTGTAGTGCTTATGGCTCTAGTAGTTCCTTGGCACTCTACCTGGAAAATTTGTCACACTCTTTTTGGTTGCCAACTTACCTGTATCCCCCGAGCATGGTGCTTGCCATCCCTGCTTCTGGATAACTGGGTTAGGGGAACACTGATCTAAACTAAGCTACTGAATGTTTGGATGCATTTTAGGCAGCCATGACCCAAGAACGATCTATAACAGCCATCTGAGGAGTGGCCAGTGAAGTTATCACTAGGCTGTAATGTAAACACGGCATTTTCTCTGAAAAGACAGTGTTTACAGCAAAAAGCCTGAAGGTAATGATTATACTCACCAGAACAAATTCAATAAGCTGTAGTTGTTCTGGTGACTATAGTGTCCTTTTAAGCTTCCAGTAATTGTGTGGAGATCCTTGCAACATGGGGCCGTGCATTATCATGCTGCAACATGAGGTAATGGTCATGGATGAACTGCACAACAGTGGTCCTCAGGATCTCGTCACGGTATCTCTATGCATTCAAAATGCCATCAATAAAATGCACCTGTGTTCGTTGTCCATAACATATGCCTGCTCATACCATAAACCCACTGCCACCATGGGCCTTGATCCACAACGTTGACATCAGCAAACCGCTCATCCACACGTCGCCATACACGCTGTTTACCATCTGCCCTGTACAGTGAAAACCTCTCCAAAGTGCCAGATGCAATCGAATATGAGTATTTGCCCACTCAAATCGGTTACGATGACAAACTGCAGTCAGGTTGAGACCCCGATGAGGACGATGAGCATGCAGATGAGCTTCCTTCAGACGGTTTCTTACAGCTTATGCGGAAATTCTTTGATTATGCAAACCGATTGTTGAAGCAGCTGTCTGGGTGGCTGTGTCAGACGATCTTGGAGGTGAAGATGCTGGATGTGGAGGTCCTGGGCTGGTGTGGTTACACGTGGTCTGCGGTTGTGAGACCGGTTGAATGTACTGCCAAATTCTCTGAAATGTCTTTGGAGACGGCTTATGGTAGAGAAATGAACATTCGATTCATGGGCAACAGCATGCCAACTGCACGCTCCCACAAAACTTGCGACATCTGTGGCACTGTGCTGTGTGATAAAACTGCACATTTTAGAGTGGCCTTTTATTGAGGCCAGCCTAAGGCACACCTGTGCAATAATCATGCTGTCTAATCAGCATCTTGATATACCACACCTGTGAGGTGGATGGATTATCTTGGTAAAGGAGAAGTGCTCACTAACACAGATTTAGACAGATTTGTGAACAATATGTGAGATAAATAGGCCTTTTGTGTACATAGAAAAGTCTTAGATCTCTTAGAGTTCAGCTTATGAAAAATGGGGGCAAAAACTATAAGTGTTGCATTTATAATTTTGTTCAGTTTACTTATCACTTACACTTCTGCCACTTACCAGCACAAAAAAACTGCTAATTTAAATGTCTCTTCCCAGTGAGGGAGAAAACTGTATGTAGCTTCAGGCAAGCTCTCTAAACTGTAAATCAACATGATCTTTGATGCCTAGTTTTTAAACATTTATTTATTTATTCTGCATTAAAAAATAGGTGGCCATTTTTACTGAATAGTTTCCCTTTAATTTGATAGGGTTAGCAATAAGTTATTTTACCTAAATGAAAATGCTTTTTAAAATGATGCAGTGTACATAAATCATTATTTAAGATGCTCTTGTACTATTTGTAGGTGCGTCCTCCTCGACCAGTCAAAGTGCAGAATACATATCCTGCAACTAATCAAGTTTTAGTTAGAAAATATGATGATAAGGTGGAGAAGAAGAAAGGAGATTTGCTTGTGGCTCATCCACAATGTCCTGAATCACCAACCAGAGACTTTGTTTATTCAGGTACCTTCTTTTCCAATGACAGGTTGTTAGTCTATTCTTGGCTAATATTCTCTTTTCATAAATTCAAGACTATAGCAACAGATAAATACTAACATTATCAGAGTAATACTGGTATAATGGCATAACCGATAGGAAAGAAAATAAGTTTGGTTATACCTATGGTCAATAGACAGGTGTGGTTGTGCTTTGTGGATGAATTAGAGATCTTAATACACTAGCATGACCCTATGCATAATCACTTTCATACTTCATTTATTTATTGTCAAATTAATTTTTTATTTCACTCACATGTTGCAGAGATGGACATTCCTCTGCATGACGTTCAAAGTGAGATCCTGCCACATAACATCCTGGGGACTTTGCAGAATCTAAAACAAGAAGCTACAATAAGAGGAAACTCACAGGCATGGCTAATTCTTTCTAACACGTTCTTTTTATTTGTGATCAGTTGTGATGAAATAAGTTCTGCTTAGAATCATATTCTACTAGTAACAGAATCCGCTAAAACCATTTGCTTTCTTTACTCAGGTTGTGCAGCTTATAGCAGACTCCATGAATACCGCTGCTGCTACCCTACCTTTTGAAAGTAAATTTGAAAAAAGGCAACCACAACAGAAAAAAACAACTGTTTGTGACCTTCCAAAGCAAGACCTGGCTTTAAACAACTGGCAGCGTCACATGACACTGAGAAAGCAGCAACAGGACAACTTATCCCGTAAGTTATGTATGAGTATATGTTCATGTACATCTTTTTAAACTGTCTGAGAAAACAAATATACACCAAATTAGCTCTAAATAATAAATTACTGCATTCTGTCTGGACACTTAGTTCCATAGTTGCTTGTAACATGTTGATCCCTATTAGTGAGTGTGGGTTGCACAATAGAGACTATGCTTACATGGTCAATGGCTCTTTCACTAGACAGTGAACTGGGCTGTGTTTAAACTGATACCATCCTTTATAATACAAACAATCCTGTATAATAATTTGAACGTCTCTTGTAGATAAATTATTTGTTCCATTATCTCCCGCTGGATGAGGAGTTATGGTTTAAGATCTGTCTTCTTGGACCAGAATGAGACACTCCCGATTGAAGTGTTCTTTGCCGGTGTGGGACTGGTTTTGCTGCAGCTGCACAAAGAAGCCACAAACAGTTCTGTTAGTGGCGCGCATTATATATGGCCATAATATGCATAAAATGTAGCATACAGCAATGACATTTTCATAGGCAAAACCTGTTAGTACGATGGGTCGTATTAATGAGCTTAGTGACATGGCACTTTAAACATGGCACTACCTATAGGATGCCACTTTGCCACAAATCAGATTGTGAAAATTCTACCCTTCTAGATCTGCCCTGGTGAACTGTAAGTACTGCTATTTACTGGAAAGTTTAAGCATTTATGAGGTGTAACAGCACACCTATGGTAGATTACTCATACTCAGAGTGGGTACCTGAAGTGTGTAAAAATCATCTGTTGAATCACGCAACATCTGTGCATCGTTAATGAATTTTTTATTTATTTTTTATGGCTGAGCAGCTTTACAAACCCTAACATCAACGTGAGCAATGCCAAGTATTGACTGGAGTGTTGCAGTGGAGACATGTTCTCTGGAGTGATGAATCATGATTCATTATCTAGCAGTCTTCTGGAAGAATGTGGGTATGGTGGATGCCAGGATAACAGAATGTGTAATACCTACAATAAAATTTGGTGTTGGAGGGACAATGGTCTGGGGCTGTCTCTTATGGTTTGGGCTAGGCCCATTAGTTTAATTGAAGAGTCATCCTAATGCAATTGCACAAGGATGCAGAGATATTTTAGACAATTGGACAATTCCAACTTTGTGATAAGAGGAACAGGGAAGGCCTGTTTGTGTTCCAGGATGACTGGGCCCCTGTGCAGAAAGCAAGGTTTATGAAAACCTGGTTTGACGATGTGTAGAGAAACACAAGTGACCTGCACAGATCCCTGACATCATCCTTATTGAAGTCGAATTGATGGTTTGCAAGACAGACCTTCTTGTCCACTTAGTGCCAGACCCCACAAATACTCATTTGGCTGAAAGGACACAGATTCCCATGGACACATTGCAAAGCTTTATGAAAGGTTTTCTATAAAGAGTGGTGGCAGTAATGTATAGCCATAAAGGAGCCCATGCTTTTGCAATGGGGTGTTTAAAAAGCTCATATAGGTTTGATGGTCAGGTTTTAAACTATTACAGCATACCTGCACAAGGACCTCAAGGCCCTAGGGGAGTGCAAAGAACACCTAGAGGAGAACATGGATGCCTGGTGCACAATGAACTTATAGACCATTACACTGCACTGGAGGCTGAAAATTCTCACTTACATGTGAAAATGGCAGAGCTTGAAAATCGAGCCCACAGAAATAATGATAGAATTCTGGGTGTCGACAAAGAGGTAACCCTGGAGAACTTATCTTTGTATTTAATGTTCTCTATCAAGACTCTGGACCATGCTGTTACAGATAAGGTTAGACTATTATATGTTGTTTAAACCCTGAAGTCTGGTGGACAGCATCCTGTGTGACATCATAGCACACATACCCTTTTACCATACTAAAGAGGCTCTAATGTTTTTATTTATTTATAAAATATATTTTACCATGATGGATACATGGAGATTTCTCTAATTTTCAAGTATGTCCTGGGTCCACAAAACATTGCATTGTTACAATAGCATACAATATACAAACTATAAATATATACATACACACATATATAAATTTAATACATAACAGGTAATACATAACAGGTGCATTCTGTGCTGAGGTATATTGCCATAGATCTCTTAAAGGACCACTATAGTGCCAGGAAAACACACTCGTTTTCCTGGAACTATAGTGCCCTGAGGGTGCCCCCACCCTCAGGGTCCCCCTACCGCCCGGCTCTTGAAGGAGGAAAGGGGTAAAAACTTACCTTTTTCCAGCGCTGGGCGGAGAGCTCTCCTCCTCCTCTCCGCCTCCGTTACGCCCCGCCGGCTGAATGCGCACGCGCGGCAAGAGCTGCGCGCGCATTCAGCCGGTCTCATAGGAAAGCATTTACAATGCTTTCCTATGGACGCTGGCGTGCTCTCACTGTGATTTTCACAGTGAGAAGCACGCAAGCGCCTCTAGTGGCTGTCAATGAGACAGCCACTAGAGGATTAGGGGGAAGGCTTAACCCATTCATAATTATAGCAGTTTCTCTGAAACTGCTATAATTATGAAAAAATGGGTTAACCCTAGAAGGACCTGGCACCCAGACCACTTCATTAAGCTGAAGTGGTCTGGGTGCCTAGAGTGGTCCTTTAAAATATTTTAGATTGAATGAAGATTTGACTGTGTCCCTGAGGTTATTTCATAATTGCGGTGCTCTGTAGGAAATGGAGGATCGAGCCACTTTATTTTTGTATTGTGGTATGCTAAATACCGTGCTAGTACTGGATCAGAGGTTATTGGTGGTGGGAACAGCTGCGGAGAGCATTCTACTCAGGTAGGGTGGGAGCTTCCCAGAAATGTTCTTATGCACAAGGCTGGAAAGATGAAGAGTGCATCGGGATTCCAGCAACAGCCAGTTTAGCTCTTTTAACATGTCATAGTGGTGGGTAAAGTAATTACATTCTAGTACAATGCGGCAGAACAAATTATATAATGTATTAAGTTTATTAAAGTGGGGTTGCTGTGTGGGTGCATACACTACATCCTCATAATCAATGACCGGCATTAGCATTTGTTGCTAATTAGCATCTGTTTCCTTACTGTAGGGCTTAGGATTTGTTTCTGTACAGGGCACCTAGTTTTGGGTAAGGTTTTGAAGAGATTTTTTCAATGTGAAGGCCAAAGAATAGATTGGGGTCCAGCAACATACCTAGATATTTAAAAGAGCAGACTCCTTTCAGTGTGCTATTTGAATTTGTTCTGATACACGGTTGTTGATTTTGTAATTTAGGTACAGTTTCAAAGATCATTGTAACAGTTTTGTCAGTGTTTAGGAAGAGTTTGTTATCCGCTATCCACTTTTTTACCTCTGTGAATTGGTTTTGGAGCACAGCCTCAAGCTGTGGAAGCCTGGGTTTACTAGCGTAGATTACAGTGTCGTCTGCATACAGTTGAGGATTTGCAGACGATAAGCAGATCATTTATAAATAATGTGAATAGCAGGGGGCCGAGTATGGAGCCTTGGGGAACACCACACATGACTGGAGGAGGGAGGGAAGCTCTGTAAGAAATGGCCACATATTGCAATTGGTCTGAAACAATGCCTAAATTTTTTAGTTTTTGCAAAAGAATGCCATGGTCTACTGTGTCAAAGGTCTTGGCAAAACAAAGAAAATAACTCCAGTTAAGTCTCCTTGTTCCATGCCAATTTGGATGTCATTGCAAACTTTTAAGAGGGCAGTCAAAGTTGAGTGATTTGGGCGAAAGCCTGATTGATCATGAGTCAGACAATTTGATTGTTGATAATATTCACATAGTTGCTTGTGGACTCGTTTTTCCAAGATTTTTGACAATGCAAAGAGCAATGATATCAGGCGCTAGTTAGATACCAAAGTATTGTAACCACTTTTATGAATAGGTACAACTATTGAAGTCTTCCAAAGTTTGGGTATGTATCCTGACACCAGGGATTCATTGATAAGGGTAGTGACAGGTTTAGCAATTGCTAGCGCACCTAGCTTCAGCAACATTGCTGGGATTTGATCTGGTCCATACTGGTTTTTCATTTTTAAATGATTAAGATGTTTTTTAACAACACTAACAGGCGCAGGTGTAAAATTTTATTTCTCTATAAAATTCTGAAGATTTGGCAGGACCTGATCTTTATTTGTGGTCTGTTAAAGTGATTTGTTATCTTAGCAACCAGAGTGGTAGCACATCTAACAAAATAATTATTAAAGGCATTTGATACATCTTGGTGGTGTTGTAGTGTTTGGTTTTCTATTTTTTTTTGTCAATCCTTGTTTTATTGAGGGAAGTATTCAAGGTTGATATTTTCACTCATTATGTCGTGATAAGGCAAAAACCATATAACATGAACTATTACAATCATACAACATTGTCAGGCCTCTTTTACTTTTTTTTTCTCGTGTGTGTGTCCAATTGATATGTGTGTCATGAGGTGTGTGTGTTGGTGGCGTTTGGTAATGGTACCTCAGGGTCAGGTGGTGGTTTGGCCTGTGTGATAATTCGGTCCAGTCTGTAAGTGTCCCGACCTAGAAATATGTTGAGCCCTTTGGTCGTGTGTGTGAGTCGACATAGTCGGCATAAAGGTAGGTACCTGTCGTTGCTTCGTGTCTGATGGTGTCCCCTAATCTTGGGTGGCTGAGGGGGGGGGGAGTGGAGGCGGTTGAGGGGTCTACCTGTCAGACCGGGCTCTATTGCAGCCATCATGTGTCGTGACTGTGAAGGTAAGCGTGGTTACAGTGGGTTTGTGACGTGTAGAGGCACGAGTAATAAGATTCTCTTAACAATTATGAGAGGGGACAAAAGCAAAGTAAACATTTGCAGTTTTATGATTGGCGGGTGGTTAGGTTGCGTTCGCTGCACCCGGACTTTCTTTCCCTCTTGGTGTGCAGGGTCTCGCTCAGCTCGGGACCCCGGTTCGGGTGTCGGAGGAGGCTGGGTTCCTCTGAGCGTGGGCTTAGTCCCAGAGTTTGTAAGAACGCTGCCGCGTCTCTTATGGTGGTGAGTCTCAGTTCCCTGCCGTCAGTCGTTTTGGCTGTGAGTGCTCGCGGTAAGGTCCATCGGTACTCCACTCTGTGTTCTCGTAGTCTGCTTGTGACTGAGCCCAGAGACCTCCGCCAGTGCAGTGTGTTCCTGGTGAGATCTTGAAAAAACGTCAATTTGGAGTCCAGGGGGGTTTTGCCCTTTAATGCCGCCAGGATGCGATTCCTGTCCGCCACTGACTGGTAGTGTACAATTATGTCTCGGCTGGAGACATTGCCTCTAGGGGTGTCATGGAGGGTGACATTGTGGGTGAGTCCCCAGGGGTGGTTGTCCCTGCTTGGGAATCTGATCTGTGCTCACAAGTGCCTGGTCTGGCCGCCATCTTGGAATTCGTCGGACGCTGCTGCATCTCCCCCATGTCGTGGAATTCTTTGCTGGGGCCCGGGTGTGATTTCTGGGTTTTGAATCCCATTTCTGTCGTGGGCTTTGGGAGATGGTCGGATGGCCAGTCAGAGCCGTATATTCCAGCCAGCTCAGCCTCTAATCACCTTGCGGCGGTCCGTGTGGCTGCGGAGCTCAGGTAGGCCCCAGATGTGCGTCTGGCTTTCTTACCCGTTTTCAGGTATTAAAAAGGCATGGGGCTGTTGCTCCCCCTCTTCTGAGTCGGTAGGGTGTCGTGTGTGGGTCCGCTTGTCATGGGGAACCACCGATTTATATGGGTTTCCCGATTATTGCTTGAAGCCGCAGGAAAACGCGTGTGGTCGGCTCTGGCGCTAGCTGGTTGTCTATTTTGACAGTGGAGGGTTGGGAGTGGATTGTGAGGGATTGTATGCTATTTTTGAATTTCCAGACGTTTCTTGGGTTTGATAAGTTGTTGTTCAAATTTTCACTGAAATATTGGGCCTTTGCCATTTTTGTTTGTTTGCATGCATTTCGCCATTGTCTGTAAGTACAGTGATCGTTCATGGAGCCAGTACGCTTGAAATTTGACCACAGGTAATCTCTAAACTGGTACATTTAAATGAGGTCAGCTGTAACCCAGGGCAGGTGTGTCTCTTTTAGTCGCCCTCAGGAAATGTAAAAAAAACATTATAACAAAAAGGCTATCATTGCAGATCTCTCAGCCACCACATTGGCAAAATTACGAGAATACCTCACCGTGACCTAAGTTTTCTGCTATCGCAATCCCAAGTTCCTAGTGTGGTGAAATGGTGCTATTTGTGTAATTAACTCACCTGAAGAAAGAATGAAATCTCTGCATTCATGGAACCTGATTGATGGTCCCTCTCTATCTTTTCTGCTAATAAAGGCAACAACTGGTAGAAAGTTGGATCACCATCCTGTTCTCTGCAGGACAGAGCATTTAAGCACATGTTTTATGTCTTGCTGGAGTACTGCATTTGCAGTTAAATCTCAAGTTTCTATTGAAACCTCCAACTGCTCCAGTGTGGATTTTCCCTGGCTAAGGTTCTCCTGTTGACTGGCATCCAAATCAACCTGGACTTTGGTGGCAAGTTTGTTCCTGTTCTCTAGTGTTTTTTTCTTTTATCTTTTATTTAACTCGTTTAGTTATAATATGCAGCACGACTGTGCTCCTACTACACTTCCACACTTAGTTGTACATTTGTTATAAAAGCTGGGAAACCAAATGCTTTCCCGTCTTGTCGACAATTCTTGGTCTCAGCCAGAGATGGACTTCAGGTAGGAGGATATGAACCTACCCTGATTGGTCCCTTAGGTGACTGTAATGCTTTCATGTAATAGGGATCTCAATATTGCAATTGTAAATTACGATAGTTGTCTACAAAAAACATGTGAAGACTGTCACATGTGGGGACTGTCCCCTTTATAATCCACTCTGTCAAATCCAGAGCAGGCAGAAGGGCCTCTAGTATATGAGTGCCATCTATGAGGCACTAAAGGAGATGTGCTTATGTTGAGAATATACTAATGCACTACATATATTTTTTACAGATATATGCAATGTATAGATGCGAATATGGAGATTATCCTAGAAGCATCTTTTCAAATTCCACATTTTAGTATTTAGATTAAGTCACTAATGCATTAATCATTTGGTATTTATTCAGACCCAGAATTTACTTTGGGAGATTGTTGTTTGAGATGATGACTATTCCCTATAAGTCTCCAAGGCAAGCATGAGCTTATTCTTAGACAGTCCAGCAGTCTCATCATTGGTAAGGTGCTGTGACAGGGGTACAGTCTGTTTTGCACGAAATTCCAAATCACTGAGAACTGATCCTAGTTCCTAGTAGTGTGTGCATGCTAGTCTATGTAGAGACACGTGCCCAGGTTGGAGCACACATTATATTGGACAACATAGCACATATGTGCACAGAGTGGTTCATTAGACTTGGGGTTATGCATAGATGGTGCTTTAAAAATAAACCAATAGCTGTGACTCCAATTTAGTTAACAGTTTTTTTTTAAATTTTTTTATTATAGAATAACGAACAGGCATGAAATATATGTCAGTGGTAAAAACTAAATAAACCAGTAATAGGCATACAATAAGGTAATAAAAATATACTAGCGTTGCAAAACAAGCAAGCATCCATACAAAAAAAAGTGAGAAAGGTAAAGCCAAAAAGCACATACTGAAGCTGAAACATTTTGGTGAAGCAGCATACCAGTCAGAGTCACAGAGTTATTCACTAACATGTGAATTGTCAGAAAAACTGGTTTTGGGTATTATTATAATTAATATTATAATTGCCATTTAAATAGTGCCAACAGATTCCATAGCGCTTTACAATATTATAAGAGGGGGGATTTGACTATAAATAGGACAAATACAAGAAAACTTACAGGAACGATAGGTTGAAGAGGACCCTGCTCAATCGAGCTTACATTCTATAGGAGGTGGGGTGTAAAGTATAATTCTTAAACATGATTGATTACCTTTTGAGGTTTTAACCTTTCAAAATGATGTCATAAACACAACTTAATAATCGTGATGAATATATTAGACCAGTGGTTCCCAAATGTTTTAGGCTCAAGGCGCCCTTAATATTTCAATATTTTTGTAAGTCAAAAAAAAATTCTAGGTGTGTGTGGGGCAGTGTGTATGTGAGGGGTACAGTGTTTGTGTATCTTGGGCAGTGTGTGTGAGAGTTACACTGTGTGTGTATGGGGGGCAGTGTGTGTGTGAGGGGGAAACACTGTGTGTGAGGGGTACACTGTATGGGGGAGGGGTAATTAGTACACTTTTTTTTGTTAATTTATAAATATATATATATATATATATATATATATATTTTTATATCCCCCTTCCCTGCTTACCTTTGCCTGGGAGGGGACAGTACTAATCCCTGGTGGTCTGTGGGGAAGCCCTGGTACTCCCAATGGTGAGATTGAACTCAGGCTAGAGTTCACTCTTGCGTGATTCGGAGCATTGCCGTGGTAACCGCTGCCACGCTCCCCAGGTCCTCTCTCCCTCCATGATCTCCCCTCCGGTCCTGTAGAGCCGGTAGGGGAGAGTGAGGCATGGTTCCCGGTGCTATGATCACATGATCATAGCACCGGGAAATATCACACGGCGCCCCTTGCAGATTACCCAATCTGAATTGTTGGAAGGTATGTACCTTCCACATTATATGTAGTTATGTTATTATGTATTTTCTTTTTTCATGTTAAAAGCATTTTTAATGGATTTACTATTGAAGAGTATGTTGAAGTTACTAGCTAACGTGAAAAAGTACTTTTTGATATTTTTACACAGGCTTCTACTGCTAGTTATATCTTTTTTTAATGTTCCTGCAGGTCAGTTGGGTAAGCCCCATGGACAGCTTATTATGAACACTGGTGAGGAGTTTCGGAAGGTACAGGAAGAGAAGCAACTGATATACCGTAGCATCCCAGCAGTGGATTTAAACAAGGTATTTTAACCCCTTAAGGACCAAGGATACAACATGTTTGTGACCAAGTCCTTTATGTCACTTATTAAGTATCATTTTTAAAGAAGAAATAGGGCTTTTGAGACCGTATATGTATAAATAATACAATATTAAATATGAATAAAATATTAAATAATTGAAGAACACTTTACATTTAATCATTTCCACACTACAAGTGCAACTAAAGAAAACTAACTCAAAAGGTCTTGATTTTTAAAATGTCCAATATGTGTAGGATTTAAATAAATTTGTAAAAGTTATAAAACAAATATAGCATGGAACCAATTACTTTTTTTTTGGCATGGTGAAATCACAACTTTTATAGTAGTCACAAAATCCATAGAAGGGAAATCTGATTCTCATGCTGCAACTCCTGGACACAGCGATTACTGCTTGGCAGCTGTGAAAGTAAGGAAACCTCGCCAGAATATTTTAAGAGATCCCTGAGACTGTCTTAGAACCACTGCAGCTGAGATTAACCTCTTAGCAGTGGTATTTAAAAAGACCTAAAGGGCTTTGTGCAGAGCTCATTTAAGCACTGCACATAACTGACTTGTCAGTCTAGAGCCATTAATTGTCACCACATCTGACAAAGGGGACCCTGAGGGGGGCGTCATGGAGGGTACCTTGGGCTCCTTGGTGCCATCAGCTATATAAAGTAACACTCCATACTAACAAAAAAAAAGCAAATCACTATTTAGAACATATACATCAAATGAATACATGTATACATTTATTTTTTCATGTAGTCATTGGGGTTATACATAAAAATAGCTTGCAAAAGCTGCAGTTCTTGGGCACCACATTTCCATTTACAGATATTTAAAATGCATCAATATTTTTCTTCTTCTCACATATATAACAAGTTCCTACTGTGTGGTTCTATATATTATGTCATATTTAATAACATTCTGAGTGAAATTACGGTGGAATGCTATATGCTATGTCATATCAAATACAATTTTAGTGAACTTATGGTTCATTTTCTGTTATTTCAGAATCACTATATTGGGAGTGAGTTCTGGAATGTGCCTGAGAAAATTGGCGATGAGTTAAGTGGCTTGATAATGACCCTTACTCAGTGTGAGCGTGGATACCCATTACCCGTCATTCATATCGGAAAACCGAAAAGCATCATGCAGGAAACAGGTGTGTCTGATATAAAATATTAGCATGAGGTAGCACACAAAAAGAGGACCAGATTGAGAAGTATACAATGTATGGATGCAGATCAGGAATGAAGCACTTCCTCTAGTGGGTAAAAAAAAGGAAATAGGTATTAATTAAATACTACTGCAGCACACCAATAAATAGTTAAAATAGTTTATTAATTCAAAACTCATATAATGTAAAAGCATTGTGTTTTAGTAATAGTACATGGAGGCAAAATAATCAAAAAGAAAGATAACATACTATACATGATGAAATAATATTATAATATACATGAAGCAAGCATATATAAATAAATATCCAATGAGCAATAAATTAAACAAATAATGCCAGTCAACTGTATGGATACCTTAGGTTGGTGACAGAGTAGCATGAAAACCCAAACCACAATGGAGAACACACAAGTGAGGTGGATAAACATGATCAGACTAAACAAGTACCTGAAGTCCGATCTAATGTAGAGAAAGCATTCCCATGGGGCCAATGCCAAGAAAACTATCAAAGAGGACTAGGAGGAAAAAGAAAAACAGGAATAAATTCACAACCAACAGAAAAGGGCCCTGTCGATATTAAGACCTGTAGAATGCAGAGTATTCAACTGATAAATCCAGTAGTGTTTTTTTTGTATTAAACTGATCACCACCCCTGTTAGGTGTCTTGACATGTTCAATGGCAGTAAATATCAATTGAGAGATAGCATGCAAATGTATTCTGAAAATACTTCGCTACTAAGGAGGTTTCATTCTGGTGTCTTGTGTTACTTTTATGTTCGCTAATACATACACCAAAACAATGGCATGGCACATATGCCAACCCACAGGGGCATTTGGGCAAATAGACCACATGATCTGTCTGGCAATTCATGAGGATACACATGGGGTATTTCTTGCTCGACATAGGATGGTAAAATGTGTCAAAGCGTATCACACTATTACAAATGGTGCAGTGCCCACATCAATACATGCTCTTAAAAAGCCACAGTGGTTTTTCCTTATTCGGTGCATTTATGAGGCTATCCCTTCAATTCCTAGACCCTTTCTAGGACATTGTGGGGCGTTTTAAACAGATCACCCATTTTGTAGTCTGCATTGAGTACTTTTGTACATTGTAGTATTTTTTCCAATTTTTTTCTGGCCAACATCTTGCTCCACCAACTTAAAGGAGTTTCCATAGTCACATTGTTCTGTGAGGGAGCAAAGTTGCTCCTAAGTTTACACTTGGTAAAGTCAAGATTTGATCCAGGTTTGATTTGAGACAAAGCCAATACCTTTTCCCAGTCTCCGTTCCTCCGTGTCAGAGAACAGTTGTGATGTAAGATGTTGATCGCCATTTTCTCTGGGTCCTTTGTCGATCGGGGAAATGTCTCGATTTTGTTCCTAGACTCATTGGGATGTCTGAATGCACAGGAGTGACCACCTCGCTACCTCCTTCTCTCGGTCATTGGCCTCTCCCTAAAAATTGTGTTCCTGGTTGCTGAGCTTTGACCAGCATCATTTGTTACATTTTGCTCATTGGATATGTTTGTGTCATGTATATTATGTTATTATCTTTCTTTTTGAATATTTTGTCACTATGTACTATTATATTGTCACAGTGCTTGTGTAAGATGTATTACTCCATGATATTCTATGATTTAATAAACTATTTTTGACAATTTACTGGTATGCTTCAGTAGTTTACACTACTTATATATAGCTATAGGAAGTAGGAGTGGTGCCTGGAAAATCCTTGGAAGTAGGAGTATGAAATTACACAAAATAGAAAAATAGAAAAAAAAGGAAAAATAGTGTGGTATGTTCATGAACTCAAGGGGAGGTAAGTAAAAAAGTGCACTTAGACTTTTTTAAGGGCATTTAACAGAAAAACCTTGCTTATGGATGGAGCTATGCTTCTTACCAAAGAATAAAATGTGTTTCAATAAAATAATCCTTCCAGATTGATTAGGGTTCTGTCAGATTTCACTACTCGGTACAATCTCCACTTTGGGATGTATGGCTTAGTGATATCCTCACTGTGAATATAAAAGACAAAACAGAACTATTTAGTGCTCACTGTGATGAAAATAAATACTGCTTAATTAAAAACTAATTACAAGGTGAAGAGCAAACCAAGGTATTTTCCCCACCTTGGAAATCCTGTCCAGAAGGCGATGGGTGATAAAGGAAGGTCTAGGAGTTGAAAAAAACAAAAAACTTACTAGTTAATCCTTTAAAAATGGCATAAAAGGACGATAATAGATTATATAATAACATACATTCATATATAGTAGTATTTTAAAGAAATTGAAAAATGTCAGACTCAGCACTTAATCCATTAAAGGTCAAAATTGTTCACGTGCATTAAGAATATGCATTTTTTTTTAATCCTAAATTATTATATAATTTTTTTAGACTAGTTAAGAATATTCAGGGGCTACAAAGTATTATGCTAACTCATGCAACGATAATGACGTATAATGACGTGCACACCCAATACTCTTATAATTAGTCTTCCTTGGGTACCAAATTAAAGAGACAACGCTGTCTACCGTGCAACTATAGAGAGGAAAGTCCTATTACAGATCTGCTTTATCATTTGCTGTTTGTACTTCTTGGCCCTTCAAAAACGCTGTATATATTACATCATGTTATACAGTATTTATTAGCTAATCACTTTGCATATAGATATTTCAATGTTTGATTTGGATAACTCCCTTGTAATCTCGTTTGAGCAGAGCCCTATGCATCCTATTCTTCCTGTTGCAAATACATGTTTGTTAGTCCTCCTATTGTACAGCTCCATGGAATTTGTTGGCATTTTATAAATAATAATAATTACTATGTATAGTTATTTGCTTGTACATGTTTTTTTTTTAATTATTTTACCATCACAAAATTGCTGTATTTCTCTTTGCATCTCTCTTACCTTAACTCAGGCCACCTAGATCGTCCACTATTTCATAACACTTGGGATAAAAGTCAGTATCTCCAGTATCGTAGACACGAATTGAGAGCCATCATGGAAGAACTCAACTTTTCTAAACCGGTGAGGGTCTATATAGTACTTAAAATGGCTGTACATTGCTATGTGAGATAATGGTGCTGCTTGCCAAGGTAAAATGCAAACATAAATAAAACCTTAAAGGAATTTAGCTATTGTATCAAAATACTAAATTGTATCAAATCCATTGAGATCTGTTTAAATAGTTGGAATTGTAGTTGGAATTCCTGATTTAAAAACACAATTTTAGCATCTTGATAATTTCAAAAAGCATGGTTTTATATATATATATATATATATATATATATATATATATAACCTCCCTCTATATCATGACACTTTTTGTCTTAAAATTATTTTGATATTTTTATTTATATAGAGCTTGTAAACATATCTGCCTGACTATTTATCAAGCCAAGGGTTAAAGCCACTAGCAGTAATAATAAAGGACCACTATAGTGCCAGGAAAACATACTAGTGCCCCCACCCTCAGGGTCCCACTGGGCTGGATGGAGAGGAAGGGGTTAAACATTTACCTTTCTCCAGCGCCGGGCTCCCTCGGTGCTGGAGACTCTCCTCCTCCTTTCTCGTCATCGGCTGAATGCGCATGCGCGGCAAGAGCCGCGTGCGCATTCAGCCAGTCCATAGGAATGCATTCTCAATGCTTTCCTATGGACGCTGGCGTCTTCTCACTGTAAAAAAAATCGCAGTGAGAAGCGCGGAAGTGCCTCTAGCTGCTGTCAATGAGACAGCCACTAGAGGCTGGATTAACCCATAGGTAAACATAGTAGTTTCTCTGAAACTGCTGTGTTTACAGCAGGCAGGGTTAACACTAGATGGACCTGGCACCCAGACCACTTCATTAAGCTGAAGTGGTCTGGGTGCCTATAGTGGTCCTTTAAACAAATGAGCAATCCATAAAAACAAAAAAATATATGATCAATATATATCAGGCAAAATATGCTTCCTCCCTCAAAAACTAATGGTTAAAAAGTCATAAGCTTAAATAAAAAATGGAGATTATATAAAAAATTCCCACTACGCTTGGGAAACAATGGCCCCAGTATATGGATTAAAATATGCTATTTGAGATATGCTGAGGTGTCTTCTTTAAGAAATGGTAATTGTTGTGAGGTAGTTTGAACTAGCAAATGCTAGAATGCTCCAAAATGAGACATAGCTCCATTAAATCTATCTATGAAAATGTAGTCTTAACCTGAAGTTATAAAGTCTCTTATATGTCACTGCAATATCACAAAATAGTGACAAATAGTGACAAAGCCATACACTGGTGAAAAAATATTGACATGTTAAGGCACAATACACTGTAATTTGAACAGTCAAACTGGTACAATGCTCCAAAATGAGACATAGACCCATCAAATCCATTCATTTAGGTCACACCTAAAAAAAAGCATTGTAACTTCACAAGATTGTCCCTATGACATATATTGGTGGTATTTTTGTACTCAGAAGATGTCGCTGGGCATAATCTGTTGTTTTTTTTTTTTATCACAGTGGCATACATTAGTTTACAAAATACCTAGCAAAAAATGAAATGTGAATGTAAAAAATGCAACAATTTCTCCCCCTCCCCCACAAACTTTGATGTAAAGTTGTAAAAAATGGTGACATGTTAAGGCACAATATACACCATAAGAGATACCCTGGAGTGCCTACTTTCACAAATGGTAGACCTTCATGCGGTAATTTGAAGAGTCAAACTGCTACAATACTGCAAAATGAGACATAGGCCCATCAAATCCATTAATCAAAATTCGAACTGTAAAAACTGAAATGGTCATGTCTCTTACATGGCACTGTAGCTTCACAGGATAGTGTTTACTACATACATTGTTGTACTCAGAAGATGTAGCTGAAAACAATATTGGGTTTTGTACAGGATTAGCACATCAGGTTTACAAAATACAGTGGAACCTCGGAACTCAAACTTAATCTGTTCCAGAAGGCTGTTTGAGAACTGAGTTGTTCGAAAACCGAATAAAAATTTTCCATAAGAATTAATGTAAATTAGATCAATCCGTTCCAGACCCCCAAAAGTACAGCATTTTAACACCCATTTTACAGTTTAATAATACCTTAAATGCATAAAATCATACAGAAAACCAAAAAAAAAAAACACAATGTAAATTAAATGAAAATGTAACTTCACTTTACCTGTCAGCTCTGTTTCCTGACAGAATGGAGCTCTGTTCGCAGACAGAATGGAACTCTGTTCGCTTTGTCTAGTGCTAGGAGGCCGATGCATTGTACCAACAAGGTTCCAAAGTGGTACCAACGAGGTTAATGCTGTGTGATTTTGTTCTAATACCAAGTTTTGTTCTAATAGAGAGACATTTATTTCTCAAATATTTAGTTTGAATACAGAATTGTTTGAGTACAGGAGCGTTCCAGCACCGAGGTTCCACTGTACACATTTAAAAAAACCTTGTTATATATTGGCAGTTAAATGGCTACCTCAAAAGTGTCAAAATAACCTTAATAGGTAAATAGCTTAAGATTTCTACTTTATATAAATATATACTTTTGTGTGGCATATTTATTTTCTGTGATGATTTTTAAGTTTACAAGTTAAACATGCCAAATTTTAAAATCGCTCCACATTGAAATTTTCGTTTATTCCTTGTGCTTTGTTACCTGTAACTACCAAAAATAAACTGATATCCTAGACGTGATGTATTCGGTAAATCAGGAACATAAATAAAAAAAATGTAATATTAAATTTGTGGTTGGTGTAATAAATGAAAAAGATGTAAATTGCAGTTGAACACACACATAGAAAAAAAATGCAAAGATGACTTTGGTCCTTAAGTGAAAAACAAGCAAATAAAGCTTAGCCCTTAAAGGGGTTAAAAAGAAATATATCAATATATCACAAAATATAAAATAATACAAAATTTAAATATTTTTCATAATATAAAATCATTTTTTTTTTTTTTTCAATTTGACAATTTTTATTTTATCAAAGAACACAATTGGGGGGTACAGAAAGGAAAAGGGGGAGGGTACGCAGTTATGGTACATTGTTCTCATACACATATAAATCAGGCGAATCATCATATTGCACAGTCCGGAGCCAGTGTTTTTTTTTGTTTTTTTTTTGCAGTTTGGCAATTTTCGGTAAGGACACGGGGTACCAGGGAGAGACTAAGGGTGGTGATATAGTGAGTATATATCAATATACGATACCGGTGACACCCTATCTACTCTCGTCTGCGTGTCGTCCTGTTATATCTGCATGTACTGCTTGCGGTGTCTCAGTAGGAGGGGGAGTACAAAAAACCTACGTGGGGTCTCCTGTGCCGTGTAGGTGAGGTTTAAAAGAGCCTTTGACTGCGTAAAGGGCTGCCTCATCCCTGAGCGGCTGCCCATGGGGGGGGAAGGGAAGAGAGATGGTGGAGGGTAAAAAAAACTAGGGGGTCGGTATGTTCTTGCGGATCCTCGCGTGTCTGGTTATATCTAATTATGTCGTTTTGAGCCTCACCCTGTCCCTCATAGTCGTTGGTTCCCTTTTGGTTCTATATATGACATCCACATTGCATGAGCTGCATGAGCTGTGGTGCAGCCTTTTCGTATTTTTGTTTGTTTCCATATGGCCAATTCATATTCCAGCGTGGTAGTTACCATTGCGGCAACCTCTGGCACCGTAGGAATATTCTGTGTTTTCCATTGTTTGGCTAACATTGTGGTGGCTGAGGAGAGTGTGATGAAGATGAGTTTGGCTATGCAGTGAGGCCCCTTTTGGTGTGAGTTTGAGTAGCATGGTTTCAATATTGCTTTCCAGTATGCACCCTGTGGCCCCCTGTATAAGGTTCGCTATTTGTTCCCAGTAGGACCGCACCAGATCGCACGTCCACCATATGTGTATTTGTGTGCCCTCCTGTGTCTGGCATCGCCAACACCTGTCGCTTGTGTTTGGGTATATTGCTTTTAGGCGAGTGGGTACCATATACCACCTGTAAAGTAGTTTTCTCGCAGCCTCTTGATGAGACGCGCATGCGGTTAGTGCTTTATGGTTGCTATAAATGCTATCCCACTCTTCCTGTGTGAGTGTTCTGCCTATGTCCTTATTCCATTCCGCTATAAAGCGCCAGACCGGCTCCTTTGTTGGGGAGTTAAGGAGTTTATAAGTGAGTGATAGGGTGCGGCGGATTGGTGTTAGGTGGAGGCACATCTTTTCGAAATGTGTGTGGTTGGTGTCGAACGACTGTGTAGGACTTTTTGTCCCCTTGTTGCTGGTTCTGTGAGATGTGCTACTTGGTGGGCTGTGAGTTTGGGTAGATCAATCCCGTCTAGGTAGTTTTGTATTGAGGTGTTTGTCGGCTGTGTGACAGACGTATTATCTTTTAAGTTGTAGAGGGAGCTGTAATAGTTCGCAAACGCGTTACATATTTCCGTGGGCTGTATCAGCTTCTGGCCTGTGGGGGTCAATAGGTAGGGGATTTTGGTTTGGGCTTGCCTGTCTCTGAGTCTCTGGGCCAGTGCTTTACTGGCTCTGTTCCCCAATACGAAGGTTGTGGCTTTTAGTTTTTTAATAGCGTAACTCGCTTTTTGGAAGTTTGCTGTGTTGATGTGGCGTTGGAGTTTGGTTATTTCTTCTTGTGTGCCTTTGGAGGGGGAGATCTGGTTGCTTTTGTGGAGGTCATGTAATTTTTTCAGGTTTTGGATATGTGTTGTGTGGTGTGTTTTCTTGAGGTAGGAGGCTCTGCTGATCAGCGGTCGTCTGATCACCGTAATATATTCCAGACATTTTGTTCCAATTGACATACCAATGTACAACATAACATAAAAAACATTAACTTAGAACTGTAAACGGGTACCACTGTTGAGGTACCTATGAAAAAACTAATCGAAGGTGAAAATTAACCTTCTTAGGTGGGGGTAGGTGGACGTGTTGGGCTAGGATGGGCCCGGGAGAGGACGGCTACAAGAGCTCAGAGTCTCTCGAATAGCACAAGGAGCTCTAAAGTTCTAGGGGTGGGTGAATCGTTCACTCTATTGTCAGGGTTGTCATCCCGTGCCCTGGCCCCGTTATAGCCCCCGAGACCAGTGCAACTTGGCGTGGGTCAGGTGTGGTGTAGGGGTTCGTCAGCAATTGTATGCATTGGTGTGTTCATACGTATCCATGCACTCATACGCATGCCTTAAAGCCCACTAGCACACACCGGGCCGTGCGCTCTCATGCATCCGTCGTTATTAGTGGTAGATTTTTTTTTTTTTTTGTTAAGAAAAAAAAAGAGGTTATAGATGGGTTGGTCTCCTGAGGTGGGCTGCTCTGTCGTGGAGTCCTGCTCTAAGTCTGGGGACCGCTTAGTGGGCGCCCCTGGGTTTGTGCGAGAAATGACTCGAGCCGGGACTACGGGCTCCGGGGCACAACTGAGTTGACATTATGCTCCCCTTGTTCCCCTCCCCGTCACACAAACAGCGCCTACAGTCTCCTATACGGGTACAATTTGAATAAGTGATGCTAGGTACACATTAGCCGGCTCGACCAGAGCCATTGTTCATTGTTACGCATCTGTGTGTACTCAGTAAAGTCTGTTCGGTCCTTTTTGTCGTTATTTTACTCACTGTCCCGAGGATAGTAGCTGCAGTCGCTCCTGTGTGTTGGGGGTACACCTGGATGCCTAAAGGTTGGGACGTGAGGTGTGCCTTCTTTGCTTGGCAGGTCTCCATTCCTTCTGCAGCTTGTTCCCTTGGTCTTGTCCTGGCGGGGCAGAGGACTCCGCTATGCCCCACGAATGGAGAAGTTCCATGCCTTCCTTGATGGAGGTGACTGTGTGGAGTGTGCCGCCTTTGGCGATCATTAGCTTAATTGGGTATCCCCATCTGTAGGGGATAGAGTGTTGCCTGAGCGCCTCCGTGACAGTCCGGTATGCTCTTCTTTGTCTCAGGGTTTCCGCGGAGAGGTCTGCGAAAATTAGTATATCTTTGAACTTGGGCGGTAAATCTTTTTTAGTGCGGTGCGTTTTCATTATCAGTTCTTTTATATGAAAGAAGTGTACTCGCATGAGCACATCCCTGGGGGTGGTTGGTGGGAGATGGCTCGGTCTGGCCACTCTATGGATCCTGTCCAGGACTAACATGTCCCCTGGTATGTCCGGTATTATGGAGTGGAAGAACTCCGTTGTGAAGGCGGTAAGTTCAGTTTGTGGGACCTCTTCTGGGACCCCTCTCAGTCGGAGGTTGTTTCGGTGGGAGCGGTCTTCGAGGTCCATTAGTTTATGTTCATACCGTTCCATCCTGCCTTCCATATCCTCCATTTTGTCCGCCATGGTGTTGTGGGCCGCGGATACCTCCTCCATTTTGCTCTCGAGTTGCGAAGTCCGGTTCCCCAGGTCCATCATATCTTTTTTTAGATCTTCGATTGCCTCTTTCACTGTAGCCTGCATTTTGCCGGCTACCTCGTCTAGCATTCGCTGTAAGACCACCGCAGTCACCGTTGCGCCGTCCATATGATCACTGTCGGAGTCGGCGCCATCTTGGGCCTGCAGGTCCGGCGGTTTGTGAGACGGTGTGCGTGCAGTGAAGAAGGCCGCCTTGTCTTTTGTCTCCGCCACCTTTTTAGATCTGTTCTGTGACATCTCGGGGGTAGTTGAGGGTCGCTTGTGTGCTTTAAGTCGCTGGTAAATGCTTATTTAGCAGCCGCCCAGACGGAGCTCTCTCAGTGCGCGTCCATCCTGCTCGAGCGTCGGCCACGCCCCCCTAATATAAAATCATTTTAAAAGTTTATCCAAACATTTTTTTTTTTTTTTTGAATTCTTTATTTTATTTGTGCATGGAATTTCACATAAAGCATACCGTGCCACAATAGCCAGGGTATGCAGAGTTAAACAAAGGTTTACATTAATTAGGCAGTGGAAAAAAAACTTTGCACATTTTTTAAAATTTTTTGAAACACTTAACGAGTTATATCTAGGTTGATTGTTGTTAAACAGTAGAAACTGTATTAGCGTAAGATAGGCAATAATAGTGTTAAAGAACATTGCAGGTTAGTTGTTCAAGCTTACGTTACTATGTTCATGGACTAGGAAGTCCCGCAGAGGGTAGCTTAGGCAAGCTAAGTAGACTGGTATTGTTAGAGAGATGAACCACAATATGCCTTCATTGAAATAGGGCACAAGAGTAAATATGAAAGGTCACAGGCAATATGACAAATACCAAAAAGCGAATGCCATGTCAAAACGTATTATGGCTGCAGGATTATGTACAATTTTTATAGGTAGGCATTGGTTAGGTAAGTAATAGTATGTGGTCTAATAGCTGCTTCTATCTCATAGCTAACTGTATCAGGCTATACTGTAATTACCCAAATAAATTGCTGACATAGTGTAAGTTATGTGATCATGTTAGGGATAGGGCCCATAAATCCCCTGAAGATAAAGAGTGGTGACTCGTAGCTGAGAAAGCCACCGGGCCCGGTAACCCTGCTAGGTCCCTGTCACTCGTTGCACATATTGAATGGAGCGGGAAAAGAAAAGTGAGAGTGCACTGCGAGCAATTCCCCTGTGTGGATGCTGTTGTGCAAGGTGTTGTGCTGGATCGGAGTTGCCGGTAGTAGGAGCGGTGTTGCATACCTACGGGGGAGACTCTATATATGTATATAGTATGAACGGGGAGGAGAAAAAAAAATAAATTATATTCCTGAGGGGGGGGGGGGACCGTGGCGGGTACCTTCCACCAATCTAAGGGAGGTTAATAAGCGGTGTATGCTCAGCTTGTGAGTGGGTATCTGGGTTTAAGGGCCTTGTGTGGATCGGGCTGCCAGAGTGTGTGGGTCCAGTACTGGGCCTATGATAGGCTGTCTCTCATAAAGTCAGGTCTTGGTATTGTCCTGTAAGCCCTGGGCGGCCTGTCTGGGTACAAATTCCGCCGTAGTTTCCGGATTCCATCCGTGGGTTGGTCGCTGTGCTGCCTCCGGTGCTTCGGTGGGTAGGAGGTGTTGGGGAATGCCCAGTTTCTGCAGGAGCGTTTTGGCTTCTTGGAGGTCTCGGATGATGTGAGTTGTAGTCCCATGGGCGACTGACAGGGCATGTGAGGGTCGCCATCTGTAGTTAAGGTTATGCTTCTGTAGGAGGATAGTAAGCGGGCGCAGCTCCCGACGCCATGCCAAGGTACTGCTGCTCAAATCCGCATAAAAGGTTAGGTCCATGCCTTCGAAGGAGTAAGGTGAGTTGCCGCGTAGTGCATTTAGGAGGGTTGCTTTGTCTCTCCCTTTAACGAATTGTACGATCAAGTCCCTCGTGGCAGAGGTTGGTGCCTGGGCAGGTTTGGGCACCCTGAATATGCCCTCTATCTCTAATGCTTTGGACAGTTTGGGTGTGAGCAGGGCCGCAAGTAGTCTCCTTACCACGTGCGGGAGCTCCGCTTCGGGTACGTTGTCGGGGACCCCCCTGACCTTTATGTTATTCCGACGGCGGGAGTCTTCAAGGGCTGCAAAGCGCCTTTCATAGGAGCCGTTTAGTGTTCGCAGGTCTCTGACCTCCTGCTGGAGGGTGGTGATCTGCTGTTTGGCTGAGAGTGAGGTGGTTTCCAAGGCTCCTATCCTGCCAGTCAGGCCTTTCAAGTCTTGGCGTATTGTGGCCATGTCTGCCTGGAGGTTCTTTTGTAAATTCGCCAGCAGTTCTTTCAAGAGTGCGGCCGTCACAGAAGCGGTGTCCGGCTGTGCTGTCGGGATCCGCGGCGGGGGAAGCGCCGTAGCAGGTGTGTAGCCCTCATCGGTTCCACAAGAGAAGTCGTCTGAGAGGTCTGAGCAATCCCCAGCAATGGCCGCCATCCCAGGCCCTTGTGCGCCACGAGCCTGCCGCCACATCTCTTCTATGTTCATGCCCGTTCGGGGCGCTTCTTGTCTCGCTTTTTTTGTTTTTTTCCCCATCTGGGTTCAGGGCACCCGGGGGAGCTGTCGGGCCCTGTTGGTCCCGTCTGGGTATCAGAAAATAGGGTTTTTTCAGCTTTGCGGCCCGGAGCTCCAGACATGTGCGACCGTCCGCTTTGGCAGTCAGACTCCGCCCCCTTATCCAAACATTTTAAAGCATTTGGAAAGCCATAACAACAATATTAAATACAGGCCGTAATGTCAAAACAATTTTAACATTTTATAATGTTTGCACACTTGCTTTGATGTTGGACTAGTTCACAATTTAAACAAATACAAAGAAACTAACAAATGATGAACAAAGAAACTAACAAATAATGAACACAGACTGGAATAGACTGGAATCTTAGAAGGACTTCATGTAAGAATGTAACCCGTGTGTGGTGCATTCCTGGTCTTATATTTTCCACTTTCCTTTAGGAAATAGAAGGCCTTGAAGTGATTGGACGGGGGAATTGTTTCACATCTATGTCTTCTGATTTTCTGCTGGATACAAATGAAACGGCTGACATTTCTTTAAAAGAAAACAAGTGAGTTCAAGTGAAAGTTTTTGTATGTTCATTAATACAATATTCGATATAGTCTTGTTCTTCACATGCATTTTTTTTCTCCATATTACAGGGACATGCTCAAGGATTTCCCCAATGTGATACCAGATGTCGTGCTCGGTCCCTCTCTTCTTTTTTGTGGGCAGCCAGCAAACTGGATTGAGGATATGTTGTCTCATAGAGTAATATATGTACACATATTTTTTTCCCTTTTTATTTTACTTTATTAAAAAGGAAAAGGGAAAAGCATTGCATGGCTTTTTAAAGGGACACTCCACTGCCCAAATACAATCAAAGTCACTGTTTAGAAGATCTACCCCAAAATAAAAAACATGCATGCATCTGCACGAGAGATACAGCAACTCTGGCCGATTGTTTCACCATTCTTTGGGCCTGATCAGCACAGTGTAGCTGATATGTCTCTAGGCACAGTGAGCAAGAGGGTCACACCTGGATTATTCGTTTAATTTGGGAAGAGATGAAACAATTGTCTGGGGTTTCTGTATCTCTTGTGCAGCAGTGAGTGGGATCAGTCCTACATGCAGATGGTTTATGTTCTCTCTGTAATGGCACATGGGTAGCTAAAGCTAGCTTGAGATCTGAGTGGGGACCCACCGAAGGGCAAGCTACATAAGCTATTGTCCATTCTCAGTATTCTTTTGCGACCTGTTTTTTTATTTTTTTTCTGTTTGTTCTCCCTTAGTTTTTTTTTGGAATTTACTTTTTATTGTATTTCATAATATAAGGTAGGGGGGATACAGAAAAAAAAAGGGGGAAGGGTACAAAAGAAGGCATGGTTATCGTATTACATATCTTGGAATAAGATCTTCTATTATACTTATAGTAAAAATTACACATTTATTTTTAACATATTTAACTGTTGAAGTTATATATTACAGCATTCCTTTTAATCAAAAGTATTAAAAAAAAAAAAAGTAATTCCCTTTGACAAATCTCCTTATTACTGGGAAACAGCTAATAAGAGATCAATTATTATTTTAACAAGACTTATATTAAATCTGAGTCTTTTTGAAAAAGAAGAAAAAATAAAAATAAAAAAAAAAGGGAGGAAGGGGGAAAAAAAAAACATTGAAAAGAAAAGGGGGGACAAAGATTTCCTGATACAGCTAACATGTAAACCAATTGCTAATTGTCTAATATATATATATTCTACGTCTACATATGATCAGGGTTTACATGTTCTGTAATGTCATGTAGGTATGCTGGGTTAGAATCATAGTTAATTTAATATAAACTCAATAGTTTATTTGAAGCGTGGACTCCATTTTTTTTATCTCGATGTATATAACCAAAAAATATTCTCGTTTAATAATTTGCACATTTAAACGCCTCATTTTAATGCTTTATAGCTGAAATGATACCAAATTAATGATCTATTAGTTTACATTTCTTGCTCAGACATATACCGAATTAAAATATTCCATGATGTCATATTAAAATTTTAGATGTATTTATATAAGAACATTAAATTGTTCAATGCAGAGACCTCATATGTTATCTAAATGTTCCTGGCTAATTCTCATATGTAGATTGAAGGTATGTTCGCCACATTTGGGCTGTATGGGTGCTCAATTTTCCTATTTTTCTTTGGTTTCACATTAAAAGTTCGTATTCTACTGTAGAAGACATTACGTCTTCAATTTCCTGTAACAAAGGTAAATCATTAGTCTTCCAGTATCTAGCAATTAGTATAGACCCTGTACTCAGTAGAAGGAATATCATTTTCTTGGTCACTTTAGGGATATTGGTTGGAAGTGATCGAAGGAGTATTGTTTTTGGATCATGAGATAAATGCTGGTTTGTAATTTGTTTTATTATTCTTTCAATATTCTTCCATAATACATTCACCGCTTCGCATGTCCAGCAGACATGTAACATGGTGCCTTTATCTGTGTGACAACGCCAACACATGTCCGATGTTACAGGGAACATAGTATGTAGACGCACAGGAACCATGTACCACCTGTACATTATTTTCCTTGATGCTTCAAAATCCCCAGTGCTAGTAGTTAGTCCGGTCTGAGCGTTAAAAATATGTTCCCCTTCCCTCAAAGGAATATTCACTTGGAGATCTTCTTGCCAGTCTTGTATAAATTTCCAATTTGCATCTGCAACAGGATTAGCTAGGGTTTGATAGCATATAGATAATGACCTTTTCGGAGAGCACAACGACAAACATTTCTCTTCAAACTTCTTTATGGAAGATTGCATTGTATCTGCTCTTATACAGACTTTTTCAATGTCTAGAATCACTTTGATTTGAAGATATGCGAATGTATAGCTCGCCGGTAATGAAAACTCCTTTTATAAATTCGAAAAAGATTTTAGACCCTCTATAGTGCATAGGTGAAATACATGTGTAATTCCTGCTTTTTCCCATTTCTGATATGGGAACATCCCATTACAGGAGTATGACATTTTGATTGGAGTCGCTAGAGCCCATGGGTAAGCCGTGCATAATTTATCTCTGTAGGTATCCCAGATTTTAAGTAGGTGTTTAGTGGAGGGCAGCATATTTGAGCTTACTTGTCTTAATTGTTGAGGTTTCCATAATAATGTCGAGAGATCTTGTGATCCCCAGTACATATTTTCTATTGCCACCCATTCAGGGGTATAACTGGTTGAATGGGCGCTGATAACGTTCATAAGTATCGCAGAATGATAATATGCTTTTATATTTGGTATCCCCATACCTCCATTTTTCACACTTCTCATTAATAATGTTTTAGGGACTCGCGGGTGTTTACTGCCCTAACTAAAACGTACCATAGTTGCTTGAATACATGTTATATATGAAGTATCATATGCAAGGATCTAAAGAGATATAAAATCTTCGGTAGGATTGACATTTTAAGTGCTGCTATTTTCCCTACCCAAGATAAATACAGGTTCTTCCATGATTTTAGTTGGTTATCAATTTCCTTCAATAACTTTGTATAATTAGCTGAAAAAATATCTTTTTCTTTTTTAGTTATTCTGATACCTAAAAATACTAGATGATCTTCTCTCGTAGCGGTAACTTCCCTTCAGTCTTTCATCTGTAAATTTAGATGTGTTGAGACACATTGCTTGGGTTTTTGTTATGTTTAGCTTATAATATGACTGTTGACTATAGGACTGCAATTCTTTATGTAATGATGGAAGCGTTATGAATGGTTGAGTAATTGTTAGAAGAATGTCGTCAGCAAATAAGCTGAGTTTATAATCCTTGTTACCAACTGACACCCCGTGAATGTTTTCATTGTTCCGTATAGATATGGCCAGAGGTTCTAGAGCCAACACATAAAGAAGGGGTGATAATGGGCACCCCTGCCGGGTCCCATTGGTAATACAGAAAGCCTGTGACCTAAATCCTGAGTAGAGCACTGTTGCTGTTGGTGCACTATAAAGAGCTTCAACTGCTGAGATAAAAAAAGGTGGAAGTCCATAGGCCAATAATGTTTTGTGTAGAAAGTCCCAGTTCAGCCTATCAAACTCCTTTTCGGCATCAAGAGATATCATAATGCTTTCCTGTTTGATATACTGTAACATCTTATATAAGTTCAACACCTTCCTAGTATTGTCTTGTCTCTGTCTGCCCGTCACAAATCCCACTTGATCCGTATGTATTAATGTAGTATAATATTTTTAAGTCGGTCTGGTAAGATCTTAGCATAGAGTTTTGCATCTGCGTTTAATAAAGATATAGGTCTAAAATTTTGACAAACCGGTAAGGGTTTCCCAGGTTTGGGGATAGTAATGACATGGGCAGACAGGAACTCAGACGGAAAGGTACCTATTCTGCTAGCATTATTAAAAAAGCTAGTAAGAGCTGGGGCTAATTCATGCTTAAAGATGTTATAATATACATTAGTAAAGCCATCTGGCCCTGGTGCTTTCTCTTTCGGCATCTTGTCTATTTGTTGAAGAACTTCTTCTATAGTGATAGGTACGCAAAGCTTCTCTGACAGGTTTACAGCTATTTTTGGAAAAGCAATCTTAGACAAATATGAACGAATAGTTGTGGAAGTAGGAATTAACTGTGTATTCTGATCCTTTAGGTTATACAAGGTGTTATAATAATGTGCGAAAACATTACATATTTGTATAGGTTGCATGACTTTATGGCCCAAATGTGTATTGATGAATGGAATCCTTGTCTGGGCCTGCCTATTCCTTATTCTTTTGCGCTAATACTTTTGTAGCCTTATTTCCCAGTGAATAAGATGTCGCTTTAAGTTTTTTCAATGCTATAGTAGCTTTCTTAAACTGAATTGATTTAATGTCTTGTTGAACTATCATTATTTGCTGTTGGAGAGCTTGAGATGAATTTACTTGATTGGCTCTATGAAGATCTTGCAGTTTTCTCAGTAAATTAATTAATGATGTATGGTTTGTTTTCTTAATATAGGATGCTCTACTCAGCAATGTGCCCCGAATTACAGATTTATGTGCTAACCAGAGTGCCGCCGGATTTGTATCCTCATTATCATTGCTCTCAAAATATTGCTGTATTTCATTGCGTAACATATCCTTGAATGTAGTGTCGTTAAGCAACTGTTCATTCAGTCTCCATGGGCTTCTATCTTTATACTGATATGAATCTAAGAGCGTGAGTGTAACTGGGTTGTGATCAGATTCTGCTGAAGTACCGATCTCACAGGTACTAACCAAATCCAAATGTGTACTGAGCATAAGATATCCATCTATACGTGAATATGTATTATGCACTTGTGAGTGATGTGTGTATTCCCGATCTTCTGGATGAATCGTTCCCCATATGTCATATAGACCATGAGAAGCTAATATTTTATTAAAGGACCACTCTAGGCACCCAGACCACTTCAGCTTAATGAAGTGGTCTGGGTGCCAGGTCCAGCTAGGGTTAACCCATTATTTTATAAACATAGCAGTTTCAGAGAAACTGCTATGTTTATGAATGGGTTAAGCCTTCCCCCAAAGCCTCTAGCGGCTGTCTCATTGACAGCCGCTAGAGGCGCTTGCGTGCTTCTCACTGTGAAAATTACAGTGAGAGCACGCCAGCGTCCATAGGAAAGCATTGATAATGCTTTCCTATGCGACCGGCTGAATGCGTGCGCAGCTTTTGCCGCGCATGCGCATTCAGCCGACGGGGCGGTTCGGAGGAGGAGAGCTCCCCGCCCAGCGCTGGAAAAAGGTAAGTTTTTCCCCCTTTCCCCCTTCCAGAGCCGGGCGGGGAGTATGTTTTCCTGGCACTATAGTGGTCCTTTAAGGGAAGTGCATTGTTTTTGCAAGAATTTTTTCCTTTTATGTGTATGCAGAGCTGTTGAATCTGCATTAGGTTCTAATATATGGTTAAAATCCCCACATATGATCAAAATACCTGTTCGAGCCTTCTCTATTTTGTCTAGAAGAGTTAGCATATAGCTGGGCTGATTTTTGTTTGGAAAATAGCAGTTAACTATTGTGTAGGCAGTATTATTTAATGTACAAATAAGGATAATAAATCTGCGTTGCGGGTCCAATTGTACATTTATTTAATCAAAAGCTAGTGCTTGACTCACCAATATTGAAACTCTTCTACTTTTAGTTGGAGATGTGGCATGATATTGGTGGGGAAAATTTTTGAAACCTAATATAGGATTAGAACCATGTTTAAAATGTGTCTCTCTCTTGTAGACATATTATATCTGCTTGTGAAATATGGAGTTCTTTGGATAAAATGTAGTGCTTATGAGGTATATTTAATCCTCTAACATTTTGCGTATACAATTAAATTTTACTTATTTGTTATATACAATTTTGACTTGTTGACTGTGCTAACCCAGGAAATCAATGCTATGAGTCTACACAGAGAGAGAGAGAAAAAAAAGAAAAAAAAAAAGGGGAGAAAAACAAACTTAATTTTTAAAAAGGGGGAACGACCAATAATGGTCAACTTCAATAATATGTGCCCAAAACTGGCACTTCCTAGTTGGGGGTAATATGAACGAATCCGATTAAGCGATTGGCAGTCCTGCGCTGAGTAGATTTGCGCAGCCCTCATTAAAGATAACATAGCAAGGAATTAGAAAATAAAGAAAAAAGGCTTCATACTTAATGGATATAAACAGACGAGACGGCATTTGAGGTTGGGGAAATTTATACTTAATAACCTAGCACTAATTATGGTTATATACATAGTGTTCTGTTACCCTGACACGCTTCCCACCTTAACATTCCAGAAGTAATATGATGCAAATTACCCCAACCAAAATCATTCTCTGAGACTTTTAATTTTAAAACTTTTACGTTTCAAAACATTAGTATACCTTGTAGTGTCCTTTAATTATAATATAATATATCTTATAGGACAATTATATCAAGCACACCACTATAATGTAGTTCAAATTATTCTTTACTACCTATAATTTGTAAATTAATATTAATAATCCATCAAGGTATGTACCTTGTTGGATTTCCTTTTGTTTAAAATAAATTACAATGGTAGTTAACAATGAACTAATATATTAATAATTGCCACTCCAAGCATATTTGATTAAAAGACGGTATATGACTTACAGCAACTATCTAATAATATTATTTTTGAACATACCTCTATTGTCAAATTCAATAAGCTGTAGTTGTTCTGGTGACTATAGTGTCCCTTTAAAGGAACGTCGTAATGTTAGGAATCTAAACATGTATTACTAACACTATAGTTTTTCACTACCTATTTAGGTGTCCACTGTCCTCCTCTGAAGGTCTAAAAGGTGAATATTACCTACCTCACCTTGCTGGTCTTGCTGTGACCGCTTCACCTTCTTGGCTGAGATCATCAATATTGATGATCTCAGCCAATCTAATGCATCTCATTAGGAAAGCTTTGGGAGGCTAGTGCGCATGCTTGGCATGGCAAATCACCATGCTGCACCAATCAAATGCTGCTCTAGAAGTAATGGTGAAGACATGCCATGGAGACAGTCACTAGAGGTGTGTTTAGCCCTGCAATGGAAACGTTGCAGTTTCTACAAAACTAATGTTTTACATTGTAGGGTCAAAATTAAAAAGCCTCTGCGCCCATTGAGGTTAAATTGTCTTGGTGCCTTGAGTAGTCCTTTAAGAACAGTTTTTTTGTTACAGAGGAAAAAAGAGGCTTTGGGATAAAGTAGATCTACATTTGTTTGGTATGAAATATTATTTGAATTAGGCATCGACAAGCCAAGATCGTGAAATATTGTTTACTGTAGGAAATTTTGCTTATCCCTACACATGTTTATTTACAATCCTTTGTGTGTGTTTGATTTCTGGTTTTCCAGGACAAAGTTGGAATCTGTGTTCGCATTACTTTTGAAACACTTGCTGGTGATAAAGCATCAGCTGCTATAGAGATTGTTAATAATGGAAGTGCAGCCATCTGGTATGAATGGAGAAGGCTGCCAAGCAATTCCAGCCTGGAAAGACATCACAAAGAATCCCACGTTCAACGATTCTACTTCAACGCTTGTGCTGGTTAGTATGAGAGACTGCACAGATCACCTCCATGCAGTTCAGGTATTTAATCTCAGGCAGGTGAAATAGTTGTCGCTGGCATCTGTAACGATTTCCCTGTGCTGCTCTAACAGTAAGACTCTCCACTTAACTCATTCACAACCAACACTATCATTCAAGATTAAAACTTCACAGCACACCGAACCATAACACCTATAACTAAACAGGAACCACTACACTACAATAACCATTCACACCTACACTACCCTAACATACAAACTCTAACTTTCACATAAAATTATAATGTAATTAAAAAGATACATAACATTGAAGCATGTCTTGGGAAATTTAATGCCATCTCACAGTTCATAAAAAACAAGACTGAAGATCTTCACCCAATGGGTGTAGACCAGATCTGGAGCAGAGAAGAAGATACGTAGATGGTTGGAAGAAAGGGGGATTAAAGAATACATTTCATTTGTCAATTTGTTTCCGTGGTTTATAGTTTATATTTGTTTTTTGTTTTTTTAAGGTGTTATATTGCCTGGGAAAACACTGCTCCTGCCTTTCCATTTCAAATCTTCAACTGCGGGCATATTTATGGAGAACTGGGAATTGTGTACCCACCCGGTGTTACTGGCTGGTGCTATGCTTCAGGTTTCTCTTTGGGGCGTTGCTCTGTATGAAGACAAAACATCTGCAGTACGTGAAGCTCTAGAAGTAAGTCATGTCTTATGTTTGTGAATATTTTAGGATTCATGATTTCTGATGACTTAAAGGTAGGCAGACATGTAATATAGCAGCAGGAAATGCTAGCAGAATGCTTGGTTGTATAGGGAGAGGTATTAGCAGTAGAAAGATAGAAGTGCTCATGCCATTGTACAGAATACTGGTGAGACCTCACTTGGAGTATTGTACACAGTACTGGAGACCGTATCTCCAGAAGGATATTGATACTTTAGAGAGAGTTCAGAGAAGGGCTACTAAACTGGTTCATGGATTGCAGGATAAAACTTACCAGGAAAGGTTAAAGGATCTTAACATGTCTAGCTTGGAGGAAAGACGAGACAGGGGGGATGTGATAGAAACATTTAAATACATAAAGGGAATCAACACAGTAAAGGAGGAGACTATATTTAAAAGAAGAACAACTATCACAACAAGAGGACATGGTCTTCAATTAGAGGGGCAAAGGTTTAAAATTAATTTCAGGAAGTATTACTTTACTGAGGGGGTAGTGGACGCATGGAATAGCCTTCCAGCTGAAGTGGTAGAGGTTAACACAGTGAGGGAGTTTAAGCATGCGTGGAAAAATGCATAAGGATGTCCTAGACTTAAGAAAAGGTCATGGACTAATTAAAATATTTAGAAAATCAGGCAGACTTGATGGGCCAAACGGTTCTTATCTGCCGTCACATTCTATGTTTCTATTTTCATGTGTTTTGAAGTCATAATTTTGTGTGACTGTTTGCAGATGTACACCCGATGCACACAAGTACAATGTTACACCGCAACATTATTGAGAATCTCTTTGATTTTGCTTATTTTAGTCTTTGTAATTTGTTTAAATAATTTTCTTTTTATCACATTAATATTGATATACAAGTATTGCCATATAAAAGTTCCTGTCTAATGAGCAAAAAAAGTCAGCATCAACAATTAGGGGGGCATAGGAAGAAGGGAAAGAAGAAATGGATAAGAGAATTAATAAAGAGAGAGGCTGGGGCATGACTTTTGGAGCCTAATGACACCTTCTGTAAAATTATATTGCAGTAGGAAAGGGATGCTTCCCTAAGGATTTTCATTTTGTCATGGAATGTTATTTAATAGGTTACTCGGAGGGACAAGAAATTGCAGTCTAGTATGTTTCACTGAAGGCAATAATATTTGTATATGTTAAATTCAATGAACTCCTTAGAGGGTCACTCTATGCACTCTAGTTTCTACAGGTCAGTACAATAGTTATGGTGCAGAGAGGCTGTAGGTACTATCCCAATTCTCTTCCTTTCTAATCATTTGGAGACACAATAAGAAAAAAATTGCAAACACCATAAACCACTACAGAGTGCCCTGGCACGCCCCAGCGTATGTTTTAGAAGAAATAGACTTCTTACCCGTGGTTAACTGGTCTCTGCTCCGTGCCTCTGAGCTAAGTCCTGAAGTGGAAGACATAGAAACATAGAATGTGACGGTAGATAAGGACCGTTTGGCCCATCTAGTCTGCCCATTTAAAGAAAAAAAAAATGTAAACTTTAAAAAAAAGGTTATAAACCTTTGACCCAGTGCTTCGACAATTACAGTCCAACAAAAACATTTCAACCAGGTTTTATTGGTTTGGTGATAAGTACACCGACACTATGAACAAGCTGTACAATTAGTTCTTCTTATTAAAACTCTAGTTAGAATTGGAAATCTAGAATAAAACCATGTAGTTCAATGTATTTGAATCCGTATTGTAGTGGCTTTTCCAGCTTTCAGTTAAAACAAAGCCGATTTGTGGAAAAAAAATCTAGCCCCCCTCGTACTAGCATCTAGGATGCTTTAAGTACAACTCATTCTCTCCCAAGGAGGCCAGCAGAAATTTTTAGCCACCATAGGAGGAAAATAAATAAAAAGAAACAAAAATAAAAAAGTTTAGAAGATAGGCATCCGTCATGCTTTGCTTGCTAGTACTTTACATAAAAAATAAAATAAATGAGTAACATTGTCACACATAGTACACAATTCTTAGAAGAATATCCATCGCCAGGGGAGTTTATTAAGTTGTAAAATTGGACGCAAGAGAAGGGGTATAGAACAGTTAAAATGTTAAGACATTAAACATAAAAATGTAACCTTTTGTTGTGCATGAGATAACAATATGCTTACTCAGCCACGATAGCCGTTGTAAGCGGTAACAGGCATAACAATCAAAACATGACCAATTAATATACAGCATAATTTTACATTTTGTTGAGAGAAAACGTAGACAGTGGATATATATAACATGGAATGCAACTCGCCTTCTTCCAATATAGCATATGTCGTGCTAGACAACTGGCATTTTTTTAAAAAGTGTTGTGTATCATGTCAGGTTACTCTTACATTATTAAAGACGGATGTACCGTGCCAGATAACCTGCACAAGTTTTTTAAAAATAACATAGGATATGTTGATAGATTTCACAAGCATGGTGTCAGAGTCTGTACTAGATATATGGCATATAGACATCTAGCACATATTTACAATGAATACATCATGTTAAAAATGTAACAGTTTTGAGTACCATTCACAGCTGTCAACCGTTTTACAAGCAACGTGCGAAAGGCAGGTTTCAAACAGTCATCATCACAGGCATCTCAGTATGCCAGCCTAAGATGCACTCCCCAGAGTTAAAACATGTAACGCCCCCCCCCCCCAGACAGCTGAAAACTGGTACTGACTGCTAACCTGTTCTTAGGAAATGCAATAATTCCATCCAAATAAAAACAGAACGAAAAAACAAATAAAATAAAAACATTTAAAATAAAATATGTGGTGGGTATTTTAAAAATGTGTTTTCTAGAATTAAACTACTAAAAAACTTGCATTTACAAAATAGTTGATGAAAATATTCCTCTGAATTGTTCAAGGGAGGTACAGGAACCACTGATAAAAGACTCGTTACAAGATGAAAGTTATTCAGACTTTGATTCTAGCTCATTGGCTGAAAGCGCTTGCTGATTGATCTCAGCCAATAAGATAATCCCTAATAAGCAAAAAGTCAAACCGTTATAAGACACTTTGACTACTTATGTTGGGAGAGTAACAAGAAAAAGGAAACTCAAAAGGCTGGAAAGTGGGAGGGGAGGAAAAGACACTCCCGTATCCCACTGCCGAGCCTCCAGAGTATAGAGGTCACCTGGACTGGTAAAAGGGGGTAACCCTGGAAATTGTAGAAAAAAGGAAGAAAAAAACCCAAAAAGGGATGTCTTATATAAAGACCGCCCAGAGGGTAAATACCCAGTCCAATCTCAACAGTAGTGTAGTTGCCAAAAAATAAAAAAGCCTTTATTGAAATCTATTAAAAAACCTGGGTAATCAGTGATGGACAGAATAATATAGGGAGAAATATGTATGGTAGGAACAAGGCTAATCAAGAGCCAACCCTCACAAGAAACGGAGAGGGGATAGAAGGCAATATGTACCCCCATACATAACTCAGGTAACAAAGCAGTAGGAAAGAACAGGGAAAGGGAGAAACACACACTCCCAACCAAACAGTAGTGCTATGCTAATACCCTATCTCCTATAAAACACCTTCGTGGGTGTTCTAATCTAAATGCTGTCATAACATCTGAAGCCCCAGGTTACACACACATACTAGAAAAACATAAATGAAAAGGTGCTCAGAGCAAAGTGCTCAAGAGGGTATTAAAAACACAGAAGAACCCGACGTACGTTTCGGCGTGACCACACGCCGTCCTCAGGGGTATCAGCAGTGAGCAAAAAACTGTCCGGGTGGTAAATTTATACCTTAAGCTCATAAGCTTTATTGTAATCACCTATGATTGTGTCTAAATTGCTCCGGTCCTCCTTATGTTGGGAGAGTGTCAGGACACTTGTGGCATCATAACCTATAGCTCACTGTAGTGGTTATGGTGCCTGTAGTATTCCTATAACTTCATTGACAATTGAGAGTTTACACACCTGCATTTTTAGTGTCATTTCCAAGCAACCTGGATATTCTGAGAGCACTGAGGTTTTTTAAAGCCCTAAATTACACCTGCCTCGCTGTTGACAGCCAGGTGGTCGCTCTTCCTCACTAACCTTGAGTGCTGATTCAAAGCAGAAATTAGGGCTTCTCTTAGAGAAGCACTAAATTTAAAGGGACATTCAACTGCCCCCAAAAAATATATATCTAAAAACAACTTGAAAAAGCAACATTTCCCTGTCTGCTTCTTTTGCCAGCCCTCCTCTGCTTCCCCAGCCCAGACTTTCCAATGCTGTTCAATTAGAAATCTTTGCAGGGCAGGTGCTTTGGGCAGTTGCCTGCCTCTTGAGTTTAGCTCCACTAAGCTAAACAAAAGCTAAACAAACCAGAAAGTAACAGGACCTGTTGCCTGCTGAAAGCCAGAGGGTTGTAAAAAGGTTAAAGTTAGAGTGTGAAATTGCCTCATAACAGGGCAGCAGGACTTGTGACTATGTGTGTAACTTACCTAACCAGTCTATCCAAGTTGTCTATAGTCTGTATGTACTGAGACCAGTGGTAATGCTGGTCTCAGTGCTAATGCTACTTAGAGTGATCCTTTAATATTGCTGAGCCGCAGTGATCTAGAGAAATATGTCAACGTGGAAAAAATACTTAAAATTTGCCAGATAACCAACCACTTTAGGTCATGCTTAGATATTAGAAAATACAATAATTGCTTTCTTTTCCTCGCTCTTTGAGTAATATTTGCTACAAATTGATCTGTATTGATCTGACTGGGAAAGTTCACCTAACCCCCCAATTTGGAAGAGGGTTCCGACACATTATAGTCGAGAGTACTGGCGTTCTGACTGTATTGTAACATTTGATGTGTAAGTCTGTACTTGAACAGTAATACGAGATTAATAATTTAATTTTCAAGAAATGTCCAATGTGTATTTTGTATATTTATATAAATATAGAAATTCAATTGCTCTTCTGTAAATATTATGCCACCTTCTCCCATTTTTTTTTTCTCAGAATGAATTGCTAGCCCAGGAATCTGTACTAGTTGCCCAGGAACTTGTGCGGGAGTTGCTGAATGGCGTTCGTACCCCTGAGAGGCCACAATCTCCACTAACATGTGTCACTGAGGAAGAAAAGTTCCATTTAGTAAACCCTAAGGTGCGAGATGTATTTACAGTTTTAAGCAGACTGAAAATTGTGTGTGTACCACAAAAGTCATTTACCGTAATTTAATTGCAGATCACTTTTTGAAATACTTAATACTTTTAATAGCAAAAAATGTAATATTTTCATAGCAAAATAGAAAAGTTGGATATATTTTTCCAATTCTGCTATATTGATTAGCAGTTCTTTCCTATTCCTATAATGAATAATTCTCTAATTGTGATTGGTCATTTTCGCTTGCTCTGTATAATTACTTTATTATGTTATCATTTTTTTCGTATAGCTATATTATAAACAACAGACTGTACAAGAGCTGCACCAGTTATGGAAGGATTGTATTGCCACACTTGACTCAGAAAACCAAAACCATGAAAATTTTGAACACGAAATGCCACTGGAATCTACCACTTTACACCGAGGCATTGAAGGCACTCAGGGTTCACAGGCAGAGAACGTGAAAACTGATTCTGCCTGGAATCTATCAGTAATGGAAATCAAACAGGTATGCATTCAATATACAAACCGGGCCACTATTTGGGTTATTTGAGTGACGCTCCAGCCCCAGACTTTGCACAATGTGAAACTCAGTGGGTGTGTGTGGTACCACAATTATGTGACTCGTGCTCAGACATTGTGAGTGCCATGCAGGGCACTTAGAATATTTGTGTGAGAGCAATCATAACAATGGAGCCCCCAAAGTGCTGCTCATGTATGTCAACATCTTCTGGGATACCATGCCCCCCAACCTCTCTTGTGCTATCACTGAATGAAAGCAGAAAGGAATCACTTTGTCAGCAAGGTCTCCGAGATCCATATAGATGCCCAGGAGTTCCTCATTCAGGTACGCAGTCAGGGATTCCACCAAAGGCAGTAGTGTGACTAGTATGCTCCAAGTAGGTAGGTCAGATGCCTCAGAGAAGACTGAAATGATTACTAGGTAGACTGTATTTTCAACATGGATAGGACCTGCATCTTGGATGCAGATCCCAACTGCTGTTCATAGAGTCAGATAGTGATTGAAGGGCATAATGGGAACAAAAGACCCCTATCCCACCATCGTGGAAAAAACAAATTTGTCAGCTACAAATTTTGTTTTCCAGTTAATAAACAGCCATCATGAAATAGTTTACATGAAAGCACAGTAAATCTTATTTACTTTTTGTTAACTATCCTTCCACAGACCCTAAGATCTGTTCAAAAGGATGAAACTAAAGAGATGCTCCTTCTCCAGCTCAATAACCATGTCACTCAGAGTTCTTCACAGCCCCAGGAAGTTACAGTGGACCTCGTGTATCAAGCTTGGTAAGTGGTCAATGTGTATCGTTCCATAAATATGTTATTCTGGTAAAACCATGTGATTTCATTATTTAACATAGTTCAAGTAACAAGTTGTAATTTTAGTATCTGAGATGTCAGACTATGTAGGGAATCAGTAGTAACAGATAGTGTAGATATAGAGAGGCAGCTATTCACACACAGCAGAAGAGAAGCTATTGAAATTAAAATACTGAATACTAAAATACTTCTGGTGTTAGCCTTACAAGCTCACAGGAGTTAAAACCAAAGATTGCAAAGGCTGACCCTTGGCCAAGTGGTACCTACACCTGGGTATGGCTCTCTCCTCCCATGCAACTCCTCTTTAATTTCTCAAATTTTCTCTCCTTTTTAATTATCCCTGTATTCCATGTATCTTCCCTATGGCTCTTTCTCCTCTCCCCAACCCTTGTCTCCTTTTACAAATCTGTACAGCCACACTGTATCACACGCACACTCTTTCTCCCACTGAATCAAAAACACAAACAGTCACATACACACAATCAAAGATGTTGTCAAATGAAAATATAAAACGATGTGAAGTCTTAAAAAAAAAAAAAAAAGTGTTGTGTGTATGTACCACGTCACTATGGGTATTATGTGTGATACATTAAATGGAATCTTAAGCTGTTCATACCTCTAGTGCTAATTATCTCCTCTCTGTCCCGGTCTGTAATTGACCTTTGCGTCTTATTTCTTGTTCTACCCCTCACAAAAGAACTCTAAATATAAACTCATTGATTTTTCACAATCATTATATTTTTCCTTTGGATATTTTCCGTTTGGAAAACACCCGAACAAAATACATATTGCATGCAAGGTGTTGCCCATGCTTGTTACAGCATCCTTGAAAGTCCATGTGTAGTGCGATTGGAGTATGCTTAAACTGAAAAGTGATAAAAAAAAAATGTTTACATAGATTCTACTACTTCTAATAGAATCAAGCCCAATGTTTATTTATTTCAAACTTATTTACTATTTTAATGTTGAGATTCTATGGTTCAAGAATGCTATCTTTCAAATTAATTGGATGTTTTCTCAAATCACATTTAGTTATACCTTATTGCAGCTTACAGTTGTGGCGTAAAGGTATTGATGACATGGTTGAACGTTCTCTGTTGCTGCGCATGTTAATGGAGATGCCTGAAAAGGATCTTGCTACAGAATTTGCTGTGGAGGAAGCAGGTAACAGTTTGAAAGACTAAATGTTAAGGTTTGTGGATGCCTATAAATAATACTATAATATCTAGCTGTCAATTTCACGTGAGTTTCTCTGACTCTATTGCTCACAGTCTTTGTTTTTGAAACATTCAGCTGTCTGTCTATGTGTTCCTATCTGTCAGTCAGTTACTATTTAGCATTGAATTTATTATTCAGGCACACCGCTGGTATTAACGCATTGCCTACCAGAATAAATCATTCAATAGAAAATAATGGATGTTATTGTTTTAGCATTCGAACAGAAAAACATGAAAGGAAGCAAAGAAGAAAAGAAAGGAGGCAAAACAGGATCACGGGATAGAGCAGACGTAAGTTATGCGTAAATAATAGAACTAAAACGTAAAAACAAATAAATCCATTCAAAACAAATAAATCCATTCATCTGATCATTCTCTGCCAATAAGCTAACCCTTTTACTGCTGTACTGGGATTTGGGATAGTGGGCAGGTAACTGTTGTTCTTTTGTTTTATGTTGTGTATTTGGGCTAATTAATACTAAGGCCATTGCTGCCGCTCACGGGTACTGTGAGTTTGAGTACCAGTCCTAATTGTTTGTGACCATATGTAGTTGAGATTGTGATACATGATTAGTGTAAGCATCTAAAGCTGCTAATGTAGGGCAGACAGCAACAGCTGCTACAAGCTATCTACTAAACAGCTGGTACAGGATGAACCTGGGCCACTGGATCTGTGCGGGCCAGGAGTGTCTGCAGGGCCTGAATATTCCATTCTAAGGTCCAAGTTATTAATCTTACTCTCACTAATCACAAGAGTCTCTATTTTAGCTGCAAGATCTACATTGGCTGTTTTGGACTGTAAAAACATAGTGTGTTGAATTATTATATGCAGATGTAGAAAAGCAATAGAAAGGGAATATTGTCAATACTTAGAGTGACAAGGCTTAGCAAAACATACATCCTAAAAGGTCATGACTAATACATGAAAACATGCAATCAAATATCAGTGCATAACTAACAAAGATAGAGTTTTGTAATAAGCTTTAGAAGTTGCAATTATGTTTCCATCCACCAAGTGTTGCGTGTGTAACTGTGTCTGTGTGACTGTCTATCTGACTGCCTGTGTGTGTGACTGTCTGCCTGCCTGTCTGTGTGTCTGCCTGCCTGTGTATGTGTCTTTGACTGCCTGCCTGTGTGTGTGTGTGACTGCCTGTCTGTGTGTGTGACTGTGTGTGTGTGACTGTCTGACTGTGTGTGATTTCAGTTGTTTCATTGTAGTTGTGTCATTGTGTGTGCCTGTATGTGTGACTTCCTTTAACTGAGAGTGTGTGTGTGTGTGCGCGCGCATGCCTGTAACCGAGTGTGTATGAGTGTCTGCTTGTAATGGAGTATGTGTGATTGTCTGCTTGTGACTGTGTGCCTGTAACTGTTTGTGATTGTGTGCCTGTAACTGTGTGTGACTGTCTGCTTTTAACGGTGTTTGGCTCCCTGACTGTCTGCCTGTACCTGTGTGTGTGACTGTTTGCCTGTAACTGAGCGTGTCTGACTGTCTGCTTGTAACTGTTTGTGTGACTGTCTGCTTGTGTGTGTGACTGTATATAGGCAACTTGGTGGGGAGGCGCTGTGAAGACTTTTCGCACAGGGCGCCTAATTGGCCGGCCCTGGATAGGACCAAGAAATTACACTGCCACTGAAATGGGGGGTGTGAAGAAATTGAAGAATGAGAGCATGATCAACATTGTCAAAGGTAGCAGAGAGGTCTAGAAGAATTATTACGGAGTAGTGGCCTTTGGATTTAGCCGTCATTATATTGTTAGTTGCTTTAGCCAGAGTAGTCTCATAGAATTGACTTCCCATGAAGATTCCTTGGGCTAAAATTACATGGTAGTGGTAAAACATAGTCAGTGCCGGAACTTTGTTTTAAAGAAATAGAATAAACTAAACATAATTCTTGGTCGTCAGGATAGGATCTTGACAATTGGTCTAACCTTGATCTTCTGTGTTTATGAACAGGGAAGGCAGGAGAAGAAGCCATCCACAATATAAATACAAATACAGAGATACAACTTTGGAAAATTAACTTGTATATAGTAAAATAAAAGATAAAAGAAAACGCGCAAAATACCTAGAAAACCATCGAAAAACTTTGAAGCATAACATTTCCATAGGGGATGCTGGCGCTATCATATTGGATTGTCTTAACCGCTAGCCTGGCAAAGAGAATACAGCCCTACAAGACACAGAACACACATTATAGCAAGAAACCTCTTACAGCAAGGAAACGTCCCTGCACAAAACGCCACAAACTCTTCTCCAAAATATGTTCTCCCACATATTCCCTGCACTGAACTGTGGCATTTATAGGATCTTAAGCAAAGCTACTCTATGCTGCAGCTAACTCAATGGAGTTAAGTTGGATACATCCAATGAAGCAGTCTCTTAAGACTATTAACACTCAACACTAGAGACTGGTTTACTGGTTCCATCAGGAGAGAGAGAGGCGCTGGATCCCCGTAGTAGTATCATGATAGGCATGGTAGAGGAGAACCAAATAAAATGTATATTGAGGGGTTTAACACTATCCCTGTCCGTTAGCTAGGACAGGAAAAAAAGATGTGGCAGCTCAGGCTGTTAAATATTTAATTAATTATAATTTCACAGAAATTTAAACTCAGACAAAAGATATGCTGATGCAAAGAAGGCACTACTTTGTCCCAGTATATTTCCTATGCCTGGCACTTCTAGACACTGGGCAGAGCTACCACCATTTAAAAGTGTCAATCTCCCAGCCATCTTCAGTGATGGCTGCTGAGATATTAGCTGTATCTATAGGGGATCCCGCGGTATTGCAGGATCCTCCCTAGACCTCAATGCTACATTCTCGTAAATGCGCAAGAGTACAGCAGTGATGTTGGTTCCTGGCATTTCAACCTCAGACAAGGACCGGCCTGGAAGAAGATGGTGCACACGAGGGACAAGTTCAGCTAAGTAAATTTCACGTGTCCCTAGACCACTTTCAGACACCGGACCACCAGCAGCAATATCACCATCAGGGGTCTTTGCAAATTATGCAAAGTCCCCAGACGGTGACAGTAGCACTTTAAGTCACTTGCTTAACACATGCTGGGCAGTATCAATGTGAATAGCATCGGTGCTTTGGCATAGGTACACAGAGCATAAAGAGAATTGCAATAATAAACGGAAATTATATATTATATTATTATATATAATACCACGGAAATTATATTTAAATCCCAAATTATATTTTGATTCTCACGTTATTACACCTATAATTTAAGTATGCCTTTAAACAACCACACATGCTAAAAAAGCTTTGGACGTTTTTTGTAACATACCCCCTTGCACACTGTCTTAAAGCAGTTATCATAGCTGTTGTAGACATAACTTTTTATTGTTATTTATATTTTCTTAAAGCTGATCTATTCCATCCCAAAGTTTAGTTGGGTTTACATGTGTTTTTGCAAGTGTATAATTTGTAGCTAAGACAAAGAAACATAGAATGTGACAGCAGATAAGAACCATTCGGCCCTTCGAGTCTGCCCAATTTTCTAAATGCTTTCATTACTCCCTGGCCTTATCTTATAGTTAGGATAGCCTTATGCCTATCCCATGCATGCTTAAACTCCCTCACTGTGTTAACCTCTACCACTTCAGCTGGAAGGCTATTGCATGTATCCACTACCCTCTCAGTAAAGTAAAGACGGCTAATGGGGAAATAATATTTCATCAGTTTAGCTCTGCTGAGTAACTGAAAAAATATTGCTGATAACATATAAAGTAAGCAAAATATACAATGTGTTGCAGTAATGTATTACTTTCAAGAATTATATTGAACAGAAAGTAACTAAAAAATTGCTATAAGTACTTGTGTGATAATCCATTTTGTGGATCCATTTTGTGCTAATTGGCTGAAAACCTTAGCTCTTCTTGTTATGGAAACTTTACTTTTTCTATCCTATGTTAGGAACCATCGAACAACCGAAAAGGAAAAGGCAAAGAAGAAAAAAAATCTATGAAGCCACTAGGCATTTCTCAAGAGAACGATCTTTCTATGTCATCAGGAGAAAATTTAGATCTTATGTCCCCAGCCTCACAATCCCTCCAAGTCGATCCAGCAGTGAAAGAAAAATATTATGAGGGTTTGCATACTGAGGTATGTCTAATGCCACTTGTCTCAAACTGGACACAAAGAACGATATCAAATATAGAATGTTATTAATAAATCAATTGAGGAACTGACTTTTTTTTTTAAATCACTACAAATTGGTACCTATTATAAACAGCTAAGTGCAGTTAAATAATACTCCACAAACAAAATTATTGTACTTAAACAGGAACAAATCAATATGACAAGATCAATATCACAAAACATGTGAAATGATACTTAGAACATTATCGGAATACTATATTGCTAGGAATACAAACATGTTTTCCTAACTCTATAGCTCCCTCTGCCTTCCCCCTCCTTCGTGGCCCCCGGCCAATAAAAGGTTAAAAAGTCTCTATTTAACCAATCCCATCGCCGATTTCCCTTGGCTCTCTGCCTCCTCCAACATCATCCGATGGGGGAATCTCATGCGCATACACTGCAAGCGTATTAGGCCCTCTTCTTAGGAAAGCATTGAATCAATGCTTTCCTATGGGGATTTAACTGACACTGGATATCCTCATGCAGAGCGACAGTTAGGCGACCAAACGTTGCCTAGCAAGCAGGAAGTGATCCTAGTGGCTGTCTTAGTGCTGCAATGTAGGGACACTGCACCCAGACCACTTCAATGAGCTGAAGTGGTTTGGATAGCTATTGTGTCTCTTTAAAAGTTAGCAAAGATGAGCAAAGCCTTTTAATAAATCGAAGAAAAAAAAGTTTCATTGTGGGAGGAATTGTGTTGAAATCACAAGTGCAAGAGATTTAAACTTTTAGACCAAAATAGCTAACCTAGATTCTTTTGAAACTCCTCTATAAAACAAATATATATTTCCAGTGAATTCAGTTCAGCTGAAAACTGATCAATGCCACAGGTTACTGAAAGCTTAATACAATTAGAAAAACAGTCATGTGGCTTATTCAATACTGTTTGAAATGGAGAGCAAAAAACGGGTCGCAAGAGTATTCTGAGAACGGACAGCAGCTAAAATAGCCTGCCCTTCGGTGGATCCCCGCTCAGAACTCAAGCTGGTTTTAGCTCATCTTGTGCCATTACAGAGAGAACATATCTGAAGCATATCAGACTGGTCCCACCCATACGGGCAGTCCAGATCCGAAATGCCAGCAAGTTCTCTCTACACAAGAGATACAGCAATCCCAGACGATCATTTCAGCCTTGTTAGGCATCATCAGTGAGGCATAGCTGATATCTCTCTAGGCACCGTGAGCAAGGGGTCCACGTCTGGATTACCCTTTAAACTAATGGAGAGCAAAAAACGGGTCGCAAGAGTATTCTGAGAACAGACAGCAGCTAAAATAGCCTGCCCTTCGCTGGATCCCCGCTCAGAACTCAAGCTGGTTTTAGCTCATCTTGTGCCATTACAGAGAGAACATATCTGAAGCATATCAGACTGGTCCCACCCATACAGGCAGTCCAGATCCGAAATGCCAGCAAGTTTTCTGTGCACGAGAGATACAGCAACCCCAGACGATCGTTTCAGCCTTGTTAGGCATCATCAGTGAGGCATAGCTGATATCTCTCTAGGCACCGTGCCCTCCACTCGTTAGCCCCCCCTCCCCTCCACTCTTTAGTCCCCCTCCACTCTATAGCCCCCATCCCCTCTTCAGCCCCCCCCCTGCCCACTAATCATTAGCTCCCCTGCCCTTCACTCTTTAGCCCCCCTCCCCTTGACTCTTCAGCCCCCCTGCCCTCCAATCTTTAGCCCTTCCAATCTTTAGTCCCACGGTACTCCAACCTTTAGCCCCCATGTCTTCCTGCCCTTTAATCTTTATCCCTCCTCCCCTATGCCTGCTCAGTCCGCATCAGAGGAGCCTCTGTTACCCTTACCAAGTCCGACAGGAAGCAGTTCTGTGTCCTGTCAGACTGGGTAGGGGAACAGAGATTCCTCTACCGCCGTCTGCCTGCTTGGTCACGCTATATTTTGTGACCGGCAGGAGGGGGCGCTGCGTAGTGCAGTCACCAGGAGATTGCCCCACCCCCCGGGGCACCACCCTAATGAGTGGCATCAAGGGCAACCCCCACTTAGTGCGCCACTGCTTAAACTGGCTTTCAGCCTGTAGGCTAGCCCTGCACTCTAGAGCTTAGTACAGGAGAGCTAAGCGAAGCCTCCTGCTTAGGAACTTCTGTCTCCATCGATAGTAGTGAAGGCAGGGAGAATAGCCTGGCAGAACCCTGCCTCTGTTGTTTTAAAACTTACTTACAATGGGACTGATAAACAGATATACTATTAGAAAATCAAAGCTTTGTGATTTAGTGATTTATTAAAACATAGCATCTATTAAAAAGTGTAAAATATCACTGTAGAATCAAAATATTCTAATTCAAATGTTCTACTAATATCACCTCCCCTGGTTTTTAATTTCACTATCTGAATACCCTGTGGAGATAATTAATGGTATCTCCAAATACAGTACCTCAGGGGATGGACAAAAATTTGTAGTACCCATATTGGATTGAATATCAAACGTTGAAAATATCATATGTTGAAAATATCGAATGAGATGATTTAATTCTATTTATCTGGCACATATATCCTGATAAATGGCCTCATCGGATTCCTGAACTAAAAGTTGTTGCTAATTTTTGGTTGTTGATGCTATTTGCCTGCTGACTGCAGGCTGCACTAGCCAGTTTCAAGCAGCGTACCTGTTTATCAAGTTTGTCTGCTTGATGTTCAACTAGCATTAAATCGATAAATAAATCGTCACACCAGATTTAGTGTGAAGATACAGGTTGTCCACAAATGTTTAGCAACAAATTCGAAGCCCATTACTGTTAATAGCTCAGTGTAGGAGATACCACAGCACAGCAAGTTTACGCTGAGCTTTCTGACCTCTACTTTGATACCTGTTCCCTACTGTGCCAATACACTTTGACTTTTATAATTAAACAACAATTAATAAAGGAAAAAATAAATTCTAAACTTTTCTTACGGCCTTCGTCAAACATACCGGAACGGAGTAAATTAATTTGAGCACGATTGAACGACTTCTTATGTTGAAGAGTTAAATACGACAAGATATGCCTTATGTAGTATTTTTGTATTAGGGTTGTTAACACCTGTATTGATGTCATTCCTTTCTTGTACCACCAAAAATGAATGAGAAAATAAAGATTGTAAAAAATAAATAAATTGAAAAACTTTGATAATTATCTAATGTTTTTGCCGATAGGATTCAATGGAGAACCAATTAGTCAGAACCAATTCCATATAATACAAGGTGACATTACAGTTTGTTAGGGTCATTCAGCTTATACTGATTGACATCGATATATTAAATCATTATAATCCAACTGAAAATTAATTTCAAAACATGCACATGGAGTTGACAAGATAATGGAAATGCAACATAAAAAAGTTTAACTTTGGACTTGGTCATAATTCTGTATGCACCTGGTTTAATACTAATACGTTGATGTGTCTGCTGTTTTACATTTCTAAATACAAACATATTGTGCTAAACTTGGCATCCATCTCTGATGGATACGGTATTCAGTCCCAATATAAAAAAAAAAACAGCATGAAAAAGAACACTATTCCAAATCCCATTAAATGGTTAAATAACAGATGCTATTAGTATCACCAGGCAGCCATAAAGTGTAGGTTCACCTGCCGACATGAAACCATGACTCTTAAGTGAATCCTTCACGGATGTTAAGTTAAAACTTTACACACTTAGCCTGACTTGTAAACTCCAGCTTTTAGCACATTGATATGGGCTTTTATGATACTTAATGATGTTGGGAAAGTGTTCATTTTCCTACTGAACCACAATATCAGATTTAGCTTTTGAATGTGAATCAAATGTAAAAGTCTAGTGTAACATTACATTGAGAATTTAATTATGATTTAGCAACAAACACATAAGTTATAAATTCTATATGTGCACGTGTGCTCTGTGTGAATACCATCTGAATAAAAAGAACAATAGACTCTAGCCTTATCCAAAATCAGAACATTTGGCAGTATTGGTATCTACATATTGCAATGCTCAAACATTTGCAGACTGGAAAATATCCTGACTGCTGTAATGCATGTGCAAATATTTTTATAATCAAAGAGACTTTCCAGACATGCATCATGACTTTTGCTCCACTGAGCTAAACAAACCAGAAGCAACAGGACCAGTTGTTTCTTGGACAGCCTGGAGCATGTTCAAGGTTAATTTATGCCTCGTTTCCACTGAGCGGATCGATTCGGGTTGGTACAGTTTGGAAGGTTTAGAATGGACCAGCCCATTCTGGTGACCGTTTCCACTGCAAGTCAGATCTTTCAGGGCCATGCGGGGTTTAGAAAAAATGCTCTTCCTGTCCACCAATCAATGGACTGTATAGTATCTCCGCCCTAACCGAACAGTTCCATTTCCTATGGCCCTACATCTGAAGCAGGACCCTGAATGGATCGGTACGGCTTGCTTGTATGGACTACTTTCATAATGGAAACACCCAAAATAGCAAACCGTACCGAACCGATCCGCTCAGTGGAAACGAGGCATAATAGAAGTGACAATTTTTATCGAAATCGGCACCTTTTTAACATGAAAGGCTGAAGTGTTTTAGATGTCTGTAGTGTCCTTTTAAATGCATGCATCTTTTCAATGGGTTATATTTACGGAAGAGTGATTTTTATGTATTTATTTTTTGGCCAGTGACTCTTTTATCTCCACAGTTTAGGCACACCATTTATTATTGTTACATTTTATGTATAACAGTATTTAGTGTGTTATAATTATTTGCACATTCTCTATTATGACTAAAATATATTTATACTATTAAACTTTATTTGTTACAGGTTTATGGAATCTTGCTTTCCCTGGTGCAGGATATGGTGATTATTGCCGAGAGTTTAACTCCCAGGCGTTCTGTGATGGAACACGAGTTTATGGATCAAACATTGTGACTCTAGTATTATATTCTTAAATAAAAATAAGACTGAAACATCCAGAGTCAATTCAGATTTTTTTTTAAATTCATTTTCCTTTTCTTTCTATCAATCTGTGATATAAAACACCTATCTTTTGTTTTTATACTTACCTTAAATTGGCTCCAAATGCACTGAATTCATTGTCTACCACAGAGATACAAGATGTTATTCAGTGTAAAGTTATGAGATATACTCAGCTCACCTATACCAGTGCCTCCATGTTCTAAACTTTGTCGCTGTTGTAACAAGCAGCTCTGGTCTGCCCGCTCTTCGCTTACAGTTCGGTGATTTGCCCTGCTTGGGGATGCTTAACTGAGCAGGGTAATCCTCCTCTTTTGGCCAGCATGACTGCGACTGAACATTCCTATACTTCCTCGTTTACACTAGCAGGTTTTTTTTTTTTCTTGTTTGGCTGGATTAAAACTCCCTTTAATGTAAAAAATCATTTAAATTTTTTGCCTTGCAGAGTTACAGTTGTAGCCTGAAATTAGCATTTTCAGACTAAGTGCAATAGTACTCAAACTAATCATTAAAGGGAGGCTATTGGCAGTACAGGTGGTCCTCATCTTGCGACCTGTCTGCTTTACGATGGCTCGCACTTACGACCAGCTCTCTTGCGGGGTGATAGGTGCGAGCCGTCGTGGGAATTAGAGGGATTCCCTGCTCTGCTGCATTATTCTATGTTCGGGGATATTTCCAGGAACATAGACGAATGCAACAGAGGAGGAAATCCCTCTAATCTATGTTCGGGGAAATTTCCCCGAGCATAGATTAGAGGGATTCCCTGCTCTTGTGCGTTCGTCTATGTTTGGGGAAATGTCCCTGAACACAGACATGCGCACCAGGCAGGGAATCCCTTAAATCTATATTTGGGGGAAACATAGTCCCCCGAACATAGATTAGAGGGATACCCTGCTCTGCTCTGACATTTCCCCGAACATAGAAGAACGCAGCAATTCGTTCTACAACTGGGTCATAGGACGGAACCCGGTCGGTGAGTGAGGAGTGTCTGTATATCCATTTCATCTCTTTTAAATGGTTATAGTATCTGTCCCTCCATTCAGTCCCTCCATTCAGTATTTAACTATTTTCAAGCAGTTTAACACAGAATAAAGGTTGATGCCTACCCTCAGAGATACCACATTGCAGGTATTGCTAAGTAAGATATTACACACTTCATTAGACATGCAAATTCATAACAGTAATGAGGGCTGTGATAGGAGGAAAGTAGTCATCTGACATTCTCAACCAATCACCACCTCCCATTGTTGTTCAAGCTAAGGCTTCCTCACTAAAACAAGCAGCACAAAGTGGATAGGGACTGTAGTGTATGTGTGAGGATATGGAATGTAGTGTATGTGTATAGGGATTGTAGTGTGTGTGTGCAGGTGGGTGTTTTTGAAGTGTACTGGAGTCTTAGGAGCTGTAATGTCTTTAGAGGGGATAGGGGTTGTAGTGTGTCTGTGTGTGGATAGGCAAAAAAGTCAGGATGGTCCTGGCACTCAAGTTCAATCCAGTTGGCAGATTTATTGGAATAGAACCAAAACAGCATTTAGGCTCACAGCCGGGCCTTTGTCAAGGACCCTGTTGTGGGCTGAAACATTGTTTTGGTTCTGCTCCAATAAATCTGTCCACTGGATTGAACTTGAGTGCCTGGACCATGATTATTTTTTGGGAAATCACATTGTGAGGATTGGCCAACCTCAGGCCCTGCTGCACCCTGGAATCCAGGAGAGTGTGGTATCCATATTGGTAATTATATGTGTGTGGATAGGGGATGTAATATGTATGGGGAGGAGGGATAGGTGTTGTAGTGTGTGGAAGAGTGTGTGGCTGATAGTGGCTGTAGTGTGAGGTGGCTTATAAGGGTTGTAGTGTGTGGGGGGTGTAGAGGCTGTGTGTATGTTAATAGCGACTGTAGCATGTGTGTGGACAGTAATGCGTCTGTAGGGACTGTGTGTGTTGGGGGTTATTCCCACCTACATCGAGCTTACCTTGGGCTGTAGTGTGTGAGGGGTCTAGGGTCTGTGTTGTGTGGGAGTATAGGAGCTGTAGTGTGTGTGTGTGTGTGTGTGTATGTGTGATATAGGGGCAGCAGAGTGTGTATATATGTGTAATATGAAAATCTATGTCTATATAGGTATGTATGTGTTCATCGTTGCAGTGTTTGTAAATGTGGAGGTGTAATATGAAAATGTTGTGTCTAAATGTGGTGGGTACCTTATGCAGTGGGACTGTGCGTGTGAATGAGGGGTACAGTACAGTGTGCATTAATGTGGGAATATATTATGTTATAGTGTATGTATTTGTGTGAATGTAAGGGTGTATTCTGCAATGAGACAGTGTGTAAATATGGGGTTATATTATGCAGGAGGACAGTACATGTGAATGCGACAAAGTGTATGTGTGAATATGGAGGTGTATTATAAAATTAGTGTGTGTGTAAATGTGGGGGTGTATTATGCAGCCGGACAGTGTGTTTGAATTTGAGTGTGCTTTATGAAGTATGGCAGTGTGCCTGTGATTGTAGAGGTGTGTTATGCAGTGATACAGTGTGGCTGTGTCATACAATGTATGGGTATATTATACAGTAGGACTGTGCAGGTGAATGTATGGGTATATCATGTCTGTAGATATGTATGTATTTTGCAGTGGAGCAGTGTGTCTGTGAATGTATGGGTGCATTATAAAGTGGGACAATGTGTCTGAGATTATAGGGGTGTATTCTGCAGAGATGCAGTGAATCTGTCCATGAATGGGTGCATTATGTAGAGGGGCAGTGTGTTTGCGGATGTTTTATGCAATGGGACAATGTGTCTGTGAATGCAGGGGTGTTTTATGCAGTGGTACAGTGTGTCTGTAAAACTGTGGGTCAGGGCCGTCTTTAATTTAGATTGGACCCTGGGCGAGCATTTACTTGGGCCCCCTGACTACGTCTAGATACACACAAATACACTACCTGACACACATGCAGATACACACTGACCACATATAGATAGACACAAGAACATACAGATACACACAGACTACATATAGATACACTGACACACACATAGACACACACACAGATACAAACACTGACATACATGCAGATACAAAGGTACACACACTGACTACTTATAGATACACCGACACACACACTGACAGACAGACACACAGATACACAACCTGACACACATGCAGATATACAGATACAAACACTGACACATACAGATACACATGCAAATACAAATGGACAACATACAGATACAGAGACACATTCTGACAGACGTACTGACACAGACTCACACACAGAAAACCATACTGAAACACACATACACAAAGACATACTGAACCACACAGACACTGATGGACTCTCACACACACAGACATACAGATACACTGACAGACATACTGGCACATATACACACAGACAGACGGACATACTGAAACACACATACACACAGACATTGACAGACATATTGACAAACACAGACATACAGAACCACACTGACAGACTCACACATAGACATACTGACAGACATACACACATTCTGGCACACACACACAGACAGACTGAAACACACAGACACTGACAGATATACACACATACAGACATTTTGAAACTCACAGACAGCCATACTGAAACACACAGACACTGACAGACTCACAGACACAGACATACTGATACACTGACAGACATACTGGCACACAGACAGACATTCTGGCACACAGACAGACAGACATGCTGAAACACACATACACACATACAGACAGACATGCTGAAACACACATACACACATACAGACACAGACATGCTGAAACACACATACACACAGACACTGACAGACAAACACACATCCAGACATTTTGACATACACAGACAGCCATACTGAAACACACATACACACTGAACCACAGACACTGACAGACTCACACACAGACATACTGACACACTGACAGACATACACACATACAGACATACTGAACCACACAGACACTGACAGACAAACACACATCCAGACATTTTGACATACACAGACAGCCATACTGAAACACACATACACACTGAACCACAGACACTGACAGACTCACACACAGACATACTGACACACTGACAGACATACACACATACAGACATACTGAACCACACAGACACTGACAGACTCTCACACACACAGACATACAGATACACTGACAGACTTTGATAACCACCCTCCAGTTTCTTACCTTTTCCTGGAGGGTGGCTTCCCTGGGGTCCAGTGGGCTGGCTGGGGTGGCTGGGAGTTAAGCTCCCGGCCTGGCCCCCTCCGGAACAGCTGGTCCGCCTTCCACCCGCGCGGCTCCTGTTTCTGTGGGAGGAAGTGACGCACGGCTGTCACTTCCTCCCAGTGCTGCCGAAAAGCAAGGGCCCGGTCGCGCTGTTAAAGCGCCACAGCGCCCGACCGGGCCCCTGCTGACACAGGCCCACCGGGTGGCCCTAAGTGCATGGGCCACCCGATGGGCCCCCATAGTTTGCGGGCAGAGGGCAAACAGGGTAGTTACCTCGGGCCCCCCAGCAGGGACAGGGCCCGGGGCAGCTGCCCCGTTTGCCCCGCGTTAAAGACGGCCCTGCTGTGGGTGTATTATGCATTGGGGCCGTGTCTTTGTATGGGTGTATTTTGCAGTAGGACAGTGTGTGAATGAATGGGTGTATTATAAAGTGGGACATACACAGTTGGACAGTGTGTCTGAGATATAAGGGTGTATTCTGCAGTGGTACAGCGTGTCTGTGAATCATTACATATATAGTGTATGAAAAAAGAATGGATCAGCCTCAATCTGGAATGCCCCTTTAACAAGTTGCTGTAGCTGTCATCAGCTGGTTGAGCATCCAAAATGTTTCAAAAGTAGCTGTGCACGTTATATACTAACCTGTATCAGATCTATGTCCTTATTGTACCTTAGAGTGGCCTATCTATTCACAAAGTTCATTGCATAAGATTGTCTATGCCCCA